AATATCGGATCCGCTATGGATCCGCGCATGAAAATTTGATGTCTTTACAGAATAGTACTGCAGTACCTACAGCAAATAAAATTGCCTAGCCTAACCCAATCTTAAGGTATTGAAAAAATCATAGTGCCTATATTTTTGAATTTATGCTTTTCTCTTGAATGGAGTAAGGAAGTACCTATTTTGCAATACAAATTTGGGTCAGGTGAATGCCCGATTGCCGAGCATTTTCTTGCCATGAATTTTATGTCAAGTCACGACAATCTCCTGAAGGGTCATCCCAGTGAGAACTCTCGAATTCTTAAAGATCGCTAAATAAATTCATCGCCGTTCAGAGAAGCGAACATTCGTAAGGGCTTAGTATAAGTAGTTAGTTATCACTATAGCTGGTATGAGTATTGAACAGCTACTTTTAAGTACACTGAAAGAATGAATGTCAATGTTTATTTGCGTAAATTTTGATGATTGACATTTCAGCATTGGTTCTTCGTTCTTCAAAATCTACTAAGTTTAAGAATGCAAATGTGATATAAATTTAAATAATTTTAGTGATTAAATACAACGGGTTATTATTATCTTAATCACTTTTGAACCGTGATTGATAAAAAAATGTATTTTCACAGAATTTTGTGATTTTAATACTGCTCAGTTGCTTACTCTAACAAAAAAAAAATAAGAATCCTTCCGTACAAGAAACTTAGTTTTACACGTTTTTCGCTCGGCCTACTGTTGTTGAACCGAATCAGGTTCGCACTTGGGCGGTTTTTAAAACTGCCATTTCGAAATTCTGCAAGACAGAAGGGATTCTCCAAATTAGTCGAATCCTCATTGTTTGCGCATATTTTCAACCGTATGGAATAAAAATATTCATTCAATTCACTTTGATTTAACGCCATCGTTAGTCGGCGACACAAGTACTTCATAGTCTTAAGAAAGAAATTTACCTTAGCCCAAAGAAGGATAGAAAACTGTGGAATTCAGGGGAAAAGGTCCTTCCAACACTGGCCGTTGTAGAATAGAGCTTCAAAGAAACAATGCAGTTTAGCTCTGTAATTGTTCTATCTCAGATTAGCAGCAGCCTTAAGTGTCAAGTCAAGGGGACGGCCTTGCGAGCCTGGGCGGGCGCGGCATACCAAGCCACCATAATTGGATGTCGACCACTGTATGTAATCCAGTTAGTGGCGGTGCAAGCACTCCGTAATCTAATAACTAACGCACTAGTTCATATTTAAAATTGATTTATTCAAGAGTTATTTCATTTTAATTTAGTAGGCTTCATGTGGATCTTCTTAAAACAATTTTCTTTCTGTTTACATCTTCTTTGTCAAACCTATATTTGATATGTGCACTTTTTGGAGATTTCGACATTTCTATGGTTATGACTGTAATAGTTTACTTTAGTATACTAACCGATTTTCGAATACAAAGACTAGGTAACAAAAATAGTTTTAGAAATTCTATAACGAAAAAATATGAATATAATATTCACTAAAAAAAATGGCGCCACAAAGTTCGGCAGGTCAGCTAGTACTAAATAAAAAAATGGGTGCGTGTACTTATGTAGGCGCGTGAGAAGTTATCCTTCTTTGGCATCGTTTAAAATTAGTTTTTAATTGCATGCAAATAGTTAATTACAATAAATTAATAAAAAGTCTGGAAAAGGACGAAGTCAATAAAGTTCAGTTTTAATTTGAAAAAATAAATAAATAATCAAAATATTCAATTAAAATCGCTACTGAATATAATTTATTAGAACATATGTGATTTGCACTTGTATGAAACTCAAACACGTATTCCGAATATACAAACTAGAAACATGTGGATAAATATTATAAATATGAATACCTTTAACTGTTACTTTATTACAAAAAATAAAGATGTGGTTTTTGGTTCTACTACACCAATGGTCAAGAGATGGCGCTGTAGTCTCCTGAATCGCGCTTTGGTTCCGTTGTTCCAGATTAATAAATACTTTTGATAGGCCTTCACAATGCAGTCGTTAGCACCCACTAAATAGAGATTCTATTTCTATTTTGTTGGTAGATTTTCTTAATGTGCGGTAAACACAAAAGTAACGCATGAAGTTGATCGCTAAAGCGACCAACTTCATTATTTTAAAATTTTGTGTTACAGTGATGCGCGCGCATCTTAAAATTTCACTCTCATCATTTTTTCAAAACGCGCCTAAAGAAGTATAACTTCAAAAATACTTTAACGTAGGAAGGACTTAATGGTTCTAGATATTAATAAAAGCTAAACGTTTTTATTCCAATAAAAAGTACTTTGGGAATTTATTTAGAAGCTAATAATATACATAAATAAATTTATGTATATACGACCACCCCTGCCTCACCCCCCTCTGAAATTGAATCCTCTTACGCTAATGGCGGTGCCGAAGTCCCAGAGAACACGACTATATTAATATTACAGTAGAATTCATTGTTCCACTGAAAGCTTTGTTGTATGCAAGGAGACTCCCCAGTGGCCACATGATGTACACTAAACAAGAATAAATTCAAAAGGATATTATTTATGAAAAAGTATGATGGTATGAGGTCACGTCTTCTTTTTTACATAAATTCTCTGAAACAAATCGTTAATTCTAATATGCGTGATGTCTAAGCGCGGTAGATTATTTAATTATTTGAATAGGGATGATGACGGGGTACAGTTAACGAAATTCTATTTAGTTCGTCAGTTAGATGATCAAAAAATAATGGACACGTATTTTTTCTTTGGGCAATCAACCAAAAAATGACAAAGTTATAGCGCGTCAAAGTTTGGGAGACGGGGCTCGTGACGTCACTTTGAAGTGAAAATTGTGCCAAAACGTGACGTCATGCGACTTTTCAAATGAAAATATCTCTGCAATGTTTATATTATGTGAAAAAGGGAAAAATACATGTCCAATACTTTTTGATAATCTACCTGATAAACGAAGAAAAAAATATTAGTCATCATCCCTATTCGATTTTTTTTAAAATTTTGTGTAAAAATAAGTATCATACCATCAAATTACATTTCCTAGTTTAATACAATAAATTCGTATTATATTTGAAACTTTGCATTTAGCGTTATTGTTTCGGGCAATGTCTAAGCCCCATTATCACAAAAAGAGGTCTATCCACCTCGTTCACTATTCTGTCAACTTTTTACTATTAATGCTTAATCTACTACATTTCATAGTTTGTAAGCAATAACTCAATGTAGTGTTGATTATAACGGACAGTGTAAGTATATAAATTTAAAGAAAAACCAATATTTTTCGTTTTATTTGTTAAAGGAACAGCGACAATATACTTCGTGTAAATCACTCTCATTGTTTAAAATTTTGCAACGCTAAATTCCCTTTGAAAAAGCAAACGCGCAGTCTAAGAAGCTAAAAGATCTTTTTAAGTAACGGCTTGAAGTTTATTGGCCGCGCGCCAACCACACCAGTTAAGTGGTTAGTTGCAATTCCTGACTTTGGCTCTTTTCGTTTCGAAACCATTGATCCAGTAAAGCGTGAAATGGCTTAAAAATAGTTCCATTCATGTGGAACACCCGTTCACTTGGAGCAATAGTAGCGCGGCGACCACTGAATTTAATGTAACCCTGATTTCAATCAAGAACATCGGTTCTTGTCGGTCGGTCATCCACGTGTTATGTATCGACATAACACGTGGATATTTTATCTCCCATACACACTTTGACACGATTTTTTGTACTTTTTTGAAGGTAGTTGTAAAAAATATATGTAACAGGCTTAGTGTACATCTAATTAGTAATGTATATGCAAAATTTACAGTCAATACGCCCAAGGGGTAAGATTTTACGAGCAAACGTTTTTGCAAATTTCAAACTTAAAAGGCTGAATTTCAAAATCTCCTACTGTCCAAATTTCATCATTTCGGCTGTGCGTTGATGAGTCAGTCTGTCAGTGTATCCTTCTCTCTTTTTATAATAATATAGATTGTAAGCAAGCTACTTACTTACTAGACAACAAATTACTAACACAAGGCGTGTCGTGACATGAACGCAGTCCGGTAAAACATTTCTACCTACCATTTATTAATAACTATTTGTTTTTCATTGAGTCGAATATCAACAAGTTAATTACACTTAGAAGCTATTATTAGAAAGTATAAAAATAGTGCCTCAGTCAATAATTTATACCGAGCCATAGCCATGCCAAGATTCTTGAATTATCAAACATATATTAGATCTGCTAGGCTTCCTGACTCAGGCTGAGATGACATCACGGTGGCAGCTTCAATACTCTTGACCTTCGGGTATATGAATCATAATGCAAATTAAATCTGATAAAAAGTGTGATGATGCATATTAAAAGAAGCTAATATGTATACTTCACTATAAGATATAACTTGTATGAAGTCTTTTATAAAGGACAATCACGATTGGAGGATGTTTCCCAATGAATAATTCATACAACATAACCCGGTCAATCGGATTTTATTACATTATTTTCACAATTTATCTAAGAGTCCTTCATTTTCACACGACACGACCCTATATAAAGGAATATTTAGACACCAAAAACATAAATACCATAGGCTATCACAGGGTGAGAAATAGAGTTTAGTTGTATAATAAGTAAGCAAACAATTTCAGAACGTACCAAATCAGGTACCATGGCTGATTTGATTTTAAAGTAGGAATTAATAGAAAGCGGATCCAGAAACCCCTGATTGTATGTGGAAAAATCTTAATGTCATAAAATTTCCGATGAATGGGGTACAGATCACCCTAGATTGAGATAGGGAGATTGGGTCATGACTCATGATTCACCACCTGGGCCCATTGCGGATAGGTGGGTATTAACGACTGCAGCTACAACCTTGACCAACGGCTTATAAACGTACCTTTTGATGCAGGAGCTCGAGATAATAATTTTTGGGCACCCATCTTATTTCGGAAGAGTATTTTATAATTATAATCCAAAAACGGTAATTTTAAAAGATCAAAAGAGATTTTCTGACCGTGTGTCGTCTTTTTATTTTCAGGTAGTGTTGGTGTTCATCCTGAGTATAGCATCGCTGATCATCTACTTCATTGACGCGTCCAGGTAAATAGAATTCCTAATCAAATGTATAAATTTCGATGAGCAGCTGTTTTATTAATACAAAATATCTTGTAATAATGCTGAAATCATAAGGAATACGTGAGTGAATCTCAAATAAATGTGATCCGACTGCCTTGCTGATAATAGTGTTACCTAAATGTTTATAGCTTTGTGTTTACTTTGTCAGCTGAAGGTGTTTCTATTAGAAATGGCTTGTCCGTGGAATGTCACCTGTTTGTTGTAACTTTAATCGGTTGAACTAGCACTTAACGAACGCTCTCCGAATTCCAGTGAGGAGGTGGAGCGATGCCAGAAATGGAGTGACAATATTACTCAGCAGATCGATCTTGCCTTTAACATATTTTTTATGGTCTACTTTTTTATACGAGTAAGTATGATTGATCATTATAAGTAAATATAAATAACACACACTCACACCACTTAGCCTAGCGCCAAAGTAAGCACTATAAGGCTTGTGTTATGGGATACTAGGGTATCGGGTAGAATACATATACCGATACATATAATAAATATATTAATTTAGAAATACATATTAGGCATCCATGACTGGAGTACAAATGCTCGTATTCATCACACAAACATCTGCCCCCACCGGGATACGAACCCGGGACCTCTCGAGTAGGCGACACCTTAAAATCGGGCGTACAAACCACTCTGCCACGGAGTCCGTCGTAGTACATCTTTTTTGAAGTTAGTATTTTCTCTACAACAGAAAAACCTTTTTTATTTTCTAAAATATTGAATAAGAACTTCTAAACTTTTTATTAGCAACTATTCTTTGAGACTTAGGCTCGTATTACAGAATGACAACTAAATGTTGATCTTTCCTTGAGTACAGTTAGAAAGGGATGTCGCTTAGTGCTATATATAGCGACATCCCTTTCTAATTCTGCTCAAGAGTAGATCAATCACTGAGAATCTTTCTATAATACGGGCCTTAATGTTTGTATTAACGACTCTATTAACAATAGTGTTTTATATCGTATGCTATACCTAAAAAGATAAAACATATAGTAACATAACTCTACCTTCATACAATACCATCAATTTAAACGCTAATTATTGTGCAATTGCGAATTTCTGTTACGTTATGTCATCCTATTAACATAAAATTATGTCCTTCTGTTTCAGTTTATAGCAGCTAGTGACAAACTATGGTTCATGCTCGAGATGTATTCATTTGTAGATTATTTCACGATACCCCCATCCTTTGTATCGATATACCTGGATAGAACGTGGATAGGTAAGAATATTTTGACTTAAATATTTTTCATCATTTAACACTTCCCTGTAACATAAATACAAGTAGAATAATGAGCTATTGAAAGATCAGTAACATTACCAACAAACTTTTGAAACTCATTGAATGAATATTTTCTTATTTATGATTTTATTCAAAATAAATCAATTTTTTTTTTACTTTAAAACTATGCATAACTATTATAACATTTTAATTTCTAACCATTTAACTGGGCCAAGTTTAAATCTAAAGAAAATATAACTAAAAAAACACTCGGTCCAGGTTTCAGAATTTTCCGCTTCCGCCCGGATAGAGGGAGAGGAATTTTTGAAGTGAAACTTCTTTTCGGACAGGATGTTAGTAGAAAAAATCCTATGGAAAAGATGAAACAGAAATGCGTCACGCGCGTCACCCGACTATATATATATATATTTGTTTTATTTTTTTTATTATTACCATTTTCAAAGAAATATAATTATAATGTTGTGATCAATCGCATCTTAAAACCACAGAGGTTTGAATTTATGCAATGATGTACGCTTGATCGACAATATTTATATTGCTAACGGAGTTACTTTATTACATTAATTAAAAAAAAATGGTATGATTGCACATTTAAAATAGACAAAATATATCGGGCTTGGATAAGTACATTGTATAAGTAATTAGGAAATAACATTTTTATAAATTGTTTAAAAAGTATTCATTTAATTTATTTTTAATATTAGCATTTGTTAGAGTGACCGTTTGAGTTTATATATATGTGTGTAAGTATGTGTGTGTGGGATGCATGCGCAGCTCTTTCCGACGAGCATGAAAGATGGAGGGTAACTTGGCACTCTTAACTGCTACGAGCGTCATGCTAGTCACACGTGACAATATACGTCACACGACTACATATAAATGTGTTATATGTGTCTGTGTGTGGGATGCATGTGCAGCTCTTCCCGACGAGCATGAAAGATAAAGGGTAACTTGGCAGTCTTTAACGCTACGAGCGTCATGCGAGTCACACGTGACAATATATACACAGTCAGGTCATAAGTATTGTCACACAGTAAAAACTTTTCTTTTAGAATGCTGGCCACAAAAAAGTTTATTGAATTCGAATTTCGAATTGTTCATGAAAATAAAAATGTATACTTTTTACAATTTTACTCATTTTTAAATATGGAGTGGACGCTTAGTAAAAGTAAAAGACCGTGTTGCAGTTATTGCGTTGCATAGGTGCGGTTACGCGCCAATTCAAATTTTTGACATAATGAAAAATTTTAATATAAGCAAAAGATACGTTTATCGCACCATCAAACGATACAATGAAGGCTCTAGTGTAGATGATAGGTCAAGAAGTGGTCGCCCTTGGTCTGTTAGGACTCCAGCAGTGATAAAAGCTGTGAAGGCGCAAATTCAAAGAAATCCCAAACGTAAGCAGAAACTGTTGGCCCTTCAGATGTGGTTAAGCAGAACCACGGTGAAAAGGGTGTTAAATGAAGACTTAGGGCTTCGGGCATATCGAAGAAAAACAGGACATGAATGCTCGTCTAATGGACCTGAGACTGAAGAGATGCCGCGCTTTGTTGAAAAATATCGGGAAATTCTTTTTTCGGATGAAAAAATTTTTACCGTAGAAGAGAGCTACAACAAACAAAATGATAAGGTGTACGCATACAGTAGTGAAGAAGCGAGCAACCGTATTCCGCGTGTCCAACGAGGTCATTTTTCATCCTCGCTCATGGTATGGTTGGGAGTTTCTTATTGGGGCTTAACAGAGGTACATTTTTGTGAGAAAGGTGTAAAAACGAATGCAGTTGTGTATCAAAATCGACTTCATCCGACACGAAGACTGGCCCTCCTCCAGTCCAGATTTGAGTCCGTTAGATTACAAGATATAGCAATACTTGGAGGAAAAGGCGTGCTCAAAGCCTCATCCCAATTTGGAGTCACTCAAGACATCCTTGATTAAGGCAGCCGCCGATAATGACATGGACCTCGTTCGTGCTGCGATAGACGACTGGCCGCGCAGATTGAAGGCCTGTATTCAAAATCACGGAGGTCATTTTGAATAAACTTTATTGTCATAAAAATCTATTATATGTTTTGTTAAGTTCATTTTAAACATGTGACAGAATTTATGACCTCACTAGGTATATATATACACACATACATATGAGTAATGCGTGTGCTGCTCCATTTCCCTATGCCTTATGCATCGCCTAATGTTAGGTTATTTAACAAAAGAAGTTTCACTTCAGATTTTTGTTCCGTGCACACATTTTTTTTTCTAGTAATATTTTTTTTAGATATATGCATTACTATACTTGTTGATAGTTAAGTAATGGTGTCGATTCTGACAAGATTCTCTCAACCTAAACTTAAATTTGACAACAGTGCATCCTTTTCATTCTCTATACAGAATTTTCATTCTCTATACAGAATGAAAAGGAGATACTGAGGCTAAATTCAGTTTTAAGTTTACAGAATCATGCCAGCATCGACACCAGTATCTTCTTTCAGTTGTACCATGATCTGTTATTCTGGATGGTGTTTAATGTTTCAACTTATCTTTTCAGGGCTGAGATTTCTGAGAGCTCTACGCTTAATGACCGTGCCTGATATTTTGCAGTACCTCAATATATTAAAAACATCGAGCTCAATTCGGTTGGCGCAATTAGTTTCTATATTTATATCAGTATGGTTAACTGCTGCCGGCATTATTCATTTGGTAAGTTTTGCAAATATTTTGATTGTTTTCATCATAAAGCTACTAACGCTAAAAAAGCTACTAACTTGAAAAATATATAATTGTCAGTACGATCTCAGTAATAAAGTAAAAGTCCCTAATACCATAACATGGTCCTGGTTTTTGAATTTTTGATTTAATTATTTTAATTATTATGTATAATTATGTTCAATTATTTCAGCTGGAAAATTCTGGTGATCCGCTAGAATTTGAAAATGCACAGAAGCTTTCATATTGGACATGTGTGTACTTTTTGATAGTCACCATGTCCACAGTAGGTTATGGTGATGTGTTCTGTCACACTGTGCTGGGCAGAACATTTTTGGTTTTTTTTCTGCTCGTCGGCTTGGTAAGTTTCATTTTAATTACTACTACTTAACTATAACTTTCTTATCTTGATAATGATATAAATAAATTTTAACGTCTCTATGACGAGTTGATCTCAAACGTACATTTGCAAGGGGAGGCAAGATTTAATATTATTATGATAAACTTTACGTTTGACTATCAGAAATTTTATGATCATTACTTTAAAGAGTTTTTAAATAAAGAACAACTGTTCGAAAAAATACTTCTCTTGCAATTCCTTGCATAAAAACTATACGAATAACAAAGCAAAAGGAAATAACTTAAACTTGCGATCTAAATGGTCATATAATAATAGTTCACAAAGGACTTATTAGACAAGTGGAAAATCGCACAGCTCGTTGAATAGTTGTAAGCCTGACTAGTGCACCATCTATGATAGAGCATGACGTGATTGTGGACCGTACGAGGCGACGCCGCCCCGCCAGGGCCGGCCGCAGCCGCCTCTCCGCCCTTCAGTGTGCCTTCTCTCGGCCGCTTCGAATCGATCTCAATGGAGCCTTTTGACTATCGCCAAACACTAAATGAGCTTAATTTCGAGCGATTTAATTGCATGGTTGTCTTTTGTTTTTTCTTTTGCTTTGTTATGTGATACTCACCACGAATGTGCTGCCGGAGTTGTTACCGCGCTTAAGTGTAGGAGTGTTACGGGGACCGTGGTCCGAGACGAGTAGTAGTCGTGTCCGGAGTGGAGGCGCCCCGCTGCCGGCGCCCCGCCGCGCGCCGCGACCCACCCCTCCCACCTCGCGATCTCTGCATGCCGCACCTGTGCCTGGCTGTGTTCAGTTGCTCACATCACCGGTAGACACACACTCGTTCCTTTTTATTTTTTATTTCGCTCCGCTACCGGCTACACTTAAGATTTTGCGTCACCATAGTTTAAATACCGAGACTCGAGGTGGACATTGTCGTGCACCACGCGATGGTGTTCGCGTGCCAGACTCGATTTTCGATCGACACCATGGTCTGTTGCAGGCAATGTTCGCTAGTAGCATTCCCGAAATTATAGAGCTGGTAGGAAGTAGGTCCAAGTACAGTGGCGAGCTGAAGCGTGAACATGGAAAAAGGTATCCGTTTGATATATAAATTGATGCCGAAAGTGAAGGCGATTCATCTCTCGGCGTATGCGGGGGGTAGCACACGTGCCGCGCTCGCATGTCGGATCTGAATCGCCCTAGCTCTCGGGAGAGATGTGAAATCATCACTATAAAAAAGCTTGCTCAGTGCCGTCAGATGTATTGTGTCATCTACTCGTGTCCACGGCCCGGCCCCGCTCCCCCCAGCGAGAAGTTCCTCGCCCCCGCGCTACCGAGCCATCCTGCGCTTCCGAGCCGGTTGTCCTCCGTAGAGCCGGGGCGAAAACCGACCCGGCTAGCGGGCGCGTCGGCCGGATCGTGTTCGCGCTCTACCAAGCGTCTATATCGAATGCCCCTCGTTAGCTTAGGAACCGGTAAAACCGATTTCTTTTTAAGTTCTGTTCATCGATTAGTTAGCGTATGTATCCTTAGGCTTTGCATGCACTCGGTCACGAGTCCCGTCACGGCTTGCGCCGGTCACAGCCCCGCTAGCGTAGCTCGGCACGGCACCCAAGTCCCGCACACCACACAGCCACAGCCACCACGCAGACAGACGACACTCGAGCCACAGCCTTGTGCGAGCGCGGGGGTACGCGGCCGCGGGCCGGGGGGGCGGGCGCGCGGAGGGGCGGTCGCTCACCTCACGGTGTTTGCTGTGTATCGTAGGCTGTGTTCGCCAGCTGGATCCCCGAGATCACGGAGCTGGCGGCGCAGCGGAACAAATACGGCGGCCGGTACAACAAGGACGTCCGCCGCAGGTACCCTGCTCTCACGCCCCCGCTCCACGCGGCTTCCTGCCTTCCTACCTCTCACGGTTTCGATCTTGGTTGATTGAATGCGGAGTTTGCTAATGAAATTTATTAATCCTTCACTAGAATCGGTCTCTCGGTGCCGTGGCGCATGCTCGAAGAGTTAGCTCCCGGCGGCCGCGCCCCTCTCCCCGAACTAGAGAGACAGGCGCGCGGTCGACCGACGCACTACTACATGCCTTTTTTCGTAAATTTTACTCGAGATACCGTTGAGCTTTTTAATCCTTCTAACGAGACTAGATCTGGAGAGAGCCGATGTAAAGTTTTGTAATGCTGTCGATGAAAGTAGTGTTTGGTTTGTTCGCTTGCACACGATGCCTGTCGCCACGCTGTAGCGCTAGCTCCGGCACCTCGCCACGAGTCCCGACGATCACACACAGCCAGTGCCGCGCGCCGCCCCGCCCCCCCGGGCCCGGCGCCCCGCGCCCCACGCCCCGCGCCCCGCGCCCCGCCCGGGGCCCGCAAGCGAGCCGTCCGCCCCCCGGCCGGCGGCTCGATTGTGCGGCCCCCACCACTAACCGGTCGACTTGAATGTGAATGTCTTGTTTTGTCTGTCGGCGTTTAGGCGATATTTGCCAGTTGTATCCCAGAGATAATTGACTTAATCGGCACTAGACCCAAGTATGGCGGCACCCTCAAGAATGAGCGGGGACGCAGGTGAGCCGCTGTCTTCACTCCGTTCCGTTGAATGTGTTCCGTGTTGTGAAATCTATATCTTCCTTTTCCTCTCTTAGCACGCTTCTGTGTTCTCACTTATCTTTGAAGGGACGCGAGTCCCTGAATTGTTGTTTTTTGAGTCGATATTGATTGTAAACTATATTACCTTTGAATTTGAGTTCAGTTGAATAGTGAAAAGCAGATAGTGGCTAGTGTTATCGCTCGTCATTATACTAGGTATCATGATTATGTTCTGTTAGTATACGTAAAGGAATGTTAACGTAAAGCTTAGTTACGGAGAGTTAAATGTTGAGTGATACCGTAGTGTGTTGTTGGAGTTCTGGTGTGCGAGGCGTCGACAGCCCCTCGGGCGCGGCGAAGCCTGGCCGCTGGAGCCGTTGATGCGACCCTCCCGCTCCCGTTATGTACCCGTACCGTACCTAGTGAGTCCGTCCGCTCGCTCCCACTGCCACATGCTCCCTCCCTGCACGTCTATAACTGTACTGTAACTCTTACTCTTAATGTTGACCCTCTTACTGTTTTGTAATTTGTAATGTATCTTTTCGATCGACCCCCTCGGTTGTATTAGTGTAATGTATTTACGTTAAATTCATAGAGCGTGGCAAGGCTGTGTGCATTGAGGACATTTTATAACGCAAAATTAGATTTTAGATATCAAACATATCATTTTTGACATGATTTATATCATCTTAGCAATGATACACAAAATCATTTGTACAAAACTGTTTGGATTTGTTGATTTGTAAATTTTTAACGATGTTTGCAATCATCAATATAAAAGGTAGAATTTTCTTTGTAATTTTTATAAAACAAAATGAAATCAGTTCCTTTGCCACACCTTAGAGAATATAGATTGCATGACGTGCTTAGTATCGAGCAACTTTTATTTATTTGTCTTTCTTTTCTATTTCACTAACTATTCTGGATGAGTTTGATGTGTTTCTCAATTAATGTTATGTTGGTTTGTTTTTCATGACATTAAGCCTCATAATTACCGACACTGTCGACTGTCTGTCACACCCCCACCTGTCTTGCAGTTGTCTTCCCCTTTCCGTTGAACTTATAAAGAATTGAGGATGTACCCCGAATGACTACCATCGAAATTCAAACGTTCCATTTACTATGAGAGAACTGTACTGAGACGCAAGCTTTTCATGATATTTATATACAGTAAGATCAGAATCATATTTACCATGTTCCATACCTACCTTCTAGTATCGTTGTAAATATTGTAATTTCTTTATCGTACCTGCATAACAAGCATACCACGTACTTTTACTGTGTATATATATCGTGAATGATATTAATTAAAATTCCAATTCCACTTCAAAATTGGCCCTTCACACATTCACTGAACAGACATCTATTTTGCGATGAATGCTATTTTATTTTGTGCGGCTGTACGAGTGCCATTTTCTACACTTCGTCATTGCAAGTGTCACACTACCCCAGTCCCCCCTCTTTGGTTCTGTAAAGATTTTGTTATTTTTTTTTATATTTTTTTTATTTTGACTAATGTGGTAGATAGATTTACACAAGTCCTGAACGAAACTGAGCTTTCTAGTTAATAGTAAGACGGTTCATTTTTTTGTGGATAGTGTAGTAATTGAGCTCTCCTTTTGATGACGCAATATTGTACTTGGTACTTAGTAGTTGTTTTTATTAAAGCCACAAATTAATGAACAATTTAAATTTATTGTAAATTAAAACGGTTAACAGACACGATATCTTTTCATCAAGTGATTGGGATGACTGACAAGTTACTGACAAAAAAACTATAAAAATGCAACCATTTTCAAATTCTCCTGTAATCTTTCTAATTGACTCTGAATTAAACATATCGTGGACTTGACCGTGTAGATTTTTCACGCTTCTGTCACCTAATTGTTTTGTTTAACCCTGCCGTGACCTTTGATTGTGTTTGTGTTATGTAACTTTGGTCCCAGGTGTTAAATAAAACTTCAAATTGCTGTACCTCTCTTGATTTTTCTATTGTACTTTAAAGATATGAATATCTAAGCTTATTGCAGATTCGCTTTGAACGAAACGAAAAGCCTTTGAAATTTCCTTTTTACTATTCTCAAATGCTGCACTGCTTACATTTTGCGAATTGTCAATGATTCAGCGGCAATGCAAAATTAACAATTCTCTTTAAACTTTTGCATAGTTCTCAATCAAAAAGGCTTAAGAAAAGTCAATTCGCTTCGGAGCTTATTTGTACCTTCAAACAGCTGTCTTGTAGTAGCACAATCTTCTCTTTTAACTGTGATACGTTGTTATAATATGTGAATACAATTTCAGGCATATAGTTGTGTGTGGACATATAACATACGAGTCAGTGAGCCATTTTTTAAAAGACTTCCTACATGAAGACAGAGAAGATGTGGACGTTGAGGTTGTTTTTTTACACAGGTTCGTAAATTTTGCTTTTTATTATGAATACCTAAATATATATTGTAAAAATGTTGTATGGCCATTTCGGTCATCATTTGTTAACAGCAGATGACTTTGTCTAAGAATTTATAAGCCCGGGAACCATACCATGAATTCTTATGGCGATTCTTATGTAACGATCTGTAGTGTTTTGGCGGGAACCGGTAAAGGAAACAGCATACGTCTAGCGATAGTTAGCGTTCATTCACGACTGATTTGACATAGAAACGTCTATTCCTAAATATTAAGTTCAACCTACCTTCATTATAATCGTCGGCAATCATTCGATTGAACCAAAATGGCGCTCTACGATGGGTTACAGTATCACTTAAAAATTGGAATCGAACTGCAATAAGAGTTCATGGTAGGAGTCCTTGAATATGTTTACTTCGCTTTAGAATAACATTAGGTACATATATTTAAATAAATATAATGAAATTAGGAGTGGAACAACAGCACAACTTCAGATCTACCTTCATACTTCTGTTTTTGATTGAAAATTAAATTTTGTACTAGCTTTCAAAACAGTAATAAGTCCACAACAATGAGTAGGTGCTGTAAAATATTATCTGAGTTAAATAACAGAACTACCATAAAGTTATTGAGCGGTGTATCCAACGACGCTTTCAGAAAAGAGCCCGACCTTGAGCTGGAAGGTCTACTGAAGCGTCACTACACCACGGTCGAGTTTTTTCAGGGTACAATGATGAATGCCGTCGACCTTGAGCGAGTCAAGGTTAGAGTAAGACGAATAGAGCAGGCATTAGTTTATCGCACGGCCGTACTTATCATTGAAAATATGCGTCTACGTGAACCAGTATTTTTATTTCTTTATGTGCATAAAACAGATATTTTCCTTCTAAGATGCTGTTCCATAGTCACAGTAGGAATTTTATCACTTTGGTAACTTTATCTTGTGATTCTTTTGATGCAATCATTGCTTCTCACGGTGGGCCGGTGGCGCCTGCCAGCAGGCGCCGCCGTTCCACCCCACGACTGCGTATTTTGGTAAATAGAGTTGCATGGTACGATCGGGCCACGAACGTCGGCGGACTGTCCAACCCGTAGTGTTAACTGAGCGTTCATGACAGGAAACCGCCCGACTTGGAGCTCGAAGGCCTGTTCAAGAGACACTTTACCACTGTGGAATTCTTTCAAGGCACCATTATGAACCCAATCGACCTACAGAGGGTAAAAGTAAGTAGAACGCGATGTTTTGGGCGTGGTGTCGGTTTGAAGCTGTACAGACTGTCATTTCTATAGACGTAGAGCGATGCTCGTTCACTATTAACCCCTCGAGAAGGATTCTGTCGGAGCGTTGTGAAGTTCCCTTCTGTGAGCGCTGTCTGTGCGTGCCTGTGCTACTGTCCCGCGCGACGGGCGGGTGCGCGCGCGGCCCCGTGCTGCCGGCCGCCGCGCACTCGACCGCCGCGCCCTGTACGTCCCCGGCCCCTTCGCCGCCCCGCGGCACGTGTGTCTCACTGTCTGTACCAACCTTTGGTGTTGTATGCCCGCGATCATACTCTAAACAATCGATATCGATTGTACTGTACCTACCTACATTTCCTTAACATAATTGGCTGCCGCTGAAAGAGTTTCAAAATTTTCAAATCAATTCGTAGTTCAAAGTACAGTTGTCGATTGTCGAAATTGTCGAGTGTTTATGGTAAGTTCTAGACTTCGGTGCATGGCTTCGGTATCGGCATGTTTCGCTTAAGCATGATATTCGGTTTGACACACCCACCCGCTTTTTCCTAAATGACCACTACGAAAAGCAAAATCATAAAGAACTATCCTACCTTTTTAACTGGTATACACGGATGATATAATATGCGTAGTGGACATTTGTAAGTAACATGAGTGTTTAGTTTGCAAGTTTGTTTAGTTTTTTCATGCTTGTTGTCAGTTAGGTATTTTAGATATTCGTAAGTATTCAATTTCTTTATTTAAAGACTAACAAACTAAATGTAAATATATTTTAATTAAAGTTAATCAGCAAATAAATTTAAATTCATAATTATTTTTGATACTAAATACAAGTATTGTTTAATTCGCGCCAAACATTACACGCGCTATTTAAAATCATTATTACACATAAAAAAAAGTTGAGATATTTTCTTTATAACATTTCAAATAAAAAAATACAAAACCTTTATTTTTCCAAAATAGCTTATATCTTTTGTATGCTAAAATCTCCATGTTAATACTCTTTATCGGTAAAAATGTGACATTAGGTGCACGAAGCGGACGCATGTCTGGTGCTAGCCAACAAATACTGCCAGGACCCCGACGCAGAGGACGCGGCCAACATTATGAGGGTCATCTCCATCAAGAACTACTCCGACGACATCAGGGTCATCATTCAGCTCATGCAATACCACAATAAGGTCAGAATTCAATTCCAAACTCATCAGAAATTAGTATAGGAACAAACTGTTTAGCTTACATGATGGCCGGATGTCCGATCTTTGCAAGAAGCTTAAGTTTTCTAAAAACTTTCTCAATTCCAATAAGCAGGTTGTAGGTACTGGTCAACATTCACACAATAAGATCAGATTTCATTTCCAAAATCATCAATGAGTATAAAAGTTTATCTAAATACTCCCAAACGAAAAGATAGCCGATACTTGCAAGAAGTTTAGAACACTTAACTAGTTCTAATGCAAAATTTGTCCTGGTCATCATTCGGCTCATGCAGTTCCACAATAAGATCAGATTTCATTTCCGAAATCATCACAAATAAAAATACAAAATGTTTAGTCAAGTAATCCTAAGCGATAAAATAGCCAAATTTTGTAAGAAAGAAGCTTAACAACATTTTCACAATTCCAACGGGAAACTTGTCCTTTTAGTTTTAGTTCAATCCAGTACGGTACCACAATAAAGTCAGATTTCATTTCTAAACTCATCAGAAAAGAGTATATAAAGTTTTTAGCAAGTAGTGCCATACGACCGAATGCACGCCTTTCGAGAAGCTTAAAACATATTTTTAAGTTCCAGTGAGAAACTTGTCCTGTAGTGGTTTATGCTGAGAGTTCTGAATGTTTTGGACACCACACATCAAACCCCAATTCAATTAGTCTTATACGGTCAAACGATATTTCCCTCTTTATTTAATGCAGTTTGAGAAACTTAGTAACTGAAATTTATACCCTGAAGTCCAAAATGAGAATAACATCAATGATCTTTCAAATTCCCAATTGATGCTCAGTTACCATTTAATGCAATTGTTTTTTCAAGAGGAGCTCGCTGTTGCAGTGGTTTAGCATGTTAATTTGCGATCGTGGAGGTTAATCAACTTTCGGAATTTCCGTCGGTAACCAAAAATTTATTATCTGAAGCTCTTCCGTGCTTCGGAAGGCACATTAAGCCGTTGTTCCAGGCTACAGATGCAATCATTAGTAATTATGTTCCATTCTACCTATTCTATTTACAGAAGGCATAAGGCCTACATTCGTAGGCTGATGATAATGTACTTTACAAATATGAATACTTTTACAGGCCTACCTTCTTAACATTCCGTCGTGGGATTGGAAGCAGGGCGACGACGTCATTTGCCTGGCGGAGCTCAAATTGGGTTTCATCGCGCAGAGCTGCCTCGCGCCCGGTTTCTCCACTATGATGGCGAATCTCTTCGCTATGCGCAGTTTCAAGACGGTCAGCCATCATTGTTACAATAAAATGTTTAATTTATTAAACTTCTTCCAAAAGTACATTCGAAAGCGGTTCCGGGAAGAGCTAGCGAAAATTTTACAAATTACTCACGCACAGTACTTTCATTTGTACATTAGTTACTAGAATTTCTATCAGACCGACATGATCTGACTTATATCCTATCATTAATATCTTCATCTTCAATGAAAGTTAGTTTTTGAAGCTAGTTCAAATTGGCAAAGTCGTAAAGTAAACAATGAGCAGCATTCCGAATGTACTGTTGTATAATGTTGTATGCGGCATTTTCACAGTCACAAGACATGGCTATATGGACTAATGACTACATGCGCGGTACCGGCATGGAGATGTACACGGAGACATTGAGCAACACGTTTGTCGGGCTGCCGTTCAGTGTCGCCGCTGAGTAAGTGAGGTTACACACCAGTGGCCACGACTGTTCGTACCTACTGTAAAAGTCACCACGCCCCCGGGACTGGGAAGAGAAATCACTTAACGATTACAAATAACCGCATAGCTTATGTTCATTAAGATTTTGTGTTGCCAGCTTCTTCCGCGATTCGAACTTCGGTGTTTAATTTTCTGAAGTCTCATAGATACTGCACTGAATAACTCCTTTGTGATGGTAGATGGCGCTGTATAGATTAGAATTAATGACATTGTAACTAATCAGCGAGCGGGGTCGGCGACAGCTGTACAGGGGTGTGTTCGGGGTCCTCCACGAACGACTAACACGGCACGAGCTTTAGCCTCTCCTGTTGATTGATTGCAGTCCCCCGACACCCAAGCTTGGCAGAATGATTACCTCCAGGGTACCGGCTGCGAGATGTACACGGAGACACTGTCGACATCTTTCACGGGGATGAGCTTCCCTCAAGCGAGCGAGTAAGAACCCTAAATATTGGGCCAGTTACCCTGCACCGTAGAATCTGTGTGCCGCTGTAGCTGTGTGCACTAACTACCCCAACTTTAGGCTGTACGCCGTAGGACTGAATGTATCGTACTTAATTCGGAACTATTTATAAACATTTTGGTTTCAGAATGAATTGCATGATCACTGGGTAAATAATGTTCTACGGTAAATAATGAAGATTGTAGTTACTCCTGAATCAAATAGGATTTGTAGTTGTGTAGTGTAGTATAACACCGCAGGTAGTTAGAACTTTTAGATCAGTGTCATCAAATCGATTGAAGTATTCCCATACCTAATCAACTTTGTTGAGTTGTCGTCTCAGTAGATCATCTAAAATTTACAGTATCCACCGACCGGTTTCGATTTTTTATGAATAAATATAGTCCATAAATAATATTTTCAGTAAACACATTTTTCAGTGCAGTAGAATTATCATTAACAGTTTCGTTTTTCTAAAAGCATGTAGCACCATCTGCATGTCATGAATAATTTATTTTTATGTTCTACTAATTCTTAGTGGTAACTAACAAAATATTTCTAAATTATTATTCAATTTTATCTGATTACGTAAGTGGTAAATACTATAAGTAAGTATAAACCTAGCTAAATCCATATGTTTTGAAGCTATGCTTTCCACTTCTCTTGCTTATAGACACTTGCATGTCAACGACACTGCACAGAATTATTATTAAGCTTGAAATTTTACAATTGTCTGTAACGTTAAACATTTAAATATTAGCATGTTGCATTCATGTATTGTAATATAAAAAATAATAAATTTCGACATACTGCTTTGTCGATAATTGAATTCAAAACTGACACATTACTTTTGCGCTGAATTTTGAATGAGAATTTTATTTAGATAATGTACGATTATTGAACTATGTATTCACAGGTAAGTTATTAATAATTCACAAGTATTAGATTATTAAACATTCGTATCTAGAGGATTAAATTCCCGAGTAGGTTTCTAAACTCGAGGGTACTACAATATGACAAAAGTATTTGGCGATCATTACTATGGCATGTACTTGATTTGAGAGATACATTGGTAAAATAATCAATCAATTTATATTCTAACCACTTTAAAGTCATTCATTTGAGTATTAAATCCGAGTTATTAGTTAGAACAGTACCTTCTCATAAGCTGTATTATATTATCATCGATTCAAAGTGACATAAGAACATGATGATTTCCTATCAGGTTGTGTTTCACGAAGTTGAAGCTGTTACTGCTGGCCATTGAGATCAAGGGGGAAGAGGGAGCAGACAGCAAGATCTCCATCAACCCGAGGATTGCGAAGATTCACGCCAACACTCAAGGGTTTTTCATAGCACAGTCCGCTGATGAGGTCAAAAGGTGCAGTAACTACAACCTCAACACAATTATAAAATATCTACTCCAGAAAAATTGACCCATTCTCACCCACGTTGAAAAAGATCGACCTATCTACTCCAAATTCATGAAAATTTATTCCTTCCAGAGCTTGGTATTACTGCAAGGCCTGCCATGAAGACATCAAGGATGAAACACTCATCAAGAAGTGCAAGTGCAAAAATTGTAAGATCACTCAATTGCTTTATCTAATTCCAATGAAATACTTACTTGTAAACTAAGATAGAATAATAATCTCTAAACATTAGAATAAACAATGAAAAATGAAGATTCTGTGACATTCTTTCTGGAAACTTTATCAATGTTATAAAAATTTCACGAGCTGTGTCCTACAATTTTAACTAGTCACATTTTAACACATCCCTTAATAAGTGAACCAGATAACTTTGTCACTTGTCACACTGTAGGTATCTCAAGGACACGACACAGCATATCTTGCTATCAAATTCACACTGTGTACTTTCTATTTGTGAGACATTAATGGAATATTATTCGGCTGGACTTTTAGTGACCGCGCAGCGGAAGGTCGGGGCCGATATAGGTAACTTGCACAACACCTAACCTCACAAATTGACGTTTTCCGATATTTATTTTCGTGTCTATATAATTTTGAGTTGCTTTAGTGGTGTTGCGTCCGTACCTCACAGACTGGATCGGCTGCAAAGCATTCTCTTGACCCGTGCTCGTTCACACCCTATAATTTAGCGATCATTGTGTATGTCCGCTCGTGAATATACGATGAAGCACTCCGACACTTCACCATTTTTCTATGCCTTTTGAGACATTTCTCGCTCTGTTCTGATTTGTATGAATTTTGAGAGCATTTAGTGCATCATTCAATGCTGCAAACACGAATCCATCACTGATCAGGTACAATAAGGTAACACCATTTTTATCACTCTTCAAAATTTTTATCTAAATTTAAACCCGGTGCAAAGTATTATGAGCTCTTACGATATTGATATGATGCACTTCAAAGCCCAGCACAGACAGTATATATTTTATTGCATGTAAACAACAGTAGATCTAAATGGCAAAGTGTAAATTGCACCGTCATTATCCCAAAACACTTAGATAATGTCTATGTACTTAATCCATGAAAGCATGTCTCAGAAAATAAGAGTGATGAGAAAGTGTTAAACAACTATCCCAAATGAAGAGTGAGCTTTGAAGAGACAAAGACTTTAGACAACAGTTCTTGGCTTGTCTGTGCCTTGTATTAAAAGTGACTAACGCAAGGTCCAAAGTAACTAAACAATTGTCACTATTCATTATACCTATCATCATTCAGGTTGGAAGGATCAAATTCAATTTACTCACACAACAGGTTAGGATAATAACTTTAAATTTATTAGAACTTGATCCTACCAATAAAATTAACATTACGTTACCCAATCCATCAATGGAATAGGAGCGTACCTTCGTTGTTGTCAGATTTTGGATTTTTGCAGATGTCGGAATGATGATGATGCAGACTGGGATGGTGAAACAAAATCTTAATACATATCGAGGTTGTCTCGACGGTACGGAAAGAAAATGCGAGCTATCCCATATTACCGTACCTCACAACACGTTTAGTTTGTTTGTAAACTAACCATTGCTCATGGGCGAACTATATACTGAGCTACAGTATACGCTAATACACAATTAAACGTTACACGCAGCTAGACTAGTGCAGCAAGGCTAAGACACATAGCAGATTAACTACAAACTTGCTTACTTGACAATGATAGGACTATTATCAAACACAGGTCTATTATCAAATTATAGGAAGTGTTTTAGATGGATTCGAATCACCAACAAGCTTGCATTATACTATAGCTGCATTTCTTGCGCTTTTGGGGCAATTGTATAAAGTAGATTTCTGTAGTTGGTGATTAGAATCGATAATTTGGATTGCATCGGCCAGCATTATGTTTACTGTTCTTAATCTTAAGGAGGAACTCCTTAGCTTTGCATCTCTGTCAGCATTAAGTACCTATGATTTGCGTTCCTTCTGTTACATACACCCTCTAAATCAGGATGATTAAATTAGTTATTATCAACGGATGAGCTAAATATTTTATTTCTCGGTTCAGTGGCTACATTCAGGAAAGGCGTACGAGCCGTCCAGATGGTTGGCCGGGCAAGTACGTAACTCTTGTATACAATTCAATATAAATGTCAATGTGATGTTTTTATAAGCGAGATGTCCGGTGTTGGTTGGGCTGACGGAACTGCCCTATATAGCAGTCTCGTGTCCTGTAATCATTGTCTTGTCTACGTTTCTCTATGTGCATTTATACAGCAGTTAGATGTTTGCCTCTCTATTAGCCGATACTATAAAATATCGAGAGACATTGTGATGTCGTTTATTTATGTTGGTGTTGTTTTTATTACCTATATATAATATACTCAAAATATTTTTTAGGAAGTATTTTGATCCCTGGTTTCTGCATCGAATAGTCCCTCTGATATTGATGTTGTGTAATAGTGTTAAATGAATTTTTTAATTTGTTTTATTGCTTACCAATTGATAAGATTTTAATTGTTTCCACTACCCCACATGGGGAACGTTAATTTGATTAGATCCCGCCTCGATAGAAACGTCTGGACATGCAGTTATTGGCTACTGCGAAAATTCCGGTATTTTAAAATGCCTTTTTACAAGTATATCTTTGCGATTTTAATTATATTTGCCTACAACCATTATAACGTTAGTACGCTCGGTTAGAATTCCAGATTGATCACTTATCATGTATCATTTCCCTTTGCATTAGTTTCAATTCATTTTAACTAGGGTTTTAAATTCATTATTTTTTATAAAACATATATAGAGCACAATGCTTGTCTAGCTTAGTTTAGTGTTTCATTTTGTGTATATCTGCTTTATGTCTGTTTGTTGCATGTGAATGTATCTACTTTGTATTTGTTAATAAAAACTTGTTTTGGAAATTGATGTAACTTTTAATTATAAAAATATATATTCGAATAATTGGACTTCAACTTCATTTTGCACAGTTACGCTTCTATATCGCTAAGCTAAGCCAAGCTTGTATGAAGTTGAGATCCAATGTTATCAGTGATTCACATTTAAAGTCATAAGTATTCAATTTGGTGATCACGGTCATCGCGCTGTATACATGCCAGTTTGTATTGTATTTATTCAGTGGTGTATCGGAATGCGAAATTGTGCTGATGTTTTGCAGATGACCACCATCCTCCCCCCACGTTCACGCCGCCAGAGTTGCCCAAGAAGGTCCATGTTCGAGGTACATCTCAGACTCAACGAAATGAGTGTTTTTTTTTTATTTATTTCCTTAACAATCATCGGCCCACACTTCTTCATTGAACGACCAGCAATGTGCTTCGTCCTTAGATTACCAGAAGGTATCGTGCACTTAGTTGCTTTATCACGCATTGTCATAGCGAGCACTAACAACTAGTGGCTAATGAGTGCCACTGAAATTTTATGACCGCTTCAATTCAGGCATGTACCCGGCGAAGAGAAGTAGATTATTTGACCTATCGCTTGAGCGATCGAAACATTCTGAAATAAGCAATATACTATAAATGTCACAACTCTGCACCTCTCAGAGTTATAAGCGATCAGTGCCTATTTTATGATTTTAATACAAAATCTTTTTATATTAATTTTGCATCATAATTTATAAATAATTCAAAGATAAACGGTTTCCATCGATCTGTGCTTCTTGGTAAACTCTACAGCGGATATTTTATCATTTCTGGTTTATACTCCTTTGCCATACATCGCGACTACTTCATGGCATTGCATCTGTCCGTTCGACAATACTGTATCCCTGAATGCTTGTTGGTACGCTTTTGTAGTAGAATTGAATGCAGAGCATCTATATATATAAATGCTGTGAGACATTGTAATTTTTTGTGTCTGCATCAAAGAAAAAAATATGGGAAATAAAAAAATAAACCCAAAACAATAATTGGCAATACATTAATAACATTTTTGATGATACTGTTTGCTACAGTAATTTTATAACCTGCAGTAATTTCATCTCCAACCAAAATTAGAACCTCCCCGCCTAACTGAACAATATTTTTTAATTTTCCAACTCTATACTCATCATACTTGCCTTCCAGGTGAAATCGCGAGGGAAAGAGGAGAAGACACTAGTTGTAAGTACATGACGTGTTTTCAAGAGAAAGCTTTTGCGAGCAAACGAAATCTTTTATTATAACCTTGAGGTAGCTACAGTCAACTCAGTCAGGAAAATTAACAGCATGCCGCATTTAAAGTATAAGAAGGATGATTTGTTTGTAAAAAAAAAAAGAAATTGCAAATTTTAGATCTTAAACTTTTCATGCATCAATACTGAATAAATCGAAACGAACTTTAAAAACCTTACCAAAACCAAAAGTTTTGCTATTAAAGCGACAAGCATTATTTGGAAATTTCTTTTGCTGTTATTTATTTCAAGCCACACTAGCAAGCTAAAAAGAGATAGATACTTATTTCGGGGGTTTGTCTGTATAGCTTTTCACTTAGCTTCGGCTTCAAGCAATGCACTACCAGTTATGTGAAAATAAAAAAACCCCTGCCTATTTCTAACGATACCTATATCTATATACCTTTACAATGAAATTGTGGTTCCACAGTGATAAATCGAAATCACCGGAGTGCTGCTCCATCGGCGTTGCTGTCTCCGATGGCGAACCAACTCATAAATACCACAACGAGGCAGGTCAACAAGGTCAAACCAAACGTGAATAGAGCTCCACCGGACACGTAAGTTAAACAAGATCCGTTTTGCGCTGAACTATCTGATAGTGAATCTCTACTATATATCCGTTTTGCTGTGTTGGTACTTTTGCACGCCAAGCTAAGTGGTTCCAAACAACATAGGAACATAAGACGATGCACTTTTAAAAGCTTACCGTATTTAACAAAAAAGATCGTAAAGATTGCAACTTTGTGATAAGGCAGTCGTTTGTTTAAACATCTCATGTTAAATAGGTACCTACTCTGTTTTGAATTATAAATAGAAAGTAATTCTTTCAGGTCGTTAGATGCGTAAACAGTTCACGCAATTCTAATGCTAAGGTTTCATAAATGTTGGAACGGTAATTTTTCGAGCTAGGCGGGCTAAGTTAAAATAACTATAACAGATGACAAGTACCTAAAACACGCAGTATTTAATTAGCAAGAGAAATTTTAACGACAAATTTACATTTTGTGAACAATGAAGAATAAAGATACTTAGTGTTTTTTTTAATAAATTAAAACAAACCATTTTACAATTGTAACTTTGGTTTTATATTTGTTATTAAGATAATACAGATAAAAAAAACTGGAAAGTAGGAAGTCGTCAGTCGTATCTAGTATTTGCATTTTTTTTATTATATACTATTATCACTTTGGTTACATAGATTTACACCACTTTTAAGGATTACTTAGATGAAATGCTGGTTTTGTCCAAGATTTTTTGACAAATTCCTGTTATACACAAACTCCTGGTATTATAAAAGTAGTATTTAAAATATTTAATGCAACACGCTTGTTGATATTTCGAAAAACTTCACACCTAAGTACCTACTCCTAATTTTTAAATTCCAAATTTTACCTCTAGTCTGTAAATTCGGTTTTTGATACATTATTACAATTAATGTATATAATTGGCATAGCTTTCAGACAGTTTATTTATAAGATCTTTCTTTATCTACACGTTATAAATTCCACTATATTGCAATAGATATATATTATAAAATGAAAATACTTATCTGTTATTCCTATTATAATGCAAATCTTAAATATTGTAACAATAAATTTTATACATAAAGATATCATAATCATCTTCTGTTCTATTTATTTTTTTTACTATCGCGGCTTTTGGTTCCAATATTTTGTTGTGTCACATACATTATGTTTAGCACATGGTGCACTCACTACAAAACTATTTATCTTAACATATATATCTGCTGCACATATATCTATTTCAGTTTATTTTTATCCTCTTATATCATTGGAGACGACTCTTTGGCCCTGTGTTACAGGAATCCGCAGGATCAAGATACGAATTACCAGGCCTACCATCTTGCCTACGAAGTCAAAAAGCTCATGTAAATCCAACAAAATTATATATATCAGCTAGATAAATCTATTATTTGTAGATTGGAGTTGGGCTGGAATTAGACGTTCAAGTATTTGCGAGTAAATACTGTAGTTCATTAACTTCAATATGTACCTTTAAAAATGATTTGGTGAAAATCTAACCTTTTTAAAAAAGTTCTTCCACAAAGTAAATATTCTAAAAGCAGTGTTTTTTTAAACCTTGTCAATATGAGCTAAGGCAAGATTATAATCATCTCTTGACTTGACACGAATTCATCTTTATTTTATTTTATTACTATTGCATTGCTACTCTCTAATATTTATCTCCATTTGTTAAAAAATTTGTTAAAATGTAATTGACGATCTAATTCCAGTCACAGTAAAATAAAAACATTATTAGTTCATCTTGTAGTAGAGCTTGCTTGAGTAGTTACGTAAGAAGTAAATATTTATACTTATTTAGTATTTTTTTAAAGTACTTGTACACTTTTGTTTTTGGTGTCGATATCAGTATTTATTTTTGCACATACATATATAAGAAGCACGGCACTATTTTCTATGGCATGCTCACTTAAATTTAAATTTTATTTCAAGTAGGTACACGTAATTCCACTGTTTCCACCGTTAAAAAGCAATTTTGAGAGTTTCTTTTTAGTCGTCCACTATGATTTAGATTTACTTAAAATTTTGTATAAATCTTCTTTATTTAAAATGAAGCGTCTTATGTACATCCAAAAATATTATTACTTATTAGTGATTTCGAAACACAATTAATGGTAGACATACACACTACGAGAAATCGTTACGATTAGACTGTACAGTCCGAACGGTACCGATAAATCGTAGCGTGTATGTTATAAAACTGCACAGTTTCTTATACGTACGCCACGTACGATAAACTGTTCCGTTCGAACTGTACAGTCTGATCGTAACGATTTCTCGTAGTGTGTATGGCTAGCATTATAAAACTGCACAGTTTCCTATACGTACGCCATGTACGATAAACTGTTCCGTTCGAACTGTACAGTCTGATCGTAACGATTTCTCGTAGAGTGTATGGCTACCATAAGACGATAATAAGATTAAGGTCAAAATACATTTTAAGTGAAGAAGATTTCTGTCATGTATTTTTTTAACTATATTATCTAAATAGTTACATACTTAGTTAAATAACACATTGTAAATGAGATACGATTCAAGTGTACATCATTCGCTTTCACAAAAACTTTTGTAATAGTATTTTTTATTTACCATTGAATTCAGATTGAAGACGGTATGATTTATATGTGGAACTTGTTAAACAATTATTCACGTCCACAGGCCCACGAGTAGGAGTAGTGGGGAGAAGAACAGCAACGGTGTTAGTCTGCCAGCGGGTCTGGCGGACGACCAGTCGAAAGACTTCGACTTTGAAAAGACTGAAATGAAATACGACTCCACTGGTATGTTCCACTGGAGTCCCGCCAGGAATCTCGAGGATTGTATATTAGTAAGTACCTATATTCACAGAACTAAAGGACCTTGGGCAAAAATGTATGCACGCTGCACCCACGTCCGCCACGGCTTAAACTACATTTGTTTGAAAGGTATTATAGTATATGTGCCAAAGCGCATCAAATTCCATCCCGGGGGTCTTTAGTTTTTTTAAGTTAAATATGTACAAGTACTATAACGAACGAACATTAATGAAACATGGTAATTAATTTAGTTAGTTAGTTCGACCCTACATAGGGTGCTCAGGAATTATGGGAGTACTTCACAAGGTGCAAGGGTGCCCCCTTAGGTTATTCTGCCGCGCTAGAGTAAATCCAAAAATCCCCACATGGGTTGGGATTTTTTTAATCATTCTGTTTGTTATAGTAAATTGTCTTCTATGTAAAACGGAGCGACCACAGATTACTCAAACTTATTCACGTTTGGGAGAAGACATGATTCCAGTTCATCCATACTAATTGACAAAACCGATAATCGTGTTCCAATATCCAAAGCGTGTTAGATAAAAATCAATCAAGTAGCAGGGAGCGCACAATCACAACGAAGTAAGATGAGTCGACTTTTGCAACTGCAAGTCTTCATCATCCGTAAACCGTTTTTAAATGTCTCAGTAAGAGCAAGCGCAGGATGGTCGGCAGGCTTTGTCGTATATCTGGTTGTATAGTACGATATGGCATCATATTATGATTACTAATAATATAAAATGAAGGTACTAATATAAAATGAATTTATACAGCTACTTAAATATGCCCATGTGTCATATCTCTTGACTACCAGGATATTTTTTACGGTGTCATATCTTTTGACTCCCAGGATATTTATTTTCGGTGTCATACTAAAAAAGGCAAGTTTTTCATAGATCTATCGATTCATACTAATTACATTGTTGGCGGAGCTGGGTGCGTTTTGCCCATTGTCCTTTCTTTTAATATCTTGTATCACTTTTTAACTTTATAGACTTTTGAAAACTGTGTTTTTTTGCGAGTTCAGAAACTCAATCACGATACAGAGATGCATTTGCCTTTATATAAAGTCTGTGTTGCATAACCCTGATGTTGCAAAAAGGGTGAAAAATAGGCATATGATCCCGCTTGATGCCAAGCGGCCGGCATAGGAAACCTATAGACGCTTTGGATGTCGTACAGTATTGCTAAATACGCGATCTTATTATATAAAAGTGATTTCCTCTTGACCAAAGGCAACCACCATCTAGGTAACCAATTCACTAAACGAAATAAGATTCTTTGGAGATCTTTCATATTATTTTATAAGGCAAATTAAAACCGTCAGTCCCTGAAGCAGCTGGAGTTATCGTAGCCACATATTTGCACGGGACTAACTCCTTATACCGTCCGTAAAGAAAGTTTTTTGCATAGCATTATAGAATGAATGTAGACAGGATACAAAAGACATATGAACATATCTTCTTTTTTGCTTACAGGACAGAAACCAAGCGGCAATGACAGTTCTAAACGGTCACGTCGTGGTTTGTCTATTTGCGGACCCCGACTCGCCTCTAATAGGGCTTCGGAATCTGGTAATGCCGTTGAGGGCATCGAATTTCCACTACCACGAGTTGAAGCACGTGGTCATCGTGGGTAGCGTCGAATACATCAGAAGGGAGTGGAAGATGCTTCAGAATCTTCCCAAGATATCCGTGTTGAATGTGAGTGGAACGTCTTATTGTTTTGCAGCTCAATTTTTTTTACAAGCTTTTGTTTCACTTCTTCAGGTCTTGTGTCCTGAATGTAGGAATTAAGTTTTCAGATTGTTGGTAATCTACTTTTCCAGGGTTCACCGCTAAGCCGGGCCGACTTGCGTGCGGTGAATGTTAATTTGTGCGACATGTGCTGCATCCTGTCAGCGAAGGTGCCATCCAACGATGACCCGACGCTGGCTGACAAGGAAGCTATCCTGGCTTCGTTGAACATCAAGGCGATGACGTTCGACGACACGATAGGCGTGCTGAGCGCGGGGGTGGGGACGAACGGCAGCAGCGCCGCGCCGCCGCCGCCGGGGCAGGCGCCCGCGCCGGTGCTGCTGCAGAGGAGGGGGTCCGTGTACGGTGCCAATGTGCCTATGATTACCGGTTTGTATTATTCGTAACTGGCGGCCACCATCGGCTATATCCGCGATAACTTTCGTTTTTTGATAATCCCACAGGAACCCAAATGACGGTATAATAAGTATCCTATGTTTCAATCTAGGTCATAAACTATACGCGCATCGAATTTTATCCAAATCTGTCCAATAGTTTTTGCGTGATTGAGTTACAAACACACAAACTTACAAACCGTCAATTTAAAATGTTAGTAGGACTAATGTAGTGATCCGCCTTGAATATGGTTTTTTTTCTAGGGCATGTATTAGGCATATACTTAAACCTTCCTTTTGAATCACTCGTACCTCTTGCTGAAAACTGCATCAAAATCCTTTGCGAAGTTTAAAAGATCTAAGCGTTCAGACACGGGACAGGTATGTGTCTTACATAGATATACTTCTTACTTTAGGATTGTTTTCTAACAGACAAATGATGAATCTAAGCTTAAATGACCCGTCTGATGGTGGTCTTATTTACGCTATGTATCTACGACTTCGGAGATCTCTGGTATTTGACTGCAATATTTTAAGATGTACTTATTATCACACTGAACTAAACAATGGTCCAATTCGGGTTTTTCTTTTCATTTTTTTTGGATTCTCGACTCGAAACGATGTATTGATTTCTTACATCAATTAACATTACAGAGCTGGTGAACGACAGCAACGTACAGTTCTTGGATCAGGATGATGACGACGACCCTGACACAGAACTGTACCTCACTCAACCGTTCGCTTGCGGCACGGCCTTCGCTGTGAGCGTGCTCGACTCTCTTATGTCCACCGTGAGTATGAACACTTACCTATACAACATCATTTTTTTAGTCTAGTTGCCCTTTGAAGAATATCAGACATATTTGTTTTAAACTTTCATGGTGACAAATATTATAGCAATTAACGGATGTGTTCCTTACTTACGTGGGTATTGTGTATCGGGAACAGGTGTTAGTGAGTAGTTAGAATGTGATCAGTGGTAGGGGAGTCCAGGGCAATAAAAGACTATTTCATAGGGTAGACCGATATATCTGCCAATAACATCTATCCTTAATTACTTCAATTACTCCCTTATCATGGCGCTTGTAATAGTGCCGAAATATCGGAGAGTCAAAAACAAGTTACATGGTAACTAAGTAATTAATCCCGTTAATTACCATACTATTTGACTTATAAAGATCGAAAATATGTGCTTATTGAAATTGAAAGCAGGAAAAACAATGTACCAAGTATGATTCATGATAATCTTTGTCTACCTATTTTGACTGCGATCTTGTAATATCCACGATGCAGCAACATCAATAAATATTCCTTTCAACGAATCATGAGTGCAACGTCCAATGACACAGACATATTTGTACTAACACCCGGGTTTTCTTACAGACGTATTTCAACCAAAATGCCTTAACGCTGATCCGGTCGCTGATCACGGGCGGCGCCACTCCAGAGCTGGAGCTAATCCTCGCCGAGGGAGCTGGACTCCGAGGAGGGTACTCTACGCCTGAGAGTTTAGCTAATAGGTAAGTTTACGAGATCGTCTAAATGTCTGTATCAAAATCCCCCATATTACAATATGTGGACCAAAGTTGGGCTTGGTACAAACTTAATGCTGTCTGTCTACTCTGTAGCAAACAAAGGTTTTTTATCATTTAAGACGAAGAAGTTTTTTTTCAATTCGGGGGAATGTGTTGTAAACTCGTGAACACGAAATGTTTACAGCAGAAGGCTGGATCGCAGCCGTTTATTCATATGGTCGTCGGGAAGAAATGCACCATGCTCTTTATTTTCTTGTCTCTTGAGGATACATTTGTTTTCTGCTCACACATAATGTAGTTCTAAGGTTGCGCCTCACTACATTTCCTGTAGTCTATATACGTCTCCATGACTGACACGCACTTTGCTGAAAAGAAGTGGGGAAGTTTCCTCTTCCAATCGGTTTCTCAAAAAGCAACGGGCTAGGGAATTTGAATTGAGTGATGAATTATTCCTTGCATAGTTATGGTAAATCAGCCTAAAGCTTACAACTTTGTACCATCATTTTCCACTCAACTGATTTCCTTATATTCTCCTCAGGGACCGGTGTAGAGTCGGCCAGATATCTCTGTACGACGGCCCGCTGGCGCAGTTCGGCGAGGCGGGCAAGTATGGAGACCTGTTCGTGGCGGCGCTACGCTCCTACGGCATGCTATGCATCGGCCTCTACCGGTTCCGGGACACGTCCTCCTCCTGTGACGCCAGCAGCAAGCGATACGTCATCACCAACCCGCCCGATGACTTCAGCTTGCTGCCCACCGACCAGGTATGATCTCATCACTTGGCGAACGAGCAAGATTTGTGATCGATCAAGAAATACAAAGATTATGTTTATAAACTCGAATACTTTTTGTATAATCAGTTCGTTAATTATATTATTAAAGAAAATGCTTAGAGCCATCATCACTAACTTATTTGTCCCCACTGGGGCACAGTCCTTTCTTATTAATAGAAATGGAATAGCCTGAATGAAGGACGAGCCATGGTGCAGATTGGTAAGGGCTGATAAACCTTCAGAAGCACAGAAGAGCTCGAGATAGCAATTTGGTTTCGTATACTATGCCCGGACATTGCGAAAGTCAGGTTATTCTTTTAAACGTAGACCGAGCACGCTAGCTACTGCGCTATCAAGCTCCTCCCTGAGATTCACTTAGTCCAATCTCTGTGTAATTTATTATGCCGATGAGACCGAGTTTATCGCTATACTGTTTGTTGGGTTTGTAGCTCAACATTGTTTGATCTGATCACATTTATACCGATGGTGATCATTGTAGATTGGAGATTATCCCTATAGAGCAGGGCTTGTTTACCGGTTAATTTTCAAACCTAAATCAGTGTCAAGTACTTTAGGAGCGTTTTATTTAGGTTTGGCTCTATATTAACTTTAAAAAACCGGTTTTCCTAAAGAGCGAAATCAAATAGGTTTTGAATCAATTTAGCGGTTTTTAAAGGGTTTCGAGGAGGAGCTCGATGGCGCAAGTGGTTAGCGCGTTCGGCTGCGTTCGTTGAAATTAAGCAACTTTCGCAGTGGTCGGTCATTGGATGGGTGACCAAAAATTTACTACCTCGAGCTCCTCCGTGCTTCGGAAGGCACGTTAAGCCGTTGGTCTCGGCTGCATCTGCAGTCGTTAGCACCGACCAATCCGCACTGGGCCCGCGTGGTGGGTCATGGCCCAATCTCCCTATTCCATCCATAGGGAAGGCCTGTGCCCCAGCAGTGGGGACATTAATAGGCTGATAATGATGATGATGAAAGGGTTTCATTTCGCTCTTTCTGACGCCATTGATAATAAATGAATAACTTGACTCACTAGTCGCTAGCAAACGTGTCAATAAATGCATCAATCTCTGAGCATTAACAAGTTGTGACTTGATTAGTTCAAACAAAACAAACTTCAAGCGATGCCGACGCGTGCACGTGTCGCTCTGGATTAAACCGGTTTATTAAGGAAACTTTTACTAAAAACCGGTATTAACCTTTATTTACCGGTATTTTCGAAACCGGTTTCAAGCCCTGCTATAGAGTATTTGTTTTATGCGCAGGTGTTCGTCCTGATGCAGTTCGACCCGGGCGTCGAGTACCGCTCGTCGCGGCGCGCGGGCTCCGCAGCGGGCAGCGGCAAGGACGACGCCTCCTGACTATTGCTGTGCAGCGCCCTCACCGACGGGCCCTACTCCTACATCTAGGGCTAGGGGCCCGTCCACTCCACCCGCCCTGACAATCCTACCTACCGTCTTATGTTATGTTCGTTACGCACCTTTATCCTGGTCTGACGCCGTCCCTTTCCGGCCGTTGGGCGTTTACTGTGTCACGCGGTTTAGCACGGTCGAATCCAATGGGTTTGGGGAGGTCATATTTAGTTCAATGTTCTTTTTCAGATATCTTTTATTACACATTTTGTAGACTTTTAAGTAAGAGTTAAAAGGTTATTGCAATGTGTTCATTTTGGGGAATGAAACTCACCCTTCAGACTGCCCCAGCTGCTCATTAAAAGGAGCGCTGGTGCATTTTTTTATGCATTTGAAGCTCTACTCATCAACAGTATCTTAATTCTCGCTGATGTAGAATAAGATAGGATGCGAATAGGGAAATCTACGTGATACAGAAAACGCTCGTTTAACGTAATACGTTACACCCATCCGCTGTTTCGTTTTTGCCCTTCTCTTTTCTGTATTTGAATTCGTTGACCTATTAGTTGACACTTCGGACACTGCACGCACTGCAAACACTGTCGCACCCCTCCGATGCCTCTTCGACGTTTTCTGTGTCCAAATCTGACTCGGAAAATCGTTAAATCGGTCACCGCCGCGATGCACATTGTGAGCGATATACTTACTTTGGTAATACTCATTGTGAGCAATATACTTACTTTGGTAATACACATTGTGAGCATTATAATTACTATGGTAATACATATTGTGAGCGTTATACTTACTATGGTAATACACATTGTGAGCGCTACACTTTCTGTCGAAAATAGTCGAAATGTACATCGTGAGCGGTATACCGAGATAGTACAGAGTGTTCCGGTCCGCTGTTTGTAGATGATGATCGTTTATCATGAGTATTAGGGTGGCTTTCGGTGTTACACACGTATTCTATTAGTGCTGAAAATATTAGGAAGAATGAGATTTAGAGAAAAGCTGTAGTCCGCTGATCGAAGCGCGATCGAAACACTCTGGAACGGTGTATTCCCTTTTAAGGCACACTGCACACTATCCGTTGAAAATAGGCGTTTACTCGAATTAATTTACAATTATAATAAACACTTAAAATGTAAGAGACGGCGTGATAAAAGCAAAGTCATTTTTTTATTTAAACGACTAAAATGCTCAATATCTAACTAAAGGAACCTTTTAAACTTTTAATTGCATGACCGACATGAATCCCGGATAATAATCTATTGTTATAATTGTATAAAGTTTCCTTCTTTTAGAATATTCATTCCTTATTGAGTAGGTTTTGTCTCTCGAATCATGTATATATGTAAGGCAGTACGTCTAAAAACTTAGTTACATTTTAAGCATTTAAAATATGACTCATCGACTGATCGTTAAGCACTTCATCTATTTTTTTATTTGTTTAAATATTTTAAGATGACGCTTTTTTATACCAAGCTTATTTCGCATTTCTGAGCGTACTGTACAGGTGTTTGAGTTTAAAATTTTATAAGTAAACTAATTGATTGCAGTTTGCTTAAATCAAAAATACAAGTTTAAAAAGAAGTTTAATTTGCAGCGATAAATTTTACCCCTATTTATGGTTCTTATCTTAGTTGTGACTTGAAAAATTTTTAAAAGCAGAGAATGAACCATTCTAGTGGTTCTTCAATTATATTTTTCTTAATCCTGTACAGACGGCTCATGAAAATTAAGAAAAAGGTTTTGTGTAGGAATCGAACCGTCTTGAGTTTTTTTTTATATACTTAATTGAATTCACATTGAATTCATATGTAAGTATCGTTATTAATAAGTTTAAGGCCAAATCATATCTTCTTTCTTTTATACTTTTTCCTCTATGCACGTTTCATAATAGTATAAAGTAAAATTGTCGATTTCTGTGTTCTTTATTATCCATTACATACATCCTACATAGACACACTGTTGCTTGATTAAATCTGTAGTGAGCTGTTTTTTTTAACTTTTGAAAAAAAAAAACAGGTCACTACAAAACATTATTAGATATTTCATGTCATTTGACTATTTAGTTAGTAGTTAATATTTTAGTTTTTACGTTATGTTTATTTTTTTAATAAAAATTTTATAAAGATTTCCGTTATTTTCTTTTGATTTTGTTTTCTAATATTTTTTTTTTATTATTATTTGTATTGATAAACACCAACTTTGGGAGGGGGATTGTCAAAGTGGACGTGATATAAGGCGCTGCACATTAAAGTAAACTCTTATGAACTGAAACAAATTATACGAAAAACAATGTCTAAAGATGCCACTACGTATATATGTATGTTTGAATCCAGGGAAGTTGTTCTATTTATTTTGCGTGGGACACTGAGTGCAACGTGTAATTTTGCTGTAAATGTGTGATATATCATTTTCGAAACGTCGTTGTTATTATGAAAATAAAGGGAAAAAAATATAAATAGGGCTTCTGAAGCCTGCGATGTATTTAGTGTTAACTCCGGGTGCTTTGACGATTGTGGACTCTTCATAGTTTACTACATTATATTAATTGTATTAGATAAGACACTTTTGATCGACTGCATAACGCTAACTGAATCCGCCATCGTGAACAAACATTATAGATACTTAGTGCAGTTGGTTGAAGGTCCTTTTTAGAATTTACTAGAGATTAGTCATACATTCGCCTCACGATTTATTAGTGAATCAGACCTCGGGATATCATTCGGAGGGTTAATAATGCAATAATTTATTACTGGATTGGTTTTACAAGATGTTTGATAAAGACAGCTTTAAGAATATCAATGTAATCGAGCCTTTTTGCACACTTGCTTGCTGGGCTCAGTTCTATTGCACATTAATTACTACTTCCGTGTTTTATAATTTACACTTGCAGTCAAAACTCTGACTTTTTAATTATGGGTAGAACAAATACTAACTATATCAGAATTATCCATTTAAAATTTATTTAAGTTTTAAAAGGAACCAAAGATGACGAACAAAAAAATATGAAAAATATTACAAAGACAAAACATAATATACAATTAACACCTGCACTTAAATAGAATATCTTGTAAAAAAGAGAAAGACAAAACTCACAAAACTTTTTTTGTTTTTGTTTAAATGTACAAGAGAATCGAGCCCGTTAGCACCAAATAATGCACAGACAGCCATGCCTCAAGTTACCCAAAACTGTTTAAATCCAAAAAAAGAGCTTTACATTGATTGATTTACGATTCAAAATCGATTTGGAAAATCTAACATTTTGTTGTAATTTTATGTGTGGCTGACTGTATAATATCAGTAAATACCTCAAAAAATAAATATTCTTTAAAATATTTATCAAACATCTATATTATATGTACGCATAGTGTCAAGTCGCCTCACATTATTATAGTGATTTCATCGTTCAAATAGATTAGGCAAAGCCGGCCTTAATTACAATTAGGTTAGTATCGGTGTACCTTCGGTGTGAACGCGTAGACAAAAATTGGAACGGTTCAAAGCCACAAAAGAAAAAGTTAGTTAAAGGAATTGAATGCAAACATACTGCCATATTTTTGTAACACAAATAACAAATAAACCCATTAATACAATAACATTCACACCATAAAGTAAAGAGTACAAAATGACACTGTGACCCAGAGAGATATTGTATGTATGAAATACGTGAATGTAACACTTTATGGGATGTTTTCCTATAATCTGAGAAATTAGCTCCAAGCTTAACTGCTCTTGCACTACTAAACAAAATGCTTTAACTACCATTCAGTGCTCCCCCTCCCGGGAGATAAAACTAAGTAATGCCAATTTCCTAATCCTCTTCATACACCGTGCCAAATATCAGTTCGATTCGTAATATAAATTTTAAGTAATCAATCAAAACAAAAAAAAAAACAGAAAAAAAAATATTGAAAATAATTATTAATAAAAAAGGCAATTATATGCGTTCAATAGTTAAGTACGGGTTCACCGATAGCGTTATATTATACCTAAATATTAACAGCCTAAAAACTAAGCGAACTTACGAACACCAATTACCCGCGTATAATGTATGTTGTAGGAAGGTATTGTAAAGGGCAGGCCACACAGGACCAAAAATAATGACGTTTTGCTCAGTTCATGTAATTAGTACAATTGGAACTAATCAAAGAGCTCGTTCGCGTAGTGAAACCAAGAATGAAATGATGCGGGTATCGACATAAACATTGACAAGTTGTTCGTTTCGCTTCGCTCCCGGTGTGGCCCACGCTCTCATTACCTCATTGGAACAATGTTTCTGTGGAAATCTATAGGCAATTTTAGGACGCTGACGTGACTAAATTATAATGGTGGTATATTACTGTGGATAGAGATGGCACTTACAGCTTTACTCGACTTGGTCATATTGATTGTACTGTGATCATTAAAAACGATGGAGGCAAAAACACTCAAATAATATACATCAATCATTTACCTACACGTAAAAGATCAAAATTATTTCGACTTGCAGAGTGGAAACGTAAGCTCGGTCCTTATAATCGGACCATGCCTACCTCCTCTATACTATACGAAAACTAAATGCACAGTTTTACATATTCTCTTTCTACACTGATTCAAGTTTACCGAAGTAACTCATTTCACTTAGCCTTATAAAGCAAGATTCCAGTCACCGCAGACTTACGTGCTTTTAGGGAAGATGAAATTCTAAAGATCGTTAGTATAATATAAACTTAGAAACGAATGGATACTCGACAAGGCAGTATATGAAACGGCCTTAGGCTTTCAGCTTAGCGAAAATTTTAAATAAGTAGGGGATACTGAAGAGATTTATCAATAATTAATCCTAAGGGGTTTGGGGGAACACCAAGCGCGATTTTCGATATTAGTTCCGGGCAGTCAACAGCCCTAAAAGCGATCCTATACTCAGGAAAACTGCGTGACGCTTATGCCTTTCTGTTTTATTTTAATTGATAGTCTAATAAGAATTTATGAGGTATCTAACAAAAGTTTTGGTCATATATGTTTGTTTATAACAATGTCACTATATAAAACATATGTAAAAACTTCCTACTTTTAGTAACGTAAGTGAGCTTTTTTTCCACTGTTCATACCTGCCACCTATGAATCGACCTCACTTTCGGCTTAGTGAGTATTCATTCGCTTCTAAGTTCATATTATGCTAACACTCCTAAAAGACATAATTCCCAAAATCACGTAAATCTGGGGTGACCGGGATCTTGGACCATAACCGTACTGATCTAATTAATCATAAATTATAAAGCAAACATAATCGTAAACACCGTTGTCAAAAAGCAATAAATATGTATAAAATATTTATAATAGTAAAGCAAGGATGCAGTTACGTATGGAAAAATATTAATTAAAAATATATTTCAAAATGGTTATTGCATCACATATACTTATGGAAACACTATAATGGATGTATCGAAATTGTAAAATTTTGAGATGGTTGTGCACGATATAATAGAATTATTTATGTAAATGTAAATTTAACTAATCGGTCTGTCCAAAGAAAAAACATAACTACTTATTCGAGCTAAAAGATCTCACTAGGCTTATTTGGCCAAAACGTTTGCCAAGTTTAGGGCTAGTAAGTTGGTTAAAAGAATTCACTAGAGCAGGCCCGTTATTGTAATGTTTTAGTTGTATTTGAGCTTGATATATCGGTGTAAGTAGAAGCCCTTGCATGCCGCGGTTACCTAGCGGGAGATGAGATGCGTAGAGTAACGCACACCGCAGTGCAGTCGAACTAAAACAATCGATTTTTTAAATTTTTAGCTAGTATTGTTGTATATAGTCAACTGTCATTTTGTATGTTACCTAAGAGTTTTTCAAAGTACGTCTCCTTTGCATTACAAATAGAAGGGTACGATATTAAAAGTTTATATTCGAATACTGTCGTGTGTAGTTTGTTGTGAATTAGGCTTCTGTCAATGTATGCTAGTTAAGAATAGAGGTCGGCGTCTCATTGTAAAAATGTAATATAATCGCTATTAATTTGAATTATTATTAAAAAATAAATATGAATGTTAAATAAGATTAATATTAAAATGATGATTTTTCCTTTAATATTTTTATACAGCATTACAAAATATTTATCGCAATTAAAAGTTTATAGAGGTGGGTCAGTGTGCAATTTAAAATAGTGTTAAAAGTTTGTATAATCGCCTTAATGAGAGAGAATATAGCCGAGTCCTTCTGCGTGTGTTTGCTTGTGGCGTAATGTTTACTTTGCGTTTAAGAGGCGATATTGTCACATATATGGGTATTTCATGAAAATACTTTGACTTATATGTATTCAACACCACTTTTTCATTTTCCAATAAATAAAACCCAATGTTTCGTTAAAGCCTCAAAATCTAAAGAAAAAAAATATCAGCAATCATAAAAGAAATAATAATATATATTTGACCAAACTGGTGAAATTCATAAAGAAAGAGCTTTCAATTCAAGTTTGCCATTAATAACCTACATCAATTATATCGAACGTTCCTAACTTAAGCTGAAGATTAACAGAATATCGCCTCTTAAAACACAACGTGTATGTAATGTATGCATGTCACACGACAAAACTGTTGCTAGGTAAATATACCTTTGGTAACTGTATTGTGAATTAAACCCGGTACCCTGAATTATAAATCTAAGCGCAACGCCTTAGCGCTCGATATTTGTAAACGAATATAATTTTAATACACGCAATTAAAATGAAAACTAACAACATTCTAATAATTATGTTCTCGTTGATTCAATATAACACGTATGCACTGTTTCACCACTGGGTTAACGGTATTAAAACAATTTAGGAAGCAGTACAATGTATATGTGCACTGTAGGCAATAAAAGATTAATATAAATTAATGAAAGAAACACATTAACTCTAACAATACTTCATGTAGTATATGAATAAGCGAAATAAGGATACTCTTTCAATTTTATGCACATATAGCAGTGTATTTTACAAACACCGTTGTCAGGGCTGCATTTAAGGCAAGCAGGGCTGTCCAAGGCCTACGCTCTTGCGGGTGACAGGCCATCACAATAGAGATAAAACGAAACCAAGTTTCGACGGGTCAAATCGTTAGTGGCCCGATCCAGATTTAGGGGCCTCCACGCGTTCCTTACCCCAAGGCTTCCCTCACACACTCCTCTAAATCCGGTCCTGACTGTCGTACAGATTTATCACAGAATATAAGTATAAATCAAGAAAAACGAACTACCCGCAGATATGAAACCAGTAACATTTTTATATTTTTATGCCTATTTTAATTGCCTTCCTAAAGATTTAGGGCGGTTTCACATTTGGTGGTTGATGCTCGTCTCATGATAAAATGCACTCATAATTAGTAGACACTATAACTTTCCAGAATGGATTTATCAGTTTCCCTAAACTTTTCTTAGGCTCTTGCGTTATGTGACTACACTATGCTGTATTGCGAGCCGAATCAATGGCTACAATAAGAACTTACTATATTAGCAAACTTTTTGAGTATATCGCAGATAGGATAAACTGAAAAAAATATATCGAATAGCTTTTCACGACGAAGCAGCTAAAGTATGTAAAATATGTACTTAAAACACAACTAACAACAGTGATATGTTATTGTTGTTTAATAGAATTACTTATATATCACAAAAGGCTAGCAATACAGCCCATACAGACCGCCTGATGGCAGACTCCTTATCAAACACCAAGAGTGCCCGGTACCTATTCCTGATTTTATCTGTTATTGTTACGAATATGTTTGTCCTCAACTAACAAATTGATTGGGTTGGTTATAGTTTACATATATAACTGTGTTCAAACACCCTTTCAATTGACAAAAAACCACCAGATCAAAAACCGCAACCCAGTGGTAGCATTTCGTGGCATCGAAATTAGAAATACCAACCATGCGCTTGGTCTCTCAGTTCCTGTATAAAATTCTCTCTTACTAACCACTTCAACAAACCCAACGACGAAATATTTAAACTTGACATATTATATTATGTAATTATGTACGATGCACACTTACCGGCGCGCCGGAGCGCAGCGCATTTAACAATCTGCTAAAGGAAACTGAAACTTCCACAACGTAGTTAAGTTCCTTATTTGCATGCAATTAAACAGCTATCAAACCGCCTGGCTGCGCTCAGATACAGCTACAGCCGCTCGGTTCCGCATGCAACTTAGAAACTTAACAACTTTGTGGATGTTTCAATTTCCTTCAGCAAATTGTAATATACGCTACGCTGTGCTACGCCGCGCGCCGGTAAGTGAGAATCGTACATTAATGTGTACGTACACTCACTGGGATCGAATTACGAACTAATATCACTAATAATGCCTATATGCAAACCTAGTAATTCATGTTCTGTGTGCATTAAAAGTCCTAGAATTAACAACATTGTTGACTATTGCTATTAGCTTGAGGTTGTTAAATTTTTTAGAATGAGAAAGGTGAGTTTTTCATGTAATATACGTATATATATATAAAAAAAAATCTTTAATGCTCTATAATACGAATGTTCGCTAGACCTTTTTTGTAAGCTGATTGCCATCTTATTATCGTGTTGTTACACACTAGTCCTCTCCTTATTAACGTAGTATCAATATATAATGATGGCTGTGAGGTAAATAATTGTAACAATTTAAATTTATATTGTGTAAATGAATTAATAAAAATAGAAAACAAATGGATCGCTCTGTCGCAACGACTGGTCTGATGCTGTCTTTACACCTCTTATTTGTCTTAGTATTGTTAATTCGTTGTCAGTTCGTTAGAAATTGTGTAAAAATTATATAGTTTATTTTGCAGGTCTCATTTAAAATAGGGATAACATTTATATTTACCGTTTTTTCATGTTCGAAATGAACTTGATCATATTTATCAGTGCTAAGACAATGAATCCTGTTTTATTTTGCGAAAAGATGTATTTTTTGTCTTGGGTTGCCATTTTATGTCCTATGAATTTCACTTTTTATTGATGAAATTTAAAAAAACGTATGTTTAGTCGAAAGACTGGACAGTCTATTACATATCTCTAGGTGAAAATCGCTTGTGTTACGATCTTTACAGTTATAATGGAATCATGCAGCGCCGGCCGGGATGGCAATAAACTCCAAATAACAAAAAATCGAAAGCAATATCCAGCAAGAAATAATGTTTTATCAAACATGCTTGGAAATTTGAGCATTATTTTGACAACCTTCTTCGAGAAATAGAAATTGCTGTACTGGCCACATACATGCGAACAGCGGCCGGCAAAAGTGGTATGAAAACCCATGTCGGTCGTGTTATTTATATGGTCGCTAAGACCATATAAATAACATGGTACTAAAGTCATATATGTCGTGTAATTTGAAAATATAACAATCTTTTACACCAAAACAAGGCACCGAGATAACTTATCAAAGGTTTTTTTAAATTTCGAATTGACTTGCAAATAAATAAAGCTGTTTATTGAAATAAAAAAAAAACAAATGAATGAATGTTGTTTATTTTATCCGTCATTCGATTTTGAAGAAAGTTCTGCCTATCCTTCAGTTCTGTAAATTAGATTTTATTTCCCCACAAGCCTTGGTCACAACAAGGCATTGATGTACTTATGTATGTGTGCCTCGGCTTCGTCCATCATTGTCTCTTTTGCTGGCCGCTGTAGTAAAGTACTATAAAGGGCTTGGGTCGGCGCTGGAATCGTGGTGCTCTAGCGATTATCGCTTTATATTGGTAAAACTCTTCACATTCGAGTTTATATCCAAATTCAAACTAATATATTTAGTTAACCTAGTTATTATTACTATTATTTTAGTTCATAAGCGATATAACGTTTAATTCTCAAACGGCTACTTTTTATTTAGTTTAAGTGCTTTTAAAAGTGGCAACTAATAAAAATAAAGCTCACAGCTTTCTCTGCAGTTGCTCAAATTTCACAGCCCCAATTTCACCGCTTATAGTTCCATTTAATGATTAAAAAAACCATCAGTTATGTGAAGATAATATTACATTACCCTTTAAGCTTACGCAGGTACGATTGACGACATGTTACAGTATTCATTTAGGATAGCAAAATCTACTTAGTATTACAGTTATGCACTATATATTCAACATATTAAATTCTTATAGGCCGAGATTACACTTGGGATTCTTGCCGCGCGATGTTTTAAATAAATTCTCATTTTTGTAGTTTTCTAACGCGCATTGAGTTTGAGCAGATATTAAGTCATCCAACCGGAAATTTAATCATATGGGAAATAATTGCCAGTCGACATCAAAATATTCCCCTTTAATAACGAGCCTAAAACGATGTAGTCCTCTTCATGTTTTACTGATGCTGACCAGTACCTACGTTGTGTACAAATTTGTAAATATTGTACGATAATATTCACGCACACTGGTACATTTAGGTATCACAGTAGTTTACAAAAATCGTGATTTCGTGATCTAGATGTATCTGTTACATAAAATAATACTGGTACTATCAATTTATATACCATCTGAATGTTAAAAAATATGAAATGAGCATAGGAGTAAATCGCGCGGTTTTTATGCACAGTGTGATCTAAGCTTTACGATGATACTCTAGCATGTCATCAATAAGACCAACACCAAAAACCGCACAAGACGGGAAATGTAATATATCTGTTCGAAATATATCACACCACAAAAACAAAAATTATTTAATATTGTTGATGTTGATTGTTAATAAAATGCAAATAATGTAAATATCAAAATAAATTCTGTATTTGTATTTGAAAAGTTGTTTTAATTTATGAATTAAATCTGACACAGGTAAGTATCAAATTAAAATGCATGATGGCATTTTAAAAAAAATATAAATGTTTTATTCATCAATATTGCACTAATGAAATATTCAATTATATACACTTTATTTATTGAACGAAAATCAAAACATGCCTTGAATTAATTTTCCAGTTTAAAACATGTAATTTCTATATTTTTAATTATATAATAACAAATCAATTAAACCTATACATCAAGATTTATTAACAAAAAAATCTATAAATGTTGAACTGAATTCATAAGAACCAACAGTAATTCCTTTAAATTTCTATGTTTTTCTGTAAAAAGCTTGAACAAATTGGGGTTTTAAATGTAGACCAAAAACAAGTCAGCTTTTTTTTGTATAAATGGTCTTAAAATTTCAGAAATATCAACTTCTTGCACTTAAGTAGAAAAATACTATATTTGTAAATAATCAATCAATTCTGTTATAAATAATGAAAACTTAAATTTCCTTTTAGTTTAAATGTGTTTAAAAGAATCAAGAGTATATGAGATAAATAAATTTAATAAGCAACAGCTTCTGTTTCTATACCAATTAAAAATAAACAGCTGCAAACAAATATGCAGCCTAAAACTTTTATCACATGTACAATAATTATTCCATGAACATAAAAAATCCAGTCCCAGTAAAACAGGTAATTAAAATTTAGACTCATTGGATTACTTACAGACTGAACACTCAAAAGTTGTATATGAATTTATGCCTATAATGTCAAAACGGCTTATTTCAATTTTAAAGACATAACTTCAAAATACTTTAACAAAATAAATCACAAATTAATGTGGCATTGACATAACAGTTACACAATCATCAATTATGTTTACTCACCTTATCTAATTGATAAAATCCTTTGCTTGCACTTTTTTTGGCCTTCAGTGTATTTTTTTTACCAGATCCAATATGGACAACCTTCCTTCTGTCTTCTTCTAACAATAAGGGTGGCAAAGATACTTTTCTTATATTATAGTGAGATACATTATTAGATATCTTTGTGATGTCATTTTGTGTGTACTCTGGATCATACAAGGGTTCAAGCCTTGTCAAATCTCTATGTCTAGCTGTAACAACTCTGCTGTTCAACAATTTATTACGCTCAGAGGCACTAAGTGTGTTACTGCAGTTTCTAGTGTCCAAAGACACAAATGACTTAGCACTATTACGATCACAGTTCATTGAGGAATCTGGCCTGGATGACCTCATCCACCTCGAAGAAGCCAAGTCTGATCTCAGAATTGATGTGTTCTGCCTCTTTCTATATGGTGGACTTCTTATCTGCATGGGAGTGATTTGTAGTAAAGAGCAGAAGTTATTTGGTAATTCATTTTCTTCATGGTACATGGGCTGAAAAGTCACTTTCTCCCGTGATAACTTTGGTTCATACATATCTTCAGCAATAGACACTCTCGGTGAGTTTTGTGGTGTCACATCAGAGCTACTCTGTGAGAGACGCTCTTCACTTTCACTGAATTGTTCATAGTCACTATAATGCATAGCAATGACCTCATCATGCTCTGTCTGCCTATAATATAATTTCTTTTCAGGCAGTGGTATAGCTTTACCAACAATCCTGAAATCAATAAATCATTTAATTATGAATTGTGACAGTCACAGCCGTATGCGTGAGGGGCCCTTCCATTAAATATTACATTAAATTTGTCCTTGACCTGCATTCAGCTTTGATACAACAACAACTACCTACATACAAGTCACATGTTACTGATCGAAGTATAGAGTTAAAACATAATTGAGAGTACCTTTCACAATTACAGTTATTAAATTAATATACAAAATAATTGCTTACAAATCTTTTTGACATTAGATGAAAAATCTAAATCATAAATGTAGCCCTTCATTCAATTTATAATGGATGTTTATATAAAAAAAGAAACATGATAATTTAAATACCATACCTGAGCTGTGGATGCAATTGTCTCCATTGTTTGCACTCCTCAATTATCTGTGCCCTTGTGGACTTCTCTCCTTCCTCATCATAAAGAGTCCTCTCAATTCTCTCCCATTCTAAAGCTAGAATATTTGTAGCTTCAGCTGTATTCCTGCGAAGGGCAGACCCTGAGCTGCTATCACTTTCTTCACTATGAAAGTCTGGTGTACCTGAAATGTGTTTGTTAAACAATTTTCAGTTTTAGGGGCAACGAAAAACCTCTTAAGATGCCATTAACAACATATAATTTATGTCCTGGACTGGGACACAGGGTGTATTATAATCTCAATAATGATTTGAGTTCTTTTTCTGAATATCTTCGTTAATTACCTGATTCACTTTCAGAGAAGAAATCAGAAAAGGGTGTAGCAGCCCTCTCGTCACTATCTGTTCTGTAGGACTGAATATCGAACGAATATTTTAGATTCCTATTAATGAAGTTACTTGTGTTTGCTGAGAGCACAGGTAAATCAAATCCAGCCCGGCAGCCAAACTTTTGATTATTTATGTTAGGTAAACAATCAATTAATTTGTTACTCTTCTCTCTAGCTGACAAATAATTTCTAGCCGACATAGTCAAATCTAAGGCCTCGGTCCAGTTGTATTACTTGATTCCATTATTGACACTAATATTTGTTCTATTTCATTTGATTTCCACTGCAAATTAAATAAACAAAACCAGCAACGCACACAATAAATCCATCAGCAACACCACAACTTAAAGGATTGACATTGACATTTTTTTTTTGATGTTCTCCCTTTTCAGGGAAGGCAAAGGGAACAATGCCCATACAGCCTAGTCTTAAGTTATTCTGTTTTTCTTTTTACATTAGAATGTCGGTGTGACGCATTCTAATGTTTCTTGAAGTGTTTGGCACGAAATATATCGAGCTGACTTTTTCGATAAGCTTCTGTGAGGTAGTCAATACTACAATAAAATTCTCATGTCCACTTGACCGGAATAGCGTATATTTTGACGATTCTACTAATTCTTCAGTTACGCAGGCAGTTGTAACACAAAATCACACCAATTTTATTTCACAATATCCACTATGAACGAATTTAAGAATAATTAAAATAAGACGCCAATCACACTCGATGAAATCCCGCCAAAAACTCCGACATTAACATAATTGATTATTATTATTTTTTAAGATTCTCGCGTTTCAAGGAAGGTAAAGGCAACAATGCCCATACAGCCAAGTCTAGTTTTATTGGTTATATTTTGTTTTTACATTAGATTGTCGGTGTGACTCATTCATTCTATTGTTTCTTAGTGTGTTTGGCACGAAATGCAATGCATCGAGTTGGCTTTTCCAGTAAGTTTCTGTGAGGTAGTCAACACTACAATAAATTTCTCACGTGCACTTAACCGATAGTGTATATTTTAAATATTCCACTAATTCTTCAGTTGCGCAGATGGTTGCAACATAAAATTACACCATTTTTATTTCACAATATCCACTATGAATGAATTTAAGAATAATTAAAATAAGACCCCAACCGCACTCGATGAAATCCCGCCAAAAACTCTGACATATTTGATTTGACAATAACAGCCTGCATTCAAAACATACACTCTAGGTGCAATTAATGTCAAAGTTGACATTAGCTCATATTAGCTTCATACATTTCATTCTTAGAACATTTCATGATGAACTGAAAACGTCAAGGAAAAAAGTTGTACATCAAGCGTAGGTTTTGAACGCAGCCCTGTGTCACAGCGGTGACACTCTCTGTACGTGAGAGTTCCAGCGTCAGTGACCTTGAGCAGGAGCGTGTATGCGCTAGGGTTGAACTTGGAATTTAGACTTGTGCCAATGAATATTTATGCATAGTAAGTTATTAAATGTAATCTGATTCAAGAATACTGGGGTAAATAATGAAGGATAGGTTTAATAATATAATGTTTATATATATATTATGGTTTAATATTATAATTAAAAATAATAAATTAAAATAATATAAGTACTATAACAAATTGCTAACTTTTATATATTTTCTCCTTTTTCGATTCGTTTTATAATTCTTATTATCTAAATAATAATAAAATTGCGTAGCGTAGTCAGTCTGTGCGTGCAATGCAGTGCAACGCTATTATTTTACTATTTCGCTACTGCCATCCCTTCGGTCGAGGCAGTCGGCGACTGCCCTCTCCACGTCCCGCGCACCACGCAACGCCCCCGCGCACCTCACCCACACATAGCCGCGGGCGATTTTACGAGCACACATGCTTAAGTGTTGCTTCTTTTCGCGTAGTGTATATATTCTGTGCCTGTGTTGGGTTCCGTAAATAACTTAAAATCAACCAAATACGTAGAATTATTAAAAATCTGTATGAAATTAAATTCTTTTACCTTCGTATAGCAGAATTTTAAGTTTTTTCTGTCGAGTTGCAAAATTGTAAAGGCGCCTCTACACGATGGCCATGATTGGCAATGATGGTCCGCGATAGCAGGTGTTTTGGTTCATCAATACGAAGAGCCTTAATGGGCAGTCACTGGTAGAGATGGACGTATTTAAATTTGTGAAATCGATGCGAATCAATATCAGATAAATCACATGCGATGCGCGCATCGATGCCAAGTGAATGTCAGTCTAGCTAGTATCGTAGTTTCACAGGATGCGATACGACAAATTCGTATGTGAAAACTTGAAAATTTGATAGAAAAAAAAATATTTACTTTTCGGTATGGTAAATAAAAATATTGAATGTTGGCAAAATTATTAAATAAAAAATTGCACTGAGAGCGTAGGTTTTGATCGCAATCCATTGCCACAAATTTTTCTTGGCCTAGTGCGGACTGGGCAGAATTCACACTGGACCTCCTTACTGGGCAAAACTTACACTTGGCCTGGTCCGTACTGGGCGCATTCCGCACAGGGCCCAAGATGCACTGGGCCCATTACAAATTGGACCCATTCCATATTAGACTCATTTACTTCGTGGGCCCATTCCACAGTGGGCTCATTCCACTCTGGGCCAAATCTACACTAGGATGATTCCACACTGGGGCGAATGTAGTCCACATTACATTAGTCGGTAAGATACTTTTTTATGAAATAGGGAGATTGGGCCATGACTCGCCACACGGGTTTAGTAATATTTTTAACTTTACGACACTCAAACATTTTTTTTTCAATTACTATAAACAAATTTTAGAAAGCTTTATTTCTACGAACGGAACCCTTTCTACGCGAGTTGAACTTGCACTTGTTTTAATGCACATTCTGATAATGGTTTAATATGCTGAGCTAACAGTGAGCCGTAGGCGCTGTCACTTCGGCGTCAATCTTCAACTAACGACAGCAACGTAAGTGATAAGTTGAAATTGTGTATATAGCTAACCATCATAGCAGCGATGATGAACACTTTTTTGATTGCCCATCATGGCCCATTGTGAAGATCGGCCTTCATGTCAAGTTATGTGTCCGTGATGCTAGCGTACCCACGATCAATATACGGTTTTTCGTTATGCCATTAAATAGTGCGTAAATAGTGCCAAATTAGTGTAAAATAATAAAAATAGTGCCTCTTTAATTTAAGAAATAAATACCATTTTTACTGTGTACGCTACCATGACGTCAAGCTAGCGTTCCCATGGCCGACCCCAAGAACGGCATATATTTAAGCAACGAAATTGACACACAAAAATATGTTTTACTGCGAATTAACATAAAATACTTTTACTGTTAGAGGCACTATTTGACATACTATTTATACATATAGAATTGATAACGAGAAAAGTTAATTTTCTATGAGAACTATTATGGGTACGTCAGGTTGACGCCAGCTAAGAATGTTTAGTTCAATATCTTTGGTCCTTTAAGAGTATTGATTATGAAATTTTGTAAAGCCAGGGCACTATTTGCGAACTATTTTTGTGTGTCAATTTTGTTGCTTAAATATATGCCGTTCTTGGGGTCGGCCATGGGTACGCTAGCTTGACGTCATGGTAGCGTACACAGTAAAAATGGTCTTTATTTCTTAAATTAAAGAGGCACTATTTTTTTTATTTTTACACTAATTTGGCACTATTTACGCAGTATTTAATGGCATAACGAAAAACCGTATATTGATCATGGGTACGCTCGCTAGCATCACGGACACTCAAGTTATTGGATTTCACATCACTTGTTTAAGGTGTTATTGGTGCCAATTCTGGCGTGATTCTCTAAACTTAAAACTAAATTTAACATCAGTCTCTCTTTTTCATTCTGCATAGAGAATGACAAGGATATACTGCTGTCAAATTTAAGTTTAGGTTTGGAGAATCATGCTAGAATCGACACCACTGTTGTCAAATTTAAGTTTAGGTTTAGAGAATCGTGTCAGAATTGACACCATTGTCTGGTTGTCCGAAATTGAGAATATCGCGGCCGTAAAACTTAAAAAAAAAGAGATGTCATTGTCAGGTGGTTCACTGACAGTGACAGTTGAATTGATAGTCTGCCTCCGTCGCTGCCTCGTTCCCGTGTCACTGAAGTTGAGTGAGATTGAGAAAAGAATTTAAAAATCGATTAAACTCTAGCTAGCCCTGTGCAGCACTTATCTTTTGCTCAGAGTAATTGCTTTGCACTTCACATCTAATTTCGCCGCACTTGTTCAGTGAATTTATTTTAGTAAAATTGTGATCGTAAGTCGCCAAAAATGTCGCAAGTGCATACAAAGAGTGGCGACTCCGTTCAAGATGAGGTATGCCACCTACCTTTCAATATTAAATTACGGTCTTCTAAAGCACCTATAACAAACAGTAGAAAATAAATAACTTATCCAAACTACTTTTTAAAAAACGCACAGTCCTGCTGTTGCCGCATGCGGGTAATCTAACCATCTTGCAGTTCGTGTTTTACCGTATTATTAAATTACTATGTTCTTATACTTCTTATTTAATAAAAATATTTTTTACACAAAAAAATATTAAAATGTGTAATATAAATGAAATTTTTTAACAAGAAAATAATTTTTGAAGTAATAGAAAACCACAATGTTTTATGATAATTAATATTATTTAATTATTACCTGTAAAAATCATGTCCTACATAAAACATTAAAATAAAATTCACATTACAGCAAATAGGTATAAGATTTGGGACTCTACGTTTAAAATTAAACAATAATTTTATAAATTATTACTTATAAAAACTTCAGAACCTTCTTTCATGATAATAATATAATTCTTTTTTATTTTTTTTCACTCATGCCAATAATTAAATGAAACCTATTTTTAACAGGTAAAACAGTATGTATTTATTTTTTCAAAGGGCCCATAACATCAATAAAAGAAGAAATAAACATATACACCTTTTATTCAATGTTAAAAAGTGTTTGATTGAATGACATTCTTTTGTAGAAAGTGTTGCTGCCTTATACTTACATTCAGCAAGTGCCCGGCAAACAGATACGGTCAAAGCTCACCTCTGCTTTCAACTACTGGCTCAAGGTATCTGATGAGAAGCTACATGCCATCGGGGAGATCATTCAGATGCTGCATAACTCCAGCTTACTGTAAGTTTCATCATCATCAGCCTATTGATATCCACACTGCTGGGTCACAGGCCTTCCCTATGGAAGGAAGGGGCCATGATCCACCTCAGGGGCCCAGTGCAGATTGTTAGGTGCCAACCACTGCAGATGCAGCCAGGACTAACGGCTTTACGTGCCTTCTGAAGCATCAAGGAGACGGAGATTGTAAATTTTTGGTCACCCATCCAACCACTGTGAAAGTTGCTTAACTCTTGTGCCATCAAGCTCCTCTATAGAGTAAGTTTACTTGATATGTCTATGGGTGTAGTTTATTTTAACTGCATGATTACAGATAATTGTCTACCCTCAAATTCTTTGGTTTTAATATTTTACAAAGATTTTTTTAGTGGAATGAATGGATTTGACTGTAAACTTTTTGTAATACTAGTTTAGTAAAGACAGTCCTAAACCTCATTTACAGTGATATTCTTAACATTTATAAATTGTAAACAGTACTGTAAATAAAATCAAATTATATAATTACACATTCAGCAACACAATTTATGTTTTACATGTAATCTTCCATAGATATGTAGTTCAGTCTGAGGATTTTTTTTATTCTATACTCCAAAGAGTTGTCCTGAAGGTTATAAACAATATACTATGTTTTGTCAATTAATTTCATATACATTAAGGATACTTGGTGGGTTACACCCTTAAGCTAGCAGCTTAATTAAAAATTAATTGTATGATCCTTATCAGAATAAGTATGTAAAGCCAATTGTTATGAATAAAATAACAATTGGCTAAACATTAACATTGTATAATGTTCTCTGTGCATTTATAATTATAGCCTATTTCTGGGAACCTATATTAGGTCATTGTTTACATGAAATGTAGGCAGAACTGTTCTCAATTAGAACATGACTTCAATTAGATACCAAGCGAATAACTCATTTCTAAATTTATTATAAATTGCATGTTAGCAATCTATACATATAATAAAATGGTAGGAAAGTCAATACTGTACATTGAATATTTTTTTTAAATTAATACTTGGGGTGTGATCTACAATCGATACTGAATCCAAAAATATAGTTTTTAGAATTTTGGTCTGTTTGTCTGTATGTATGTCTGGGATAAACTCAAAAAGCACTGCATGGATTTACTTCAGCACAAATATTACTAAGAAGTCGGGTTTTTTGTGAAATTATCATGCTATCATCTACGGGGAACTAGCAGTGAACCTTTATTTCTAATTAACTCCACGCGTACGAAGTTGCTGACCCCCGCTAGTATTATGATAAAAATAGGTTGGTACTTTTCATTACTAGTACGAAGTTATGTCCTATCTTTAGGACATTACATCTTGATTAATAAAATCAAAATCCAAATACTTTTTTCAAGTATGTAAGTATGTATGTTGAAGCAAGAAAATTTTAGAGTTTTAATGCTCTATCTCTCTCTCATTATATTTCTGATAGGATGTCTTTATTGGCGCGAATAATAGAGGTTAAAATTATAACTAATTATTCAGCAGGAAGTGATAGATAAAAATCGGAAGCTAACACCTATGCATATGAATACTGTGCATGATGTTGACCTTCATAGAGGAGAGCAGAGTGCTGCTCTTCAACATCTTTGGGTGTGATTTTTCGTTTGAGTCAGTGGAGAACCGAAATAAGTTCATACTGTCTGTGTGATGCACAACTACCGTTGTTGATGTGTAACATCTTTCCTCTGGCTTTCCTGCAATTTGTGGGAGTGATTTCGTGAAATGGAACAGAAGTGTGTAACAGGAAGTCGCGTAAGCGCGCGCTATTTGATTTGATTTTAGAACATAATGTTAAAATGGCTTATTCCTTTTGTAGTAGGTTTTATTTCATTTTTTACTAATATAAGGTGAGGTTTTAAATGTTACACATCATACGCGACTACTGTAAGGCTCGCTCGTTTTTTTGTTACCTTATTTCTGTATACCGATACTGGTATTGATTCTGGCGTGATTCTCTAAACCTAAAATTAATTTTGACAGCTATTTTAAGTATTACTCAATAGTTTTACTCTAAAGCAAGTAAAAATCAACACATTGCGTTCTACAAACGAGCCTTCAGGCTGTGAGTTTTGCGGTCCACACGTTGGTTTTTACTCGCTATACTAGAGTTATACTAGCGAGTAATAACGTATGTGGGTATGGTCCAATACTGGATGGGTTTATTCATTGAAATCGGCCGTTAATGTACCAAATTCTCAAGGCATGGAGGTGTTTTAACAGGATCGACGACATTCAAGACAACTCGATTTTGCGGCGCGGCATCCCGGTTGCGCACTCCATCTACGGCGTGGCCAGTACCATCAACGCGGCCAACTACGTCATGATCATAGCACTCGAGAAGAGCCTCGAGCTGGGACACCCGCAGGTATTTTATGTACAGTACGACAAGGATCTTTGGGGCTGTCTCTTAATCACGTGAGGCTCGAAAAGGGGGGGGGGGGGGGAGGGGGTGTAGTAATATATCACGTGTATTTTCGTGGTCCGAGGATACTGTACATTAAATAATGTTCATGGATTAGTACAAAAAGTTTTTCGCATTTCTTTATGCGTTATTATTATTAGTAGTCTTTAATTTTCTATAATAAAATAGGGAAGATGCATATATAATATTTATGAAAATTTTATGATTAAAATGTTAAAAAAATATAAAAGCAATGCCACTGCAACGTTTTTATTTTACATAATGTTGTTTTTTAACAATTATTACGAATTAAAAATACTTGAAACGGAACGTATTTTAAAACACCAATCAGCGTTTAGTGACGTCACTCCTATTATGACAACTTCTTTGAGGTTATGGTTGCTATAGTAAATATTATTTTATGGGAATATTTATTGCGTTTTTTTACGTTTAATAAAAATGGAAGTTGCGTTTATCAAAGCAGACTCCAGGAATTTACCAAGAGTTAGCGTTGACATGGTTATAACTTTTTTTGTCCAAAGTGCAGAGTTTTTAAGTGTAGAAATGAAAGGGACTAAATTACTACGGTATGTAAAAATCGTAGTTGTTAAACTTCGTATTTTATCCAGCGGCTTCTACAAATCTTACGGCGATAATGCAATCGGCTATGTTCAAATTAAAAGAGATAGAAAATTATGTACAGTAAAAGGTCGAGTTCTCCGGAGCATAAAGTACGTAAAGAAGGTTATCGTGTTACAGTTATTTTAAATGAAACGCAAAGCTTGGTTCAGTCCTGCCAATGTGAAGATTGTGCCACACATTTTAAACTTTATCTAATTTTCGAAGTCATTCTCCAACTGTAAAATTAAAAATATGTTATAGACAGGTTTTGTAAGTATTAGGTAGGTTACTAATGCGTTTTTACGTACAAGCAGATTAATTAAGCATATAACAAGTATATTCGCCGACTTACGTCAAAGTGATCTTCTCAGCATCGAATAATGGTCTTTGGAGAATAATTGTCATTTCTCTTCGCAGCTTGAAACCACTTTTTTTTCAGTTTTGGGTCAGAAGTTCCTGTCAAAAACAATTTATTTGGGAACTTTGTTGAAGTAGATTGGCACAAACATGAGTCAACACGGCTTTTTTTCGGAATATTAGTGGTATTGTTATGATCACATGATGTTGATGGATAGTCCATTTAAAATTTTTCAAAAAAATATTTCGAAAGTCGAAAAATTTGCAAAAGTATGAAAATTTAAAGCCAGCAACGAACAATTACGACCAGTGACAGACAGGAGTAACGTCATCGCAACCATAGGTTCGTTTTCGCGCGAAAATTTAAATTGTCAATTTAAACCGCATTTTTTCCGATAAATTACAATGATTTAATTTTTTAATATATCTGTGGTTTATTCTACATGGAATTCTTTAAAATGAAAACAAAAATAAAAATATTGCACCTTCCCTATTAGATGATACTTATAACTGTATTTATATAAAAAAAAAAAAAATATTTGTAGGCACTAAAAATACACGTGATGTAGGGGCCGGGGAGAGGGTTTAGTCTTAAACCTCACCATGTATCACCAAGGGGTAGGAGGGGATTATAAAATGCAAAAAAAGCATCACTTGATTAGTGGACGGCCCCTTTATGAGAGAGAGGGCGCCACTGTCTACATAAATGACCGAAAATGACATACAAAATATCCTTAATGAGTTATGTATTTAGGTGACTTTTTAAATTTTCCAAAAAAGAGTAGCTAGGTCGCAAAATACACTCGAGCGAGAGCTATGAAAACGGCGGTCTAATTATTGTCACACGAGTGCGTTCCCATTATGTCGTGACGACAAATTATCGTGCAGTTTAAGGCGTCGTGGCTTGTTTATTTTAATGGAGTTGTTTACATATAGCATGACACGATTAACTGAATCCATGACTTTCTTACACGACTGCCAAAAAAAGAGTGTAATGTATTCTGGGTTCATGTATGTATTACGTATGTAGAATTCTTTATTCTACCATAACTTCTAAACGCCTGAACCGATTTAGATGTGTGTGGTGTCATTAAATCCTTTCACCATCTCGGGTAATATAGAATACCTAAACTGTTAAAATTTAAATACCAGCAATGTCAAAAATTTAATTATTTATGTCCATAAAAATACTGTTAATGATTACAAATTAATGGTAAGGTCTTAAAGAGATCTTACCAACTATAAGTATACAAATACTTTATTAATAAACGGGTTGACCTGTCAAACGATTTTTTATTTTTTGTTAATTTTTTTAACGCTAGTCGAGTTTTTTATTTAGCTGTGACGACAGATTGACTAAATATTGGGAACGGCTAAAGCGCCAGTCGTCAACGATATGAAAAACGTGACGACTTATCGTGACGGCAAATCGTGTGTCGTTGATGCGGCCATCACAGCCATGGTAAAAATATTAAAAAAAGAAAATAGAGATGAATATGCAAACGACAAGGCGACAGCCGTGAACCGTAAAAATGTCGTCACGATCCAATGAGATCAGATAGACACTCAGTTGTTTAAAGATAAAAAAATCGACGACACAGTAACGTTTAACATTCGATATAATGGAAACATTTAGAAACGACAGTTGACAAACGATAAAATATTCGTCACTACTTACATAGTGGGAACGCCCCCAAACTTGCATTCTTTTTGCGATCTCCTTCAAAGCAAAAGCCATTGTAAAATGTGACTGTGTACTAATCTCTTCCAATTATTAACTTTTTGATAAAAATAATAATAAATATTTCTTACATAGACGAATTAGCATAGCTTAAAAGTAGACTTGCAACGAATAGTATATTCGGCAGTATACCGAATACCGAATATTCGGCGAGGCCCCTGACCGAATAGCCGAATATTAGGCAAAAGTATTCGGCTGGATTTTAGCGCCAAAAAACTTGTACAGACGTGATTGTTTCGCGCTCCTTTGTTTTGTTCTAATCTGTTGTCCTCAAGCTAAAATGCGGCTAAATGACAAAACCAACTTTTGAGATATGGCCAAAAGCGCGAAAATTTTAAATTATTGCTAGTAACCATTCATCACATGACTGAATGAATTAAAAACTGTTAACTTGTTTTATACAGAAAATGATTAAATTATGTACCAATGACTACTTAATAAATGATTATAAAAGAAATGAGAACCTTACCCTTCTACATTTTGATTACCACAATAATTGAAATACATAGAATCCTCCATTTTTCCAATTCAGAAGATGATTATGTACCTGTGTTATGTACCAATGACTACTTAAATGATTATATAACAGAAATCAAAATATGAATATATACGTAATCAATCGATTTCAATTTTTCATTTTATCAATTATTTCTCTATGACAAAATTATTATTTAAGTATTCGGTATTCGGCCGAATAATATGTAGATATTCGATATTCGGCCGAATATAATAAAAGCAGGCGAATAGGCCGAATACCGAATAGTAACCGAATATTCGTTGCAAGTCTACATAAAAGTAAACTCTCTAAGGCTTGTGTTATGGAATACTAGGGTAACGGTAATTTGTTTCCTATATGTATCAGTAACATATACGGATACATATATTAGTATATTTATATAGAATACATATTCTATCCGTTACCCTAGTATCCCTTAACACAAGCCTACAGTGCTTACTTTGGGGCTAGGCTAAGTGGTGTGAGTGTTAGAAATATTTATTTATTTGACATATTCTTTAATATGTCAAATAAATAATTGTATCCTTTGGATTGGCTGCCACAGAATTCGCAAGATACGAAACATCTTTCACTCAAATATGTTTGTTTCATCGAAGCCTTGCATTTTTTTAAATGGCCAATGTTTTTCACAGGCAACAGCAGTTTACACAGAACAGTTATTAGACCTACACAGAGGTCAGGGCTTGGAGATATATTGGAGAGACAACTTCCAATGTCCCTCTGAGGACGAGTACAAACAGATGACCATCAAAAGTAAGTGAATATATATGTTAAATTTCAAGTCTCTTACTTCAAAAACATAGGACTTTCATACAAACTTCCAACCCCCGTATTACCCCCTTAGGGGTGGAGTTTCGTGATAATATGTAGCCTATATGTTGACCCGACTTCTTAATAATATTCGTGCCAAAATTAAAGTAAATTCATGCAGTACTTTTTGAGTATATCCTGGACATACATACAGACAAACAGATAAAAATTCTAAAAACTATATTTTTGACTTCGGTATCGATTGTAGATCACACCTCAATAATTCTTTTAAAAAAATATTCAATGTACAGTTTTGACTTTCCTACCATTTTATTATAAGTATAGATAGCATGAAAAAATAATTCTTTCTCGTACATCATATTGGCAACGTTTAGTATTGGTTCTGATCTGAAGCACAGGCCGATGTCCGCAGAGACGGGCGGGCTGTTTATGCTGGCCATCCGCCTAATGCAGCTGTTCAGCGACAACAAGTCCGACTTCAGCAAGCTGGCAGCCATATTCGGGCTATACTTCCAGATCAGGGATGACTACTGTAACTTGTGCCTGCAGGAAGTAATTATGCGAATAATTTAATAATATATATAATTATATAATAATAAGACGATATGTATTATAAGTAGCGGCAAACTTCTTGCGCAAACCAGACAAATAAACTTGCGCAGGCTTCCTTGTCCATGGACGTTGTTCAAAAAGTTTGCCGGGATATATACTAACATAGATTAAGGGAAAATGTTACTAACAAAAGGACGCTGTACACATTTTAATAATTAACACGTAAAGTTGAAGGGGAATTGCCAGGGCACCTACCTTTCGAGTAGGCGACACCATGAAACCCGGCGTATATACCACTCGGCCACGGAGGTCGTCAAATAAGGAGAAAGGGATAGGGATTCCATAGGGAAGGCCTGTGCCCCAGCAGTGGGGACATTAATAGGCTGATGGTGATACTTTGGAAGGCCCGATAAGCCATTTGCTGAATCTCCAGTCGTTAGCGACCACCAATCCGCACTGGGCCCGCGTGGTTTGTCATGGCCCAATCTCCCTATTATATCCATAGGGAAGGCCTGGGACCCAGCAGTGGGGACATTAATAGGCTGCTGATGATGACGAAAGTCCAGACGCGTAGATAGCTGATGCAGCACTAATAAACTGCCACACCATTTGGAGGGTTAGATGAAAGTTTGCATGGAAAAACAATTATTTCACTAGTAGGTATATTGTAATAACCAATTTGTTTGCAGTACTCTGAAAACAAAAGCTACTGTGAAGATCTGACGGAGGGCAAATTTAGTTTTCCCATCATCCACGCCATCAGGAACCAGAAGGGAGACAACCAAGTACTTCGTATCCTTTTGATAACCTACATTTTTTATTCATTAACACCTTCATTTTATTCGTTTGTAAACCTTTCATTTTATTCGTTTGTAAACTTTAGATATTATATTTTTGCTCAATAATAGGCTATTTCACAGTATGAAAAATAATGTTTCAATTGTTGGTATCTGTTTTTAATATGAATAATGGCAGTGATTTTACTATTTTGAAAGAACAAATAATTAATAACTTTTCGATAAAAGCATTAAACAGAAATATTTTTTGCTCCATAGTCATGTGACCGAACACGCCTGCGATTGGCCAAGATTAAAATGACGTCACACGCACTAGCGTTTACTGCTTGGGTACAATAATAAGTTATTTGTTTTATACTAAGCGTCGTTTGCTCAAGTCTGTGATTTTTATCGACCCAAGGCGAGTAATAATCACAGAACTCATAAAATTTTGATTATAAAAGTATAAAAGGCCTTATCAAATTAGGCTGGTTAGCGTCTTCCAAAGAGTTGTCAACAATCGTCGCCATGAGAAGCTGAACATTATCTATACAAACATTTTCATGTTTCACAATATTAATTCAACAGGAAAATAAAAATAAACAATCTGTAAAAACGATAACAAATATCTCTTATGAATATCATTTATACAACGTGTAACTGATATAACGCACATGCTGAAAATAGTTTGTTAAAAATATGCAAATGAATCCATTTTTATTTAATCAGTTTTAAATCATATTATCTCAATGTTAATAAAATTATTTAATATCCCGTTGCATTTAAAATAGCACTTATTTCCATTTTTTTATGTGCCATATTCTTTTGTTCAGAGTGATTTAATTAAAGTATTTATTTTAAATATTTTTAGAATTGTTTTTTTATTGAAATCTATTCAGAAGCCAATTCCTACCAAACTTATTTCAGGGTATGCGTTATTTCTGATACACATTCTGTGACTTGTCAGATTATTTCTGTTCACAATATTTGATACTTCATTGAGAATTTAAATAGATACCCCATATAATTATACACATAATTTGAATAGGAAACATAGTCTATATAGTCAACAATAGGAATATGTCACCGGCCTATTGATAACAATAGATATACGATGTTGTCTTTTGTCAATGAATGAATATTTTATAAGTTTCCGCAAACTTATAAAATATTCATTCATTCATTGACAAATTTGAATTCGCAACAGCACTTGACCTCAGTGTAATACGTAACGTAAGTAGTTGTAACATTGTTTGTAGCCAGTTTAGAATGTTTTGTTATGTAAGTAGTTGCGTAGGTACCTTCTGGTTCTTATTAAAGGCAAAGCCAACATTTATGATTTGTTTACAGTTTGCTGATACATTGCTTTCTTGACGTTCTATGAATGTTTCGTTTTCTGTAGCAATGTATTTAATATAAATAATATCGCGTTCCTGACTCCTGCCTTTTGTTTCAACGACCTTGGGTTAGAAAATCTGTAGATGTATTCGTTTCGTTTGTATGATGCACACTTTTTTCCTGGCGTTATTTCTAACATTTCAAGTATAATAACTTTTACTATGACCACATCACCATGGCGCTTTTTTACATAATAATAAAAAACCGACTTCATTAAACAAAACCACTAAAAGAAATAATGCATATTCCTTACTTACATCTAAATTTAAAGTCCAATTTCGTTTTGGAGTAAGTTAAGAATATAGTTTTTGTTCCTGGGCATGTATATATTATAGTCCAGGCAACGAAAAGGTATAGAGGGAATTGCTTAGAACACAATTTTTGACTTCGTGACTTTGTTAGGACTAGTTAGGAGGTAAACATATCAAAAGTCCCCGCCCGTAGCCCTTTAGCCGTGGGGAAGGGGGGGGGGGGCGGGCTTGAAGGTCCCATTTTTAGGTTTTTCGCATATATCTCGAAAACTATGCATCCTAGCGACATGAGACTTTCACAAAAGTGAAAGCTGATTAAATTTGCTACAAGTCTTATTCAGTCAAATTTTTTGATATCTTGTATACTTTTCGAGATATCCGCTCTTGAAAGTCTGTAATTATGGAAAAAAAATTTGTTCCCATTTTTGCTCTATTTGACCGGATAACTCTTCAACAATGCACCCAAAAATAAATGCCGGCCGTAGGGTTGTAGAGCATTAAATTATCTTCAATAATAGAAACAATTGCCTTTTTTTTTTATTTAAGGACAAAATTGTTAGTGTAATAGACGTATGGGGGCGGTACGGTGGGCACTAGGCCGCGTACTCAGCCCCCACGCGCGGGCCGTCCTGCGCACGTCTGTGGGGTCCTCGCGATACCCCGGGAGACCCCTGCCGCGGAACCTCGGCAAGGCCGGGAGGCTGCTAGGTGCGGAGACGCGGAAGAATCCCTAAACGGGGAACGGGGATAGAGGGTGTTCGCAGGGTTTTTTAGCGGATATTATGCCGTATAGCGCCCGTAAGGGTTACGGGGTCCTCAGTGGGCAGCCACTGCTGGGGCTCGTAAGGCTTGCGGGAGCCAGGTGTGAGGTCCATAAGTAAAAAAGAAAGTAAATTAGTGTCATTGAGAAACTGTAATTATCTAATAATAATATCTGTAATAATGATATCCGCTCTTGAAAATCTGTAATTATAGAAAAAAAAATGCTTTACATTTATGCTCTATTTGACCGGATAACTCTCGGATAACTCTTTAACGATGCACCGATGTCTAAATAGCACACATGCTCATTTTAGAATATGTACTTGTTGGCCCACTGACCAGGTTCTTCACACAATCCAGAAAATAAGTTTAAAAAAACTGCAAGAGTTAACTACTTTATGCAAAAAAGGTTATTATAAATTAGATGATTATTTAAATGATAAGATTGTCTGGTGTTGTATTGGTCCAGCTCAACACAAAAAGTAGTATTAAGAATGATTAAAATTATAAAACTGGACTTTAAAAAAAATTGAGACGGTAGGGCCCTGTGCCTCTGGTTTTTTTCCGGTTCTCATTGGCTATACAGGTACGAATACGGCAGCAGTTTTCGATACAATTCACTATGACGTGCAAAAAGAGATTTGTAAAAAAATCCAATATAGTTAATTTCTTGCTCTTTTGGGGTGGGAAGGACCTTGATCCTCGTCTTCGTTTACATTTTCTTTGTCTGTGTCATTTTCTCCATCGGAGCCCTGTAGGGAAACGGTCAGAGGATCCTCCTGTTCTTCTTCGCCTTCGGAGTCAACTTGAGGGACCCCATTCAAGCAGTTCCCCTGGCAATTTTGGCACGCTGGGGAACAGGAACGCAGGACACCCCCTTTAGTCAATACGTCTACTACCCTTTTTTTTTATACGCAGGCAAAAAATACTATTTACAGACGACGGCGCCTTTAAGAGGCACACCGCCGAACGGACCTCACACCTGGCTCCCGCAAGCCTTACGAGCCCCAGCAGTGGCTGCCCACTGAGGACCCCGTAACCCTTACAGGCGCTTTACGGCATAATATCCGCTAGAAAACCCTGCGAACACCCTCTAAGCTGCTTAGTGCGAAGCCGCGGAATGCGGAATGCTCTACAACCCTACGGCCGGCATTTATTTTTTGGGTGCATTGTTGAAGAGTTATCCGGTCAAATAGAGCAAAAATGGGAACAATTTTTTTTTCCATAATTACAGACTTTCAAGAGCGGATATCTCGAAAACTATACAAGATATCAAAAAATTTGACTGAATAAGACTTGTAGCAAATTTAATCAGCTTTCACTTTTGTGAAAGTCTTATGTCGCTAGGATGCATAGTTTTCGAGATATGTGCGAAAAACCTAAAAATGGGACCTTCAAGCCCCCCCCCCCCCTCCCCCCGGCTTAAGGGCTACGGGCGGGGACTTTTGATATGTTTACCTCCTAACTAGTCCTAACAAAGTCACGAAGTCAAAAATTGTGTTCTAAGCAATTCCCTCTATACCTGTTTTTGAGCATTCGTTGCCTGGACTAATTAAACATATAATTCTTCTTCACCAATAGGGAATATGCATTATTCAAATAAGACTCATTTTTTATATAAACTATTACTTTTGCATTGTCCCTCCATCAATATTTTTTATAAAAATCTTTTTAGCAAGTAATTAATTATTAAAAAGTGTGAAAAAGTTTTGGGAAGTTTCAATATCTTAAACGCGACAGATCGGTTGTGACGTAGAGATACAGAGCAACAAACAAGCGCCATGTTCACAGGATATGTCAAAGTCAGCGAATGCATAGTGCGCGCTTCAATTGTCGGTAAGGCGCGCCATAGCTAGGACGTGATGTTACAGTCCAAACGAAAAGTTACAAAATAGCGTTTAAAATTACCGTGCAAACTGGCTATTTTTAACATTATTTTAAGACAAATTACACAATTTTTTCGACATTGAAATTTTTTATACTATATTAAGGGAATGTAAACTATGAAATAAAAATATAAAAAAATTCATGCATGTGCTCTATTACTCTATTTTCGCTGAAAACTGCAGTAAAACTCCTTGCGGAGTTTAAAAACAATCTAAGCCTACAAACAACGGTAGCTACTAGATTATAGATAATATTCCTGAGCTTTCACCTATAAGACATCTTGCGTCAACGCACGCGCGACGTGGAGGTGAAGCGGTACTGCATATCGCTGCTGGAGCGGCTCGGGAGCTTCGCATACACGCGCGCCACTCTCACGCAACTCGATGCCGATGCTAGAGCAGAGGTAGGTATATAGGATACATAGACACGGTGAAGTCGCTCGACGGGGATCTCGCGGTTCCGCACTTAACAGCGTACAGGGTATTCGCAGGGTTTTTTAGCGGATAGTAGCTCAGCAAGCGCTCGTAAGCCGCGCGGACTGCTTAACGGCTTTTCCGTTTCGCACCCGTCAGACTTGCGAGAGGCTAGGTGTAAATAGAAGTGTTGCCTGCGAAAAAAACAGGTTAACAGATGCTTAATTTAAGATTAGTTGCCGTGGAGTGTTATTATAGTACATAGTAGCGATCCCAAACTACCTTTACCTGTCCTATTATAATATAAAAAAATCTTAAAACCCGTCTACAGCGCCACCTACCGGGTCCAGTTGTAAATCTCACTAAACCATTAAGAATCATTGTCGGCGACCTGAAATTATATGTATTATAAAAACATTGTTTGCCCCTCAGGTAGCCGCGTTAGGTGGAAATCCACTGCTCGAGGCTCTTCTCGATGATCTTCTAAGCTGGAAACGGGATGGCCAGCACACCATTCCCAACAGCGCGTAAAGAAGACTCAAAGAAAAGCGCGTGAGTCCCTCACATAGACATAGAGAATGGGCTGGAATATGAAATGGAAAGATAGAAAACGAAATTGTGCGACTAATGGGCAGCAAAATTGTGAAAGGGACGAAGCAATCGAACGACCAGTACTTTAAGTTCGAATTTGTCTGACAGCTGGTTAATGAATACCAAAGGAATACCCAGAGTCCTCTCTATGTCTGTGGTCCCCCAAGCGCTCGTTAATTTTAAAAAATCAACCTCATTAGGTGCAATGTTTACTATTAAGGTTTGAACGCGTGTAACGTATTTGACCATTCGTATACGTTTCATTTCATGAGAATTAATTTATACTTGTGTTGTTTTTAGAAAATTTACAGCTAATTACGTAATACATCTGGGTTGCAAGTCCTGGGGCCAATATTTTTCTTTCACATCACGGTGTAGAAAGATCACATTGATTCTTAGGTTTGTCGGGGCTCGTAAAAAGATTTACTTTTAGGCAATTATCTCCATTAGTATCAGAAAATCCACGGATTTCTTAGTAGTTTCGTGTTTGATTCTGTCACTGATACGTCTACCATATTATTCCATGTTAATTTATATTCGATGTTATTTGGCATATTAATTCAGCTGCGCAAAGGAGCTGCTAAGCCCCACTTGCTGTGTTGCAAGTGCGAATAAAAAGAAGTAAATGCTGTACAAATTAATATGTAAACTTGTAAATTAACGTACGAATTATTGAATATATTGAGTGCTGGTAATAAACCAAAAGATAATAATGATTTTCAGTCAAGCATAATATTAGTGTTATCATTTTCTGATATTCGTTTAATTGAAGTTAGTTTAACATACCAATTACAAACTACGAGAGATGGGCCGACTAGTCGCCGGCTAGTCGGAAAGGACGACTTTTCGGTATCATTTTAAGTCGGCGACTGTTCGGCAAAATATGTCGAATGCTGTGCGAAATGTCAATTTCAAAATTTGCGTGGAAACTCAAACAGCAGCGCCGCAACGGAGTGAATGAGAACTGAACATCAGTACACATTTGGCAATGACATTTTGGACTCGCAAACTATTCGAATTCGAGATTGGTTCGTGCTAAGGGTACAGTTGGCTAGTCGGTTAGTCGGCAAATACTATAGTCGGCCCATCTCTACAAACTACCTTTAGAATAGTTAAATAAAATATAGACTGTTAAACACTATACCCTGTCTGCGCGTCGTCGCGCTTCGCGCTCTTGCATTGCGCAGTCGGGTAATAAAAAATTGAGAATGTACCTTTTAAGGTACATTTTGAATGTTAGGTTTATTAATACGTGTAAATCAATGTCAGACTATTATTATCTCTTTCGTGAAGGCATGATATGTACTTGCTAATGGATAGGTATAGACAAGGGAGGAAGATCTATAACCCACAACATGAGCCCAGTGTAATCAGTAGGTGGTGTATGCTCATGGATATTAACAAAAAAATTACATCTAAAACAAAATTGCTACTTTTTTGTTTCACAGATTTTGTTTGCCCATGTATAGAAATTGTAATTAAATCGTGCTTTTGTTGTTTTTTATTGTTTTTTTATAAGTTTTGCATTGCTAATATTGTAAATTTTCAATCGAATTAATTGGGAATGTATTTGTTATGTATTGTGGTGCTTACTTAAAATACTGATAGAAATAAATTCTGGCTCAGGGGCAGAATTAAAAACAGTTTGCATGCTTTAATGGAATGACTGACCTATAAGTTCTTAAGTCACCATTGACATAGGAAAACCACAGGGATGTTTGCAATTTTTTTTGTATACTATTTGCGTATTTTAAAGGTAAGCGTTGCGAACAATAATTAAAAAAAAAACACTGGTGCAAATATTGTTATAATAAATAGTCGCAAAACACTGTAACTTTGTTGTTGTAAAAATGAGTTGTAACTTAACGTTACACGTTTTCTGTCAATCTATTCATTTTAAATTTCCGATGATAGTACCGGCTAAACGATGGTTCAATGAAAAAGCTGTAATAATTATAGTCTCAACACCTACATCAGCAGCAATGTGTGTTTCTAAAACACTACCAGCAAAGTAATCAAACAAAATGAGTTCACAATTCAAACGCAATGATACATACGACGACAGTATGTTCACGTCGCTGGTTTCTGCGTGTTGGTTCGCATCACAAGTAGTTTTAGCTTTGTCATTCGATGTATCAATAATTATGAAGAAGCGTAACAATAGCACGAGTGTTCGTTTAGTAAATCTGTCTGTGTGGCTCGCACTTAGTTATTAAGTTGGGTGGACCATGGTAGGCCACTCTAACGAATAAACAGTTTTTCTTGGTTAAAATTATTAATTAACATTTTGTTTTATTGTGTAACATGTAAATAACTTCTTTTTATTCTAAATGTAATCACGATTTATTAAACTTAACTTTTATTAAGCTCTTCCAAACGGCCTTCCTAGGAATAGGTCTGTATACAAGGCCAATATTATAAATCAGGTGTTCAACTTAAAACTAGAGCTGTAAATATGTAAAATTCATGAGTTTGATGGAGCTTAGTGTGAGTGGGAGGAATTTATCGTCACATGACAGTAACTAAGATTTTTTTCAAGTTGGCCTTCGAAGGAGCATGGCCTTCCACGTTCCACCCACCTTATGTCGTTTCATTGGAAAGTGTAAACGAACGAGCAATAGGACAACGAATTTTACCTCGCGTGCTGATACTATAGCCCAAAATGTGCAATATTAATATTATTTTAAAAGCTAATGATGAAAAACTCTAAATGTTAGTGTTGTTTTATAGAATAATCTGTTAAATACATTATTCCGTTTATGTTAAACTAATATGGTCCAAAGATTTGTCACCAATGTTTGAAAAGGCGTACGAAAAAAAATATTTATTTACATTACTATTATATGGGGTTTAGGTGATAAAAAATTGCTTAAATTTTATTGCATCAATTTTTTGCGATATGTGCAGAAAGCCACAGATCAAGTTTTTCAAAACAATGTTTTCTTCTTCTTATTATTTTGAGCTGTATCTACCTTCAGATAAGATTCAGAATCTTTTGTAAAAATATTGTTTTATGGTAACTTGATGTGTTGGCGACTGTGCCGTGATCTCGGATAATTACATAAAAGCTAATTTATTTTTATAGTTTTTATAAGTTTTTCTTTATGAATTAATGTATTACTTAAATAATAAAAAAACTGCCGAAGGCCTATACTTGAATAGTTGATACGTAGTTATAAAAAAATAGTGTGGTTACTTTACATTAAACAGGTACTTACACGTAATAAATAATGAATTAATTAAGGAAAAAACAGTAACTCCCTATCACTAGCCTAAACAGAAATAGATATCAGTAACTTTAATCGAACATTATTAAGTGTACGGACTATTTAACATAATTTTATTATTAATTAGTTTATGGTGCCATATGTAATACATATAATTAGTTGTTTTGAATAATGATAATTATTACATTCCACAGAAATAATAATGGATCAATGAGGCGTAGTGTACTTAGAAGTCGCATATTTCCTTAGATTTAGATAACAGGTGTGGCCAGTAGGCATGAAATTCAAGTAATTAAGTGTTTTTATTGTTGGCATTTCGAATGATGAGACATATATACAATAATATTTATTGCAATCTCATATTTGTATGGTGGATGAATCGTAACATAAAGGCTCTCTCTCAAAATATTCCTCGATAATATTTATATTGAGTACTCCACCAAGGTTTCATATAATTCTGCTATAATTGGCAACTATGGGTAAACCGCTTAACTGAGACCTCGCCCGCGAGGTAAACCCTTTACCCCGCAGGCCAGGACTCAGTTAAACGCTATACTTTATTATTGTTAGAACATATTCTTAAGATTTGTTTGTCATTAACTTTGAAAAATATTTGAGTATTTGGCCGTTTATGTGTATTTTCTTGACAAAAAGTGCAGTTATTGTAATTAAATCTCACTATTAATGAACATAAAAAACTTGAGCTAAAATTTTAATGACCCAGAAATTATTGAAGGTTTAAAAACCAGATTTGTCGGGTTTATAAATAACTCCAGCCCCCCTAGCATGAGCATCGCAATAAACATTATATCACGTTTTTTACCGCGTCTAACTGTCAAATTCCATAGTAATTTGACATTTGAGCGTGATAAAACCGATCTATATTTATCATATCGCGGTGCTCATGCTGGGGAGGCAGCATGAAGTATTTTCTGATTAACACAACTTAATTTAAATTTGAATAATGTATGTATGTTTATGTAATCATGAATTAGGAACAATGTTCCAGTGAAATTGTGTAGCATTATTTGTTATCAATCTTCCACAGCCATATCACTGTGTTTAAGAGTTAAATTATCCATTGGTCCTTAACTAGAATACTTACAAGTCATATTTTTAGTCATGTTGTATTGTTAGTTTAGTAGGATTGTGTAATCAATTTGTAATTTAGCGTTGAGGTGTGCGATATTGGGGTTCCTATACATTGACGTATAAAAAAAAAACAAGGAGACGACCTTTCCCCTAACAAAAGTGCACCTTAAAATGTCCGAGCGGCGCTGTATTACACCTTGTCATTGCGAGGAGTGGTAATCAATGGGCGGTCGAAACAAGTCTGTTTGCAAATTGCGCACAATAGCTGAGTGTGCGTAATTTTGCTTCCGACACTTTTGAACGCGGTTGTTTTTATACGTCAATGTTATTGTGACACAATTAGTGGTTTTTGCTCAGCCCTAATAATTAATAAAATTAATTGTATGACGAGTTCTATTCCTAATCACATTCTCTGAGCTATATTTGACATCCATCATGAAAATATTACGATACAGAAAAAACATACAGTCGAATTGAAGTCGGTTGAAAAATATTCTCAAATCACCAATCAACCTTTTTTCACATTTTAAATATTTTCGCATAACGAATTCCAAGGCACACTTACACCGAAGTTCTCAATAAATAAATTATTTTTAACACTCACACCAATTGTCTAGCCCCAAAGCACTGTAGGGCTTGTGTTATATTTTATCTAGAATTATATATAAACATCCATGATTAAGGTACAAAAACTCGTATTCATCCTATTAACATTTGCCATCACCGGGATTCGAACCCGGGACGCGACCTTTGAAACCCGGTGTATATAACTCGGCCACGGAGGTCGACAAATAATTCAAATTGGGACTGAACCGTGTTCAACACATCGTTACATCTTTGTCAATTGTTTAAAATCAAATAGAGTTAGACTGGCGCTAAAACATCGCTAGTCATGTGATTAGCTTTTAAATTTGGTTAAAGAACTTTGGTGCAAGTGGGCCTAAAAGACGATCTTTAATTGAAATTAAAATAATAAATAACAGATGGGCCAGCTAAGGCTAAAACCGGGTTAAATGGTCAGTGAAATTGACTGCATTATTTTGGCTGATATTAGAAATATCTGTTCCAATTCTGCAATACATTATAGTTTGCCGAATGTAATTTGGAATAGAACTACGTAAGTACGCGATTGTTGCTTTATTGTTAACATAATATACTTAGTTTTATTTAAGTTTCAATTGATTTCTGATCATTTGTTAAAAATAAATAAATTTATATATTTTTTAAAATTTCGTTTTTTTTATTTTTATTCCATGTTTTAAGTTCTATGCAATTAATAACCTGTCTTCCAATATAGGACAATAATATTACTTATAAGGAAATAGTGAAAATGCAAATAGTTTATTGACAAATTTTAGCAGTGTTATCGATTCACGTATCTTAGTCACTGAATAAAGCTTTGTGTGCTCATTGGTTGGTTTTATTTTATCGATAATGACCTAATTGCATATCTAGCACGCTAGACTTCAAATTCAAGAAAGAAAGATTTTTTATTGTAGCAGCATGTGTAAAAAAGATGTTCAGTGATAATTAGATAAGTACATAACATGTGGTGCCAATATCGGCCGTACTAATTAATTATTATTTATATTCTTAATTATTGTTCTGATATTCACATTATAAAAATCAAAATGTCAATACTATAATCAAATGTCAATAAATTGGGAAAATACTTTAAATATGTCCATATTCAAGCAAAACAGAGAGATTTTAGTTGCGTTGAGAATGAACCGCGACCAAAGGTTTTTGTGTAATCCTTGATCCTGTCGGACATACAATAGTTTTAAATAATACTGCTGTCCCGTCGTTTTGATATTAAACACCACTGCATACATCCTGTGTTAAAACCATAGACACAAAGACTACGCAGTAGCATTTTTTTTTTACAAAAACTTCTACTGCAATAACTTTTTAGTCTATGGTTTTATTCAAAATCTTTGCTGCCAAGTAGACCAAAAGCATGAAAACGCAATTAATGCAAAATTGCGGAATAAAAGCTTAATCGTATTGTGCCGATTAGTATTTGTATACGCACATCAAGTCGAGTTCGAGCAAGCCTATACCTATGTACAAATAGCGTATAAGCTTGCCTAGGCGATCACCATAACTTGTAGATGCTTGTCATATAAACCAGAGTAGGAATCATTCGTCGGGCTCTTCTCCGTAGAGTTGTGGAAACTACGCTCACCGACAATACTCCAACAAAAGGTAGTGTTAGCCTGCTAGTTACTCTAGCTTTATTCAGTAGATTATGACTAGGTTCCTACATAAAACGAAAAATAATACGGGATAGGGGATGACCATTAAAATCCTTTCGAAATATCATTGTTATTAATAATAGGGGTGATGACGGGGTACAGTAAACGAAATTCTATTTAGTCCGTCATAGATGATCAAGAAATAATGGACACATTTTTTTTGGGCAATTAACCAAAAAATTACTAAGTTATAGCGCGTCAAAGTTTGGGAGTAGGGGCTCGTGACGTCACTTTTAAGTGAAAATTGTTCCAAAACGTGACTTCATGCGACTTTTCAAATCAATATATCTGCAATGTTTATGTGAAAAAAGAAAAATACGTGTCCAATACTTTTTGATAAATCTACCTGATAAACGAAGAAAAAAAAATAGTCATCATCCATATTGTGGGTGCGATTTATATTTTTCTCATGCTGATATAAATAGATACAGCAGCTTGGCTTTCCAACCTAAACGCCGTGATTACATTTGGTCCTCAGCCCGTATTCGGGTGCAGCAAACACATTACTCGAATTTTGGCACCCGAAGCAATATATACACTGGAACAAGGGCGTACTCAGTGGCGGCGCTAGGCGTCGGCGACGTCGGCCATCGCCGACGGCCTCGCGCCTGAGGGGGCCTCGCAAAAACTTTTTACAAGTTACCTATTTATTTTCGTTTCTCCTGGCCTGGCTTTGGTAGCCGACCCCGAACAATTCGGGGAAAAAAGCTAAGCAAATGATGATGATGACTTTTATTATTTTAGTACTTACTGGTATTCAGAATCGTCTGACTGGCAACACTATTTTTGTAATTAAATTTCTATGTTTGTTATTATTTTTTGTCATTTGATTATCAACAATAAAACTCGTTTACTCATATGTTATTTTAAAATTTGGCTCACTTAATATAACGGTTTTTACTGCGAATTAAAATAGGCCTCGCGAGCTTGATGTCGCCGACGTCCATATGTGGTCTAGCGCTGCCACTGGGCGTACTCGACTCCGTTCATTTAAACTTAAACCGAATTACATTGGCATTCGTATTCGGGCCAACAACCACGCGTAATCGCGCCATAACAAAGAGAAAATGTCGTCATTTGTCAATTAAAGGCGTGTGTGATTTACGTTCTTTATTTCCTTTTTTTTATACATTTGTCACAAACTACAGCACTGCGACTCTACTAGTAGTAAAGGTTTTCGTTGTGTATTCTAATATCAACATAAATAAATCTGTGTATTATTAATATTACAGTAAACCTAAATTTATATTAATTTTTATATTCCATAATAATTGTCACGATAAAATATTACAATAAAAAAGAATCTAAAATCATATACAAATAATCTCTCTTATTGAAACTACAGACGAAAAATCGAAGCAGTATTTTTTAAATGGAAAAACGTAATGTTTTATCACAATGTTATGGACACTTACTTCTCCCAGTAGATTCACTATCAAATATACATAAAGTTACATTAAAGATAAGCATATTTTTTTTATTTCAAGAAAGCAAAAGGTTAAAGTGTAAGCTTATGCTTTTAATAATTTCTGGCAACACGCCTGAAAGATGGTGAAAGAGCAATTAGATATTGCCAGTATAAAATATTTTTAGCGTGAATAACCTCGTGGCAGTGCTATCCTAAAGTAATCAAACAACGATTCCATTATAACTTGTTTGACCTGCTACACGACAGTTATTCACTTTAAAGAAAGCGAAAGCTTTGTATAAAAAGTTCAAAGTACGGTGACAGTAATAAATTAATTTAATTCATTAAAAAATAAGTTTGGTCTTAATAACTATAAGTTAATTTCAGAGTTCAATACGCCGCCTGCAAACCTAGTGCTTTGTTGAAAAAATAAAGTTAACATAACTGTCCATTGACGCAGAACATAACTTCTCTATTCGAGTTGAAGTCATACCTTCATTAAATGAAACTCAATATTTACTGATAATACCAAAACAAACTGTCACAGAAATCCTGTTAATTTTATGTATATTTTATATATATAATGTCAAATTTCTATGACTATGTTATCGAAAGTTCTTAAATAATACTCAGCATAAATCTTACGTTAGTCAGTACGTTTTCCACTAAATTGTTATTTAAAAAAAAAAGTGCCAAAACAAGAGAAGTATGTTTTGCATTAATGGAATGTTCACATTTAAATATATTACAATTTATTAAAAGTAAAATTAATACGAGTTCATTAGCACACTAGAATTATTATTAATTTTAATCAATAATATCAATACCAGACATCATCACATACATTGTACTGATCCCAAAATGTAACAGGGCGTAGTTGAAATCAGTGACAACGACGGTACCATAAACTCCCACACCCAGAACAAATGGTCGCGTAATGAACGGACATTTCGTTCGGACACGGGAATTGAACCCGCGGCGCAGTATCATTCTGTGAAGATATCATCACTCATACAATTTGGGTTGTCTCCCATTCATACTGTGACAAGAACTGTATTTAACGCTTTAAATAAGTAAACAAAAATGCGATGGTTTATTTAATCATAGCCATGTTCGAAAAGCAAGGTAATAAACAAAAAATATTTTTCAAAAAGTGTAGGTAGGTATATATTTTACAAATGGAAAAATAATATAAAAATGCACTAATAATGGTCCTGCCATTGTCATGCAAGTATTTTTTTATTGGTTTCAATAACAAAGAATTAAATCACAATTCTTGGCTTTTGCTCTCACAAGATACATTCAAAATGATCCGTGCCTTGATTGTTTGTGATAGTGTAATATTAATAGTTACATCCATTCAAAGGCCGCCAAGTATTCGCCATTATTTGCATTGACATTTTTGTACAAAGTAATATAAAAACTTAAATTTGACAACGGAGTATATTTGTCATACTCTAGACAGAATGAAAAGGAGAGAATGATCTTAAATTTAGTTTTAGGTTTAGAGAATCATGCCAGAATCGACACCATTAACAGTGTCTTAAATTTTAAATTATTATTTCTTTGAAAATTTATTTGAAACCTTATATTAAAATAAAATTCGGCTGACAAATCTTTGCCCGCATGGGGCTGTACTTTTAAAATCGATAATCGATGTATCGAGAACGTCGTTGTGTCGTGTCCTACTCTAGAGCATAAGAAATTACACAAGTTAGAGTAGGATGGACAATGATGACGATCACGATAGACGAAATCAAGTTTCAGAGTACAAGCGTTGAAGTTTGTTTGGTTGCGCAGTAAGCAATTTTATTCTTAATATGACATGGCCAAGATTCGTCACCTAAATTATGTTATTAAAATTAGTACTTGTATAAAGTGTAACAGAGCAAATTGTCGAAAATTTAAGGTAAAAACACAATGCACTTATGTCGTTACATTATATCTAGTTATGAATAACATCTCGCTGTGAAAGTACAGAAAAAAATACTACATATTTCAGGGCGGTAATTGCTCATCCTCAGTGTGGACTGTCTGTAAAGATTCCTCCCTCAATTAGGCTCGAGGTCTAACGATTAGTTCTTTTAGTTAGTTACCTAAATATTAAATTTCTGCGGTTCCACACATCAACGAGTGTATTTCGTTCATAAAACAATATCTTCAGTTATATGCAGATGATACAAATCGAACATCAAATCACATCTACACATGAGTACAATGTATTTTCTAATATATGTATGAAAAGGGGTCTTTAATAGTACACTTAAGGAAAATAAGTTTGCAAATTACATTTTTTTTAAAAACATCAAAATTATTTGTTATTTTTGTGGAAATATCGAATAACTTTAAACTTATAATTCAGCGATAGCACATCGATTTAAGGCGTTCTGCGTTCCCTTATGGGGCGAGTTGAGTAGTGAGAATTGAAGGATATAATCTAAGAAGCACATTACAGTATCACAAAGCGGGTGCGGCGCGCCTACGGGATCCAGCCGACCACGTAGCTGCGGCTGCGCGTGAACTGCGTGAGACGGCGCAAGCGTCCGCCTGCAGGAATAAAAGGTTTAATACAATTATTTAAAACGCAACCATATGGAACACATGGCTATTCATATTTGCTATTTTGACAGCAGGCTGTCTTTATCCCATCCTACGCCCTCCCGACACGCATTAGGGGCCTAAGTCTTCGGAATGCGTGTCGGGTGAACGGTGCAGGAGTATCAGTGGCGGCGCTAGGCGTCGGCGACGTCGGCCACCGCCGACGGCCTCGCGCCTGAGGGGGCCTCGCAAAAAATTTTATTTATCTCTTTTTATTAAGTTCGACTGAAAGAGTCCGATATGGACTGCCGGCCACAGAGTAACATGGCTCCTGAAAGGCATTAGCCATACGGTGTCCTTGTTGCTCCAAGTAGCCGGCAATAAAGTATTCGATGTAGCTCTCACGTTTTCATTATGCAAAATCTTTACATCCTTTTGTAAAAAAAGGGCAACCACTTAAATTTTAACAGAATTTCCGCTCAATTTTGATGACAAAGTGAAGGGAAAATCTGTAAACTATAAAATTCAGTGCATGTTTCCGTAATTTGTTAATTTAAGTTTTGAATTTTCTGAAAGTCATAAAAAGTTTAAGAGCGTTTAGAATTTTGGAATTATTAAAAAAATCGCTCTTTATTGTGACAAATAAATAAATTACTGTGAGAAAAATATGAGAAAAACCTACATTTATTTTCCTTACGTCTTTTCTATCAGTATAAAAATTCAAAACTGTACTTCTAGTTTACTTTGTACTTCTATCTATTTTCAAAGTCTATTAGCAAAAAATACTATCATTTTATACTATTACCTGCCTTATCTAAAGAAAATAATGCTAGAAAAAAATCCACACGGACCAAGCAGCAGATGGGACTCGAACCCGCACCCTTCGCTATCCGGGCGAATGCACTAACCATTATGCTACCGCGGCCCTAGTGTTTTTCTTTTCGCGCACTTTTCTAGTATTATTTTCTTTAGATTTAAACATCGAGCAGTTATAGGCTCAAAAAATAAAAAATAGAATTTTTACTTGCCTTGTTTTTATTTAAGTATCAAGTATGATTATAAACACAATCATGTGTTTATGCACAGATATCAAGTGTTTTAAAATGTTGATATATATTTTATTTAATATACATTACACTGACACTTATGCAAAAAAATCATTTTTTCAGGAGAAGCGTTTAAAACTTTAACATCCCAAAACATACAATATTTAAAGTTTTTTTTTTTAAATTTTTTTTAGATGAATAGCTAAGCTGTATGAGTTTTTCATTACGTAAAAATCTTTAAATATTGTATGTTTTGGGATGTTAAAGTTTTAAACGCCCATCCTGAAAAAAAAATTTTTTTGCATAAGTGACAGTGTCGCACCTGAGGTGCGATATGTGGATAATGCAAGTATGAAATTTTTATGATCAATATGAAATGCATATAAATTGCATAATAATATGCATTGGATACTGATAAAAAAAAAATGCGAAAGACCATAATTACTGTAAGTTCTCGACCCAATGTACAAGCGAGATACTAATGTAGAAAGCATTTCAGGTTTTATCATATAGTTGTGATGTGGCAATGATTAGCTGGCATGACGTTATTGATTTTGGAATCAGTCTCAATACCGCTTCTTTGCAAGGTTCCTGATGCTTTCATAATCAATATGATTATTAAAATAAATTTGAATTTAACAAACGAATGCTGTATTGAGATGTCATCATAAAAGCAAAATAACAATACATTTTTAATTTATTATAAAATTCAAATTGTTGGTCAATGGTTAAATATTATGTGTTCTAGTTGTAGCTGGAAAACAAATACACAATAAAAAACGTACTAAATCAATTTAGTTAACAAAATCTAATCTAAATTAATTAAGCCAGAGTTGTTATAAGTTTCAAACTTAGTATGATAGAAATAAAGTTTTTATCTGCTTACACTATTTTGTGTTATATAATTAACAAAAAGCATTAAATATCTAAAATTGTATGTGTATTTTACAATAGCTATTGTAAGTATTACCTATATAGAATAGTTTTGATATGCAAAAGTTTTTGACTATTAAACAACATATTTGACTTCACCTAGCCACTTTTAATGGCGTGAAAATTGAAACAATGTCGGATTAATGACTTATAACATTTAGTGCAGGTGATGCGGGCAAAGTATAAATGTAATAATGGAATACAAAATAAAGTAAACAACACATGCATTATGCTCCAAAACGAAAATGTATGTACAAGTTGATGTTCTGAAGACCTATCCTAAACTGAAAATTTGTTTGTCCATAAGGTTGAAAAAAAAACCTTTGAGGCTCGGTAAAACCTAAATGGGTTCTTAAAGCACTGGTGAAATACTAGTATCTTTACACCCTTCCAAGTTACCAAGACTAAATGGCATTTTAGAGATGTAGCCCTTGAAGAATTATTTATGGAAATTCACATAATAAGTAGTATTCATATATGGGTATAATGAAACATCTAGAAATAGTTTCTCAAACATAATTGCATAGAGTTAGTTTCAATGAGAATAAGGCAACATTTCGTTATTCTTTTCAAGGAATGTCAAAATAAATAAATTTAACTTAGTAATGAATTGTGACCCATTATAATCTCTGACGGTGACCAATTATGACCTCTGACCGTGACCAATTATGACCTCTGGGTTACCAATGAGGATCCGTAACGATTTTAGTTGAGAATGCAGATTTATAGAGCTAAGGATTCCATAAAATACAGTGGGTACATTTTTGTTCTACGACAAATATTGATGAAGTTATGACCAAATTACTAAACCAATTTTTCTGCTGGCCGCGTGGTGGCTGTGACGTCACAGAGCTCTAGCGCTCCGTCGTGAGCGTGCGTAGAGACGCTACTGAAGTTCGACCGGAGTGATCCACGATCGAGCTCTGTGATGTCACACGTTCGGCCGCCGGTAAATATTGGCTACCACAAAATTAGTTATAAAATCGCAATGAATGAACCGATTTCGATGATTTCAAAGGTATATTAATTAAAAAGCTTATGAGATCATTATGCTGTTGATTTTTAGTTGATTTGCAGACCTAGTAATGATCCTCATTATGACCACTGATTGTGACCAATTATGACTTCCGATTGTAACCAATTATGACCGAATGGCGTGAAGCAGTGAAATTTAGCAAAATTTTGATAGTTTTCTTTAAACTTACCACACGTACTAGTTCACGGCTCTAAGCGTTGTTCTGGCTCCGTCGCTGCTGGCGTACTGCAATGCATACACACGGACAAACGTCAAGGGTTTATATATACACAGTGCTATAGTTGCTGATGTTCACAATGCTTTGGACTTAGGTTTTAGAGAAGTTATCAAGAAGACAGTACATTAAAAAATTGGAGAGTTGAGAGAAACAGAAACTTCAAATACTTGTTTTTTTTAAACATTTTTTTCTATTAAAACTTTTCTTTAGCTTCAAATACTTATTTCAGATGACTTTTTTTACAAAAAATATGTATCAATTTTATACAGTAAAAAAAAGAATGTAATACTAAAATAGCCATCAGAAAATTAAATAAGGCTATTTGTCATACTTTATTTATTAATATTTTAATTTTTTAATACTTTATTTAAACAAATATTAAATATTTTTTAAAAAAAATCTATAGTGACGTGAAAATCAGCAACTCGACCAAATCACGAGGTAGGTACACATGGAAACATAGTCATAACATTGGAAGTATCATTATCCTAAAGAAATACAGTGAACACAAGTTGTATTAATTGGTTTGCACAAAAAAAAACAGGCCATGGAACATGACAGTGGCGTTTAGTAATTGCAAGTTTCATTCCTTCATACAAGTTAGTTCTCACGACATGCCGAGTTAGTAGTCAATCCTATGCATTGTGTTCGAAAATTCTTGTAGACAAATGGGATTTTCCTTTTATCCAAACGACAGACAAATATTGTCAAACACTATATACGAATATACACATAAATACGTTTTTTTTATACTTGTCGTTCGATTACGCTCGAACCGTAACCAAATGTCTAGAGAAGTTGAAACTTTAGAAGATTATTTTCTATACTTGATAAATTAACATAACTATTATTTTTACAGACAGGAGTAAAAACCATCATTGAAAGTAAACACTCATAATTTATTTACAAATTGATCAATAACAGAAGAAGCTTATATGAATTAAAAATACTTCATTTATTAAGATACTAATGGTATCTCTCCTAAAATAAGCAAGACTTTAGAAATCAGTACTGTATGTAGCATAGATGATTTTGACTTTGTCTGCCCAAATTGTTTCGGTTATGTCAATTTAGAAACTTTTAAAATTACAATTTTAATAATATACTTTAATTATATTTTATTCAGAACACCATTGCATTGAACAACAGTGCCATGCAACAACAACGGCGTTACAAGAACAGAGTAAATATGATATAACAATGAGGTTTTCAGCACAAAAATAATTGGATGCGAACTACAAAACACACAGTATGTCTATCCTGTCTCAATTGGGATCCGTTTTGAGGCTCTAAGCTGAAACTTAATAAGCGTAAGCCTTCGACGCTGTGGAAAAACAACCGTTATTTCCCGCAATGTTCATAGCACGGCAAAATAACTTAACGGCCAATGTTACAGCATTCGTGCTAAGAAAATTGGACTTTTACCGATGATACTGGCCGTTTCTATATACTATCATTCGGTCCTATGCTCCCCTCTCGGCTAAAAATCAAATTGTTAACAGTTAAAATATTATGAATCAAAAGAAAAATCACATCAAAACGAATTAGTGTTGTTCAGTAGGACATGTAGAATTGACGAAGAATCAGAGCAGATTTAGAGACAAGATTGAACAGTTAATAATATTCAAAGATTATATATATTAAATAGAGTAAAACTTGTTAACACTGAAATGCGTCACTTAATGCTTAAGTGATGCATTTATATTATATTTTGTAATGGTGCAAATATTTTTTTTATTTCTTTCAATTTAAGAAACTTCGAAAATGTGACTACAAGAAAATTATTTTATAGTTTACATTACAAGAAAACACGGATATTTGAATAATAATGTTTTTGTTACGAAAAATCCATTAAGCGATTAATCCATTAAGATAAAATTAGGTATAATTTATTTATATGCAAATCACAGGTGTATTGTTATTAATTTATATAATTAGTTGTATATAGCTGGTTGTATATTTTCTATAATTTATATATTTTCACATCGTCTGCTATTATGATCCAAAAGCGTAAATGAAACAATATGAATCAGTTTTAAGTATCAAAAACACTTTTAAAAATTAAATTCCAGTTTTTCTCGTGTCACATTTGCGAAGGAACCATAGACAATAAATCCACCAATCGCACCACGTACAACGCGTCTACACTCAAATAAATCGGCATTAAAGAAGCTGGAAGCGAGGGTTGTTAACGCCGCCGTGCCAAACAATGCCGACTGTCGGCTCTGACCTTATTCGATCTTTGACTATTGGCTACGCGCCCCCTTTTGCAGGTTGTTAAAGAATCTGAACTGGAGTCGGAGCGTAAGGTCTTTCCGTACTGGAACCGAACAAGACAAAAATACACCGTAACTACGTGAACACGTAAATGTGTCTACATCCCGTAGATGTCGACTCGAACGACTTTCGACAGAGATCCAAGGTTATTGTAGGTTAAAACACTTTTGTGTCGTAGAAATATGAAGGACCATATTCGAAATTCAACGGTAGTTAATGCTTTTTTCGTAGAAATATGGAGGCCTACATTAGAAATTCAATTTAGTTCAAAACTTTTTTGAAGAAATGTAATCAAACTTCCAAAATTTAATTTTAAATAAAACTTATTTAAGTAATAACAAGAACTTTGAAACCCTTTCGAAAGTCGTGATCCGATTCTACACGATCGAAAATCTACCGCTACTACACATAATATGGGGGCACGCGTGTGTGGTACAGGGAAGTGTTTCGGGCGAAGGGGGCTACTCACGAGTGGGGGTTGGGATTAAAGTCTGGTAGCTCAGCGCGGACGAACTGATCTCCAACGTCCGTTTTTGATACTTCTTCACTTGGTACTTCTACAGATTTCTCAAGCGGTACTTCATCGGTTTTCTCAAGAGGTACTTCTTCGGATTTCTCAAGCGGTACGTCATTGGATTTCTCTGCTAATTTTTCCACATTATGTTCAACATTCTTCTCAGTTTGTTTCTGTTCCCCACTAGTTTCGACCTCCTTAGCCGGTACCACGATAGTGTTTTCAACTGTTTCGGTGATTACACTCTTGGGGGCGGGGTCTTCGGTAGTAGGGGTAACGGCTTCAGCGCTGGGCGGAGTCATGTTGAAGAAATCCCCAGATATTCCAACAGCTGGAGGTCTACCGCGTGGTAAGCGGAGACTAAGCGATGCGCTACTCCGCTTTTGTACTCGACAATCTGATTATTAACAACTAGTATTTAGCCAGTGAACAATCTGCCCTTTTTGTCGCCTTCTCTCGTTCGCTGTCCCTGTCTGCTCTATTAGTGGTGGTCGGTTAATGTGAGCCGTTAGAGTGAGATGGGGATACGTCGCCCGGTGCGGTTCCACGTGCGTGTGAGGGCGACGCGACTATTTCAGAAAGCGTCACGCGCTAATTGTCAAATTATTTGCAACATAAATACCAGTGATGAATGACAATCAATCTGATATATTTTTAATATTTTTGTTATATATGAATGTATGTTTTATTGAATATCGCTTGAAATAAGCTGCGAGCATGTTCTATGATATCATTTGAAGTGAACAGATTATGCCTCGTTTTATTATGGTGTACAGCGTTTAACACTGTTAAAAAATATTCTTCGACACTGGTAATTATGCACAATTCTGGGGGAGTCACGCCATAATAATGAAGTATTTACTATAAAGAGGCGTATCGCCGACATCGTCCCCTCGCTGCGCCATCTGCGTGCAACCTTCGAGTTACTACCTCCATCAAAGGCTGTGTTATTAAGTAAGCTACGACTATCGACCTTATTCAATAACCTATACAGCACATTATTGGCACGATTCTCTCAACAAAAAACTACCTTTAACAATAGTACATCCTTATTATATTCTATAGATAATGAAAAGGAGAGACTGTTGTGAGATTTAGGTCTAAATTTAGAGAACCATGTAAGAATTAGGTTCATCATTTGAAAAAAAACTTAGTAAAACAAAGATACTGTGGCCTGTGGTGGTAAGCAGTCAATAGTTCTTAACCTAGTCGACTAGGCTTGCGTTAAATAATATCACTCGCGAGTAACCTACCATAATGTTATTGTACCCCAATAAGCGCTTGAAGTCAATATTGTTATTTAGCTGAAATCTTTTCCGAGGTAAAGAGGCGGAATATCCACTGTTTTACCATCACTCTTTCCAGAGTACAATATTTTTTATTCAAAACCATCAAAAAAGAAAATTATAAGTAGTTCTCAATTAAATGATTCAGTCGCAGCTTACTTTAAATATGACAGTTGATAGATATTATTAATTCGAATGCATGATCTTCATTCCTTTGTTGGTGATATTTCAATGGTAAACGTTTCATTCGTTCATTTGATGGTATGGCAATGCGTTCGAAGCGTTCATTCAATCGGTGTGACTTACACAATAATATACAGACAAATTCACATCAAGTTATTACAAAGTAGCAAGTTTTGTCAATCGATTATGAATCTTATATCAACAAACATACATATCAGTTAGAGGAAATCAATGGCTGTAGATAACTTGATCTGCCTCTGTCTGATCATAACAATTATAATGTTCACTTTTTTAATGAAGTCATGATAAAAATTAAAATACATAAAATATTATATTATAAAAAAAGTATTCAAATTAATCAAGTTTTTCTTAATTAAAGCTGATAATGTCATAGAAAGAAGAAAAAAATATTTGGGAACTTGGTTTGAAAAACTTTAGTTCAATTACCAAAAATATTCTTAGAAATCCTATTTGAAATTATTTATTGACAAGACTAGACTACCCAATTTAAAAACCCTTTATAAAAGGTTTAAATTCGTAATGTTTTAAACTTATTCTTAGAAAGAGTATAGCAGTTTAAAGAATGGTGAGAGGAGTCTTATTATAACGGATATATGTGTGTGTTTCACTCACGCTGTTGCGCTGCAGACGCCTGTGTGTGAGTGTGTGTGTGTGTGTTTGAGAGAGAGAAAAACGTACATATACACACGTAGAGATACACATCTCACTCACTCCTGTCGATGTTTAGCTGCAGATGCGTGTGGTGTAATGTGTGTGTGCGAGCGAGACGGGTATATGCGTGTGTTTCACTCACTTCTGTCGATGTTGCGCTGCAGATGCGTGTGGTGTAATGTGTGTGTACGAGGGAGATGGGTATATGCGTGTGTTTTACTCACGCTGTTGCGCTGCAGACGCGTGTGGTGTATAGTAGTGAGTGTGTGTGTGTTTGAGAGAGAAATACGGACATATACGTGTATCTCACTCACTCCTGTCAATGTTGCGCTGCATATGCGTGTGGTGTGATGTGTGTGTGCGAAGGAGACGGGTATATGCGTGTGTTTCACTCACTCCTGTTGATGTTGCGCTGCAGATGCGTGTTGTGTGATGTGTGTGTGCGAGGGAGACGGGTATATGCGTGTGTTTCTCTCACTCCTGTCAATGTTGCGCTGCAGATGCGTGTGGTGTAATGTGTGTGTGCGAGCGAGACGGGTATATGCGTGTGTTTCACTCACTCCTGTCGATGTTGCGCTGCAGATGCGTGTGGTGTGATGTGTGTGTGCGAGGGAGACGGGTATATGCGTGTGTTTCACTCACTCCTGTCGATGTTGCGCTGCAGATGCGTGTGGTGTGATGTGTGTGTGCGAGGGAGACGGGTATATGCGTGTGTTTCACTCACTCCTGTCGATGTTGCGCTGCAGATGCGTGTGGTGTAATGTGTGTGTGCGAGCGAGACGGGTATATGCGTGTGTTTCACTCACTCCTGTCGATGTTGCGCTGCAGATGCGAGGCGACGCGGTGACGGGCGTCGCTGTACTCGAGGTGGAGCCCCAGACGCAGTAGTGTTGGATTCTGTTCCACCAGCGAGCTGATCTCCATCTCGATCTTGTTACCCAGCACTTGCGACCGCTGAAACAGAACAACGAATATCATACAACTGTCTTTTCAACGTATTTGCGAGAAAACAGAACCTATACTTATTTAAGTAATGGATCAAACTTTTGCTAATAAGGTGCCAAGTGAGGGTGGGGAAAATTAGAACTACATCCTTCGTCTCTTTTCTTTTTAGTATAAAAGTGAGACAAAAGTATAGGTTAAAAGCGCTTTCAAGGAGGTTAGTCCGAAATACGATACGCACGGCGCCATGTATGGGAATGAATATGCCCTATTACCTAGGTCCTAAAGAGCATTTCGCTTCCTTCTGGTGGACGGACGATTGAACGAACGGGAGCGAATGATAAGAAAGATTAGGTGAACTAAAGATACACTTTATTTTTATCAATGTGCTAGTTCATTCTCATCTTACTTTCGTGAACTACTCCAGTCTAGAATTCGATTCTATGCTTACAAAATAAAGGGAAAAAATCGCTTGTGGCTAATTTCACACAATTTGTCACTGTCAATAAAAATGGAAATCATATAACAAAAGCTACAATTTAGTGTGTAGAATATAGTTTATTACAATTCCATTGAAGTCGATTCAGGCATGATTTTCTCAACCCAAATTTATGACAACAGTGGTAACCTTGTTATTCTCTATAAAATATGAAAAGGAGAGAAAGATTTTGAGATTTTAGTTTAGAGAAACACGGCAGAATCGAAACCACTGTCAAAGGCATATCTATATATATATATATATATATATATATATATAAATCAATTGCTGTTCGTTAGTCTCGCTAAAACTCCAGAACGACTGAAAGGATTTATCTTATCTTGGTCTTGAAATGTTCGTGGAGGTCTAGGGAAGGTTTTAAAAGGTGAGAAAAATAATTATATAAAGAAATTCATTGTGTATAAACAAGCCTGGGAACAAAAACTATAGTCTGCCTACATTACAGCTCTACACCGAAGCGAAGCGAGGGCGTTCCACTAGTAATAAGAAAAAAAAAAAGAGCAAGTCTTACAGTAGTCGCGTATGATGTGTAACATTTGAAACTTCGCCTTATATTAGTAAAAAAAGAAATAAAACCTACTACAAAATGAATAAGCCATTTTAACATTATGTTCTAAAATCAAATCAAATAGAGCGCGCTTTCGCGACTTTCTGTTACACACTTCCGTCCCATTTCACGAAACACTCCCACAAATTGCAGGAAAGCGAGAGGAAAGATGTTACATATCAAAAAACGAGCGAGCCTTACAGTAGTCGCGTATGGTGTGTAACATTTGAAACCTCCCCTTATATTAGTAAAAGAAGAAATAAAACCTACTACAAAAGGAATAAGCCATTCGAACATTATGTTCTAAAATCAAATCAAATAGCGCGCACTTCCCAAACTTCCTGTTACACACTTCCGTCCCACTTCACGTAATCACTCCCACAAATTGCACGAAAGCGAGAGGAAAGACGTTTCACATCAATAATAATTTACCTGATTGGAAGCGCGGAACTCCTCCACAGTGTTAGTAGTCAGAAGAGCTTTGACCAATTGCACGACCCCCTGTGGCGATATGAAATTGGTCTCTACGTTGACCACCCTAAGGGCGGTATTGGCTTGCAGCGCGTCGGCCAATAGACCGGCCATGCGGTCATTGAGGCCGACGTTGACGAGAGTTAATACTTCCAGGTGGGTGTTTGTCTTCAGGCCTTCGAATAGCTTCTCGAACTTTTCGTCGCTTATGTTCTGTGGGATGTGGGAAAACGAATATTTTAAAGACTTGTTACATTATAAGACTACTCAATATTATGAAGCCGAAGAGATTTTTTATTTATTTAGCATTTAACAGATAAATACTTAAATCTAAAAATAACACACGGCCAGGCAGAAGACGGGATTTTCTGTAGATTTAAACATAAAGCAGTTAAATGCTTTTAAAATATAGCTGCAATTGCTATTTCTTCTTTCAAATGTATAATACTTCTTGTAAGGGTATTTCGGTTAGGTTTGACATTGTGGGTGGGACACGACAATTACGGTAACATAATTGGTCAGTGCATCCGCCCGGATAGCAGAGGGTGCGGGTTCGATCATCGTGTGGTTTTATATTTCTAATAAAATTCACTTTATTCAAATTGACTTTTTGAAAGCTGTTTTGAATCGTCCAATCTTTTTTCCTACTCATTCAGGACATCTTTTAGTTTATAAGAAGAAGGGGGCGTAAGAAACTTATTAACAACACAAGTTATCAAAATCAATAAAAATATGTTTAGGTAATTACAGGGGCGTATTTACCAGGGCCAAGAGAGCCATGGCCCAGGACTAGGGTTACCATCCGTCCGGATTAGTACGGACATGTCCGGACTTTTAGACTATAGTCCGGACTTTGTCCAGATCTTAAAATTGTCCGGACTTATTAAATTACATCGAATATGAATTATAAAAATACATATTGATTTAAATACGATACCATTGTGACTAAGTGAGTAATGGTACCATTATTCGACTAAAAAGTCCGGACTTTTTTCGAAATGTCAGGATTTTTGCCAGGACTTTTGAAATTCCTAAATAGTTACCCTACCCGACAGAAGCCTAATTTAATTTTCCATCCATTTCACATAATGTACTGATGAATGGAATATATACTGATTCATTTGCTTTATATCAACCCATATTTATACTCTGTGTAATGTCTACGTTGCTCCTAACCTCACCTTATTTATAATAAAAACCGTTCCATTACCTTAATATTGTTCCAATTGAGATCAGTGAGTTTCTGGTCATTCTCCCTTACTCTTTTAACCGTGTCGTCGGGATCCGTGTCGTTGGGGGGGTCCATTGGGTAAATCTGGAATCACAATATCTAGTATTAATACTCAGTGATAATTAAGTCGTTTCTTCAAAGGAACTTTTATGACATTGACAAGAATAAGTGGTGAAATGAGGATTACAAATTACGTAAGATCTCCTCGCTAAAAGGAGCGTTATAATTAACAATATTACGGAAGGAGTAATAGTGAATATAAGAAGCTTATTTACACCTTCCTATATAAATAAAAAGGCTTATTTTTTTGTATCTTTCTATATTTTTTATCGTTTTCGGCCGCGCGCCACAATATCTTGGGTCACACTGTACTATTTATTGAGAATCATTTAAACATTTTCCTTAAACAATTTAAGCTGATAATGGTGTCGATTCTGGCATGATTTTCTAAACTTATAACTAAATTTAACATCATCTGGCCTTTTAATTCTGTATAGAGAATTACAAAGATGCACAAATTTAAGTTAAGCACAAACGAAGGTGATGATTAGATTACCTTGGGCTTGGTCGCCTTGGTGATGCCGTCCCAGCCGAGCCCCACCGGCTGTCCCTTGTTGAGGAGGGACGCGTGGTACTGTTCCTGGTTCATCATCGAGTGGAACCCAAGGATGGCTGCCGACATACAATATTACCCACATTTTATATATATCACGGTTCATCATCGAATGGAACTATATTACCCACATAATATATGAGGAGCTGGCGAACAAAATGGTATAATTACATAAATATTAATTTTACAGGAGTTGTATAAAACTGAATGACATACCTCCAGTGAGCTTTTGGCATGGTTTTTAATTTATAAATTTGGTAATTTTAACACAGTTTTAGGCGGTTTTGATGGAAATATATTTGAGATTCAAATTCAACGGGCCCGAAACCTGCGACTTTTAAAAAAAATAGTTTGACCAGATGCGTAATTATACCGTTTTATTCGCCAGCTCCTCATATATAAGTTAAATGTGCGATTTATGACGGTTGTAAAGTTAGCAACGAGCGCAACTATGCGCAGTGCCCTTAGCATGAACCATTATCGAATTTGAATAGTTGAATTCGATCTATTTTATACGTCAAATGTGTACTGATTTTTAGTTCTCGCAATGTCCGTTATGGCGCTACTATTCAAGTTTCCATACAAAATTTGACAATGACATTTCGTACTCACAAACTAGTCAAATTTGATATTGGTTCGTGCTAAGGGTACAGGTTTCTGTTCAGTGACATCCCGAGCGCCTACATCACTCGCTTATTATCAACGTATTAGAAATGATATGGAAGCATTATTCTCTAACGAAGGCCGCTTAAACATGGTTCTAAACTCATCACACCTAAACTTTAATACTAACGCGACAAGCACAGAGACAAAACAAAATAATTTGACAAATGAAATATCTGCAAATGAATTTGGCTTTCCATTCATTGGGTAAGATAATGTTAAACCAACTATCCCCAGAATAGGCTTGTTTATCGCATTTTTTCGCCCCGCCCGCTTGAACTCAGTTTGAGGGGAATCACTCTTTAGCGCTTTTTAGGGCATATGTTTGGGCCGGCTATTAATCCAATAATAGACTACTTTTTTTAAAGCCTCTCATTGTTGGCAATCAAAGTCCTATAAATATAATATACTACATATTTATTTTTAAGCCCTTCGCTGTTTGTCATTCAAAGTCGAAGAAATCCTCTGCACCCTTAGTACGAGTTTTACAATTACGAAAACTATGATAGTTTTCGTGAGCTCGCACTCGTACAAAGGGTACTGATTATATTGTTTTCGTTTCAATACAAATAAACAGTGTTTAAATTCTATCATTAAATCATTTGCGTCTTCTTAAATTTTAAGTATATTTGGTTACTTTTAACCAAAATGGACATAGAAACATAATTTACAATTACGAAAACTATGATAGTTTTCGTGAGCTCGAACTCGTACTAAGGGTACTGATAGTAGAGAAAAAATTACACTATCCAAAAGTGCAGAGTTATGTCATACTTCTTATTTTGATAACATTATTTTTAGTTTTATTTTGATTTGAATAAGTGAAATGGTAGACGGTGTTCATGCTAGGAGAAGCATGAGCATGATGACAATATCACATTTTTTATCACGCTCAATTTTGATAAAATGTTATACATATCATATGCTTCACTGAAACGACCCAAACAATCATACTGAATGTATGTATGTACTAACCTGCCAAGTCTATGATCTCCTCCTGCGAGGCGGCGGTCAGCGCCTGCTCGTACTCGTCGCCGAGGTCGATGCTGATCTGTTCCTCAGCGTCACGCATCTTCTCCGGGGGCGGAGGGGGGATCCACTGAAACGACCCAAACAATCATACTGAATGTTTTATACATTCCTCATACCTCAGAACAAGAACTGAAACATAGAAATTCAGCTCATATAGTTATCTTATTTTTACCGGTAGGCTAAAATAGGACAAATATATGTTGCTATGAACCATAATACAAACAGCATGCATACCACTATACAAACGACAATTTGTATACCTTTGTATGCCTTGTGGCTGGACCTTTATTACCTTTACGATACCAATAAAAAAGCAATCTTATGTCAAATGCAACTTGCCACCACGCCACTACAACTTTTTGGTTGGCTAATAGTTTCTTCAGAAATCTCTTTGGTAAATTATTGTTAATGGGAGTGTACGCTCAAATGTCATAGCATTACTTTACTTCTGTGCTTTAGTTCTTTCTGAGAAAGAAACCAATTAATAACGAGCTAACATGTTAAGCATTGAAAACTTTTAGAGTAAAATGATTAGAAATCTGGTCTGTAGAGATATGGCCTGAGAGTAAGCAGCCACCTTATTTTAGCGATTTTGACACAGGTTCTATAGACGCTTATACTGACCATATACCTACCTATTTGTAGATTCAAGTAATGATTGTGAATTAAAATTATTATTAGTCAAAATCACACAAACATATGAAATTGATCAAGTTATAAGTATGCTTATCTGTAGGCCTTGCCAAATATATAGATAATTACGATAGTAATAAACAATTCGTTGTCAGTAGGCACTTGATATAGAATGAGCTAAAGACCGATTTCATTTGCATTAAAAATTAAAGTCATAACCTTTTAGAATTTCAAATTTTACCTTTTTGCCACGTATAACCCCTGCTACATAAGGTTTCACCTCGGGTCGGTCGGGGGTTTCCAGGGCCTGTTTGTTGATGTGTTCTATTAGCTTCTTTCGGTTGAGTGGTCCGGTTGGGTCCTTCTCACACGCGTAATTGTTGCGTAGGGAAGGGGGTAAACAATTGTCCTGGAATCATATAGATTGTTTGGTTAATAAAAGTGAATCAATTATTACTGATTTTCCTTTGTTATCTGTCAATAAGGAAGCACTATGCTCAAAAATGGGCTGATGATAAACACGTACCATAATGTATTTCAGACTATTAACACTAATCATAGTATTACAGACCCTATCTAGCACAGATGCCAGCTTCCCACAATGTACTTTAATGATAATAAATATTGTTACTCATATTTGCTTGAGAGAAAATAATAAAATATTCTGACCAATCTATAATAGTCTTATTAAAAATTTGCTACCTCTTATGCTTTTGCAATCAATGATAATTATAGGCATGATAGCATTGTAAACATTATTATAATTAAGAATTTACTTTATTTTACAGTCATGGCAAAGCCTAGACTTAGTACTAGTCTTGGGGTGTGATTTCAGGGATTCTCTAAACCTAAACTTAAATTTGACAACAGTGTATCCTTGTCATTCTCTATACAGAATAAAAAGGATGGATTGGTGTTAAATTGAGCTTTAAGTTCAGAATCAACACCATTGCTGTTTCTCATTTTTCTAATACAAGTGCTTTAGCTATTAGATTTATCTTCTACCTTTATCAACACATCATTATCAGCCCATGAAACTGCTGGGGTACACACTTTCCTATGGACATAATAGTCATAACACACCATGGTGTCTCATCACCACATGATGTGTGCTAAAAACTAAAAATATAGCAAAGACCAAATAAATACTTAATGTGCCTTCTTTAGAAGCACTGGATTATTACCAGTTTAAAAAATGATTTCAATATACATTCGGGCACATTTAGTATATGTTTGATAACAATAAAACTTGCTTTAAGCATTAAATTGAGCACAGCCTAATGAGGTAATACAAACGAATGTCTTTAATAATAACTTTACACTCAACTGATAAGCTAAGCATGCACCAGTTTCTTTATCAGAAGTTTTAAGACAGTAAATTTTATGATTTGTTGAGAGTTTCCATACATTACTTGTGTAAATTCTTGGTTAGACGTAGTTTAAGCCTAATGCTGTATATCATTAGTAAACAAAGGCGATAGTATTATTTTTAAGTCTAGTTTAAGTAAATGTTAAGTAAAAAGAAGTAATGGTTCACAACAACTTGAAACCAAAATAATATAGTGGCACAATCAAAAGCAAACTTATTGTCGCTCTCAGCAATGTCAATTTAGTTTCATGCATAAAGAAAGCGTTGTTTTATTCCATTACACACACAAGAGAGGTAGAGCATACAGATTTTCCACCCGAATTGGAGCACCTGTTTGGGGATGTCACCTCCACCTTACAGAAGATACATAGTAAAACCTACCTACCTACCTTACACAGTAAAATGCCACTACTTTTATGTAGTATTGTGTTTCTGTCGGTGATTAACGTTACAGGGCTCCTCAGGGTAAGGATTATGTCAGGGAAGTCAATGACTTGTGATATTTTTGATATTGCAAGCATCTATAGCCTATGAAATGAAATAATTACATCCTTGAGTGCAGCTGTTATAGTATTTTGGTGAGGCTAAAGCATTAAGTTTGCCTCCAAAAGCTATGGGCGTTGTTAAAATCAACTATCTTTATTAAATAACTTTTGTGGCTCATTTTATAATACAAAAGCAGGCAAAGTTAATCACAATAATATTAAATAGAAAATTCAGTCACTTATCAGGCAGCAAAATGTAAACATTGACCTGTGCTGTAAGCAACCATGTTAATATTGTTAATGTTAACATTAGTAACTGGAGCATGACTGATGCGGAAGTCTAGGAGTTTAGCACTTACTTAAATAATGAGTGTTGAGTTTTACACCAACAATGGGTAAAGTAGAACATCAAGCACATGCTGTATAGAAACAAAATAAACATGTAAAGATGTGTAGTGGATTCGCTCTATACGATGTATGTATGTATCATGGAATATAAAATTTAAGTATCTTGAAATAAGCCTTTGATTTCTAAAATCAGCCTTTTATTTAAAGGGGCTTATAGTATATAAAATAAAAATTCTAATAAATATTCTTAGTTCTATATTTGATTAATGATTGTAATAAGAAGGGATAAGCAGGAATTTTATTTAATTAAAACTATTTTTATCAAAAAATCATAATAACATACTGAAAATACTACTTAAGGTAAGGAAAAACTAACTCAATAGGAGAAAAACTACAATAATAAATAAGTAAAAATAACTTTGAGATAATTTGTTAATATCATATCACAGTCATGAGGAAAAAACATTAACATTATTTGAAAATAACCTTGCAAATAAGTATTCTATGTATCAAGATGTGCAATGTTTTACATGTAGTTATAAACACAACATGACCATGACAATAAATAAAGGATATATTGAGCTTCAAATGTTGCAATGATATAATGAAATTATAAACATTGCAAAACTAAATGTTAAATTCATTTGTTATTGTAAATAATTTGTAACGCTCAATCAAGCAATAATTTTTTAATTGAATGAGGACCTAATTATTTTTGTAATTATGAGTGTACAAATGTAGAAATAATTTTAATTGGAATGTTTGTTTAGGTAGATATAAATTTTATCAGCAACTGAAAATGATTACTGGATTACCAAGATAGCAAAGAAGGAGTGTTTACTGTGTAGATGACATAATCATACAAGCAAAGCTATCAAATTAAACTAACCTTGTGACTGAATAACAAGTCATAAATTTAAAATCCCGACAATGTCTTGAATATGAAAACCTAGGTCTAATTTGTTTCTGACAATGCAGGTTGTAGTCTGTTGATGTATTACATTTTGTATTCCAAACAATATTCTGGTCCTACTCACGAGTAAGTAATTTATGCAGTGATATGATTATTTTCTGTTACATTAGAATATTAAACAACAGGAAGAAAATAAGTGAGTTATGGTTAGTGTTCCAAGCATAAATCTGAAATACACTTACATCTGGATCAACATCCTTTGCTAACATGTTGAGTTCCTCTTGTGTGAGCTTCGAAAGCAGCTCGTCCACGTCAACCTCATCGTACTGCGAGATGTCTCGACCGTACAGCTTAGCTGGTGTTGTCATCGTCGTCGTTTTTGTAGTTGACGACTTCTACAAACACAAAACACCACACTGAACAATGTTTTCACCACTCAATTAAGTAAGGTTAGGTATATCAGTCAGTTTTTCAGTCTGCAATATAACACAACGATATCACACAGCATATTCTATGAATAGGTTGTAATTCCAACAAATCCAGTAAGGCACCAGATATTTTATGAAAAAGATTTAAGTTAACAGTAACGAATAGTACTTTTTTGACAACTAACTTTCGGCGTTCACCACACCCACAAATTATTTGATAATGATTTATTTTCTCACAAAATTTTATTAAAAAAACGGTTGCAAATTGTTTTAAACTGCACATCAATTTAAAATCCTGATTAAAAATAGCCTTACTTCGGAATAAAGGCTTCACAAGACGGACAAGTTAAAGTTAGCGAATGTAACAAGCGCCCCCTACGATTGACAATACAAAACTAAAGAAATTAAATTATCTGTGTAGAAAAAGACAGCAAACTTTTTGCCCTATACGGCGCAAAAGAGACAACAATAACTAGGGAGGGGACGAGAAGAAGTCGCGGAAAAGTTGAATTCGTAAAGTATACCTACTACATAAAACGCAATAAACGCTAAGTATTTTTATGTTAGATGCACAAGATACATGAGGAGTTTTCTATTTAATAAAACTTAATTTGTTTTTATATTTATTTAAAAAAAATATTCTATGTAAATAAATGTTTAATTTAACAGCATTAATGTGAATTAATGCTGTTTAAATTTAGTTCTTCCAATTTAATAGAGATGATTTATTCACAAACACTCAATATTTTGGAAAACCCCATTAAACAATTACCTGCACCATGGAATTGGTGAGAAAAACAAATTTTCCTTTATAATTTCTTGACTAACAAGTGACTTAATTAGTAGTCTTTAAGTAATAGAATCGACTTTTTACAATAATTATTAATATTAATTTAGTAAGCAGGTATCCACTGATTTAGTAAAAAATACTTATTATAATCCACAGAATTATGCATTTCATTTTCCTTGGTCAACGGTTGCTCTATAAAAGGATGATTACGCAATGACTATATTTCGTGGTGCCTGGCCTACCTAGCACTGCTATCTAACCGTGACCTTTATAATAATAGCAAGCATTGTCATATCAATTTACTACTTACGGCATTGCGTTGATTTACCAGCCATGGGTGCAACGTTACTAAAGCACAGATACAAATAACTAGATAAAACATTAAGTAGGTAGGTGTTTTTCTCTACATACAATACCTATTATACTGTTTCTATAACTGTTTCACAGTTTTGTTGCACATCACAAAGTGCAACCATTAATAACTTTTAGCCTGCATAGACGAGGGACTTTAACTGGGACTTTTTTCCGCCAAAATAGCAGATCGCTTGCAATTACTGCATCTGCTGCAGCAACTGCATCAAGTCGCACACGAGGTATTCAAAATCCCGCGTACGAAAAGTCCCCCGAACAACCGAGAACACTGAGAGATAGGATTAAAGTAGGTATGCAAGAGTCACCTAAAAAAAAAATAGAACTCCTGTGACAAAGCGCAGCAACACATACAGGGAAGGGAACTTTAGTAATCGGCGGATCCGAATTTAAAAGATGGACCTAGTATTCTCTTTCAAAACATCTCTTTTTCTTGAACGTCATGTTAATTCCAATACAACGTTAACTGAGAATATTCACTTTCGTGCGCATGCGCTTTTCTAAATTTTCGGTGGCAAATTTTCGAACATCGTTGACAAGTCCTCGGCGGACATTTTCTTCTAGATTCAGTACTTTTGTCTCCACGGACAAAAGTCCCTCATCTGTGCAGTCTATTACCTACTCATAATTACATAAACGCAATTGATAATGTGAAAAATGTAAAAAAGGTTTAATTTCATATTTTTTTTTACGTGGGCATTAGGGCTTTGTACGTCATACTGGTGTGTGTCGTGGGGTCGTGTAAGGAGGGTCGTTGCGTTTCCTAATATATGGTTGAGCGAACCGATGGCTGGTTCATGCGTCATGCTCGTGAACGGGTGCTGCCAGCGGTGATGAGTCTGCTCTTGCTACATTGGGTACTATTAATCGTTGTATTTTACTTTAATAGTACATTTGTTTTTATGATTAAACAGTAGGACACGGCATTCCTAAACTTTTTTAAATCAGTTTTTTATATTTTTTTATTTTATAGTCATATTTTTCATAACATTTACATTTGTAATGGAAAGTGACTTCATGAGTTATCTCACATTGAAGCCATTTTTCAATTTGACGACTCTGTATATAATACAGGGAGAAAAAAAACTGCCTTTGCTGAGTTTCTTGATGGTTCTTCTCAGTACTGGCTGATGGCGTAGGCTTTTCGACATTCACAAATGCTTGTAACAGCCTAGACTGAATAAACGATATTAAATTTCGAATACTTACGAGAAATTGTAATAACTTAAAAGCTATTTCTACAATATTTTTTTGTATTTTTATATCTTAAGCATTTAACTACTAGATGTCGACATCTAATGAAATTTTTACTAGAAAAAAAATCTACGCGGTCTTGGCTGCAGACGGAACTCGAACCCGCACCCTTCGCTATCCGGACGGATGCTCCCACGCGCCCAGTCTAACCCATTGCACTCAAATTGTAACTCTGTACTTAAAGTTAAATAGTTTTTATGTTTCTTATTTTGGAAGGATATTCTCGAAGGTGGAAGTACCCAGCCTCAAGCGCATCCATTACATCTCTTTGACTTCAACCACATTGACTCAATTTTTAATCGAACCTGGGGAGATTTTTATGTTGTGTGGTGTGTGTATTGTTATGAACTTACTTCAATAACACAAATTTCCATCTATATATATTTCAATAGATAAAACCAAGCGGTAGCCATTTGGCAAGTCTAGTCACGACACTTTTCGCTATCCAGATGTTAGTAACAAACTTAAATTATATGATTTAATCTAAAGTGATAAATAGTGCTTTTTGATTTAGAGTCTATTTAATTTAGTGTGCAAAATTGCAAATTATTGTATATAGTAAACAGCCAAAGGGACTAATATTTACATTTAGCTACAGTCAAATGTAAATATATCTATGTACATTTATATAAAGGGCGTCCTACGGGTTTGTCACACGGAGGGAAAGTATGGTTAAATATTGAAGATATGATATTTCTCTAATATCAATTGTTAAGCGATATTTTACTAAAATATCCTGTCTTTAATATTAATATACTTTCCCTCCATGTGACAAACACGTGGGACGCAATGTCTAAATATTGAAATTAAAGTAATCATGTAATGCAAATGCAACACAACGGAACTGATTGATGCAAATCAATAAGAGTTTATTCCTGTTGACTTCTCGATAGATACAAACGACCGTTTACTTTGGCGTATCGCCAGTCTGCTAAAATGGTGGTCGCCGACAAGTATTCTTAGCTGACCACTCGGCCACTGGCCTTCCTTCCTACCACTGAGCAAACCGATAAAAAATATTTTCAACAGTTCCTCCCAGAAACCACGTGTTCCGACAGAGATTTTTGTCTCATACCATTGACCTAGATTATAGGGATGTAGCCTAAAAAATGCCGCAGGTGAACGACCTCTTTGCTCTGACCTATAGTTTATAAATACAGGCAACTTACAAAATGCGAGCTGTCAGTTTAAAAAAAGAAAATGCATTCGTCAATGAAAGCGGTCTTGCTCGCCTTGACGTTTTCTTTCTCTGTAACAAGCACTTACACACGCTTAATTTACACTCCGAGTTAGTTCGGAGATCTTGGTCAGATCAAATGTTAATTATCTGAATAAATATGTCTTTGCCGTACGGCCCGCCACAGCCCGTGTCACCTCTTATCCGAGGTCTAAGGTTTGCTTTTCTGATAGCTGGTATTATTTACGCACGAGGCAAACAAAGACTTTATAATTCCATGGAGGCGTCATACCGTGAAGAAGAGGCCAAAAAGAAGATAGTTCGTGACAAACAGCTGGCAATACTGAAAGCTAAGATTGCTGCTGAGGAACAGGAAACCGTGCGTCTTCTCGAAACTGGAAAATTGTTCGAACCAGGTAACTAAGTAGTAGGTACTTGTAAAATGTATGGTGTTTAAGATAAGTACTAGTTTTTTTATCTAGTCTTGATTTTAGGTTTTTGCTGGTTTTTGTTATTTAGCAATTTCCTATTATCAGGTTAAAGTAATAATGTTTGCGACTTTTGGCCATTAATTTTCTTCAGTAAAATAGGAATCACTGCCGTTATAAGGCTGTATGCTCATGATAAACTGTACTGAAAATGCTGCTTAACACATTTTTCTGCTACAATATTTAATGCCTTGACATCCCCACTTAAATTATCATTAACATTTAAACTAGTAACCCATCTACGCGTACCTACAGTCATATGTGTTGTCTATCTACCTTCAGTAAAAAATAGAACTTCCTGTTTGCGTCTTTGTTAATTTATTCAGCTCGAGAGAAATAAAAACGTCGTAAGAAATAAACAAAAACGACACAAAGGTCGGTTTGTCTCAGTAATTAGTACTAATACTTATTAGTTAGGTTTAACTGGTTCATTGTCCTCATTCACTGACGCGTTGCACTAACATCCGTTCCAGAGTAAAGTACTTATGTATATACTTTAGTGTAAATAAGGTACTTAACTAATATAAAGCCTAATAAATAAACCATCCCACTAGATATGAAGCAGAAGTCGGGTTCACTTGTAAAGATAATAGGATGATGACAGGGTAAAGTAAATGAAATTCTATGTCAGGGTAAAGTAAATGAAATTCTATTTCAGGATAAAGTGAATGAAATTTTATTTACTCCGTCAGTTTGATTATCAAAAAAACAATGGACACGTAATCTTTCTTTTGTCAATCGACCAAAAAATTACAAAGGCAGAGCCTAAAGCGCATCATAGGTTGAGAGTGGTGGTTCATGACGTCACTTCTAAGTAAAAATTGTAGCAAGACGTGTCATCTTGAGACATTTCAAATGAATATATCTCTGTAATGTTTTGATTATATTAATAAAGAAAAAAATACGTGTCTAATACTTTTTGATGATTTACCTGATAGACGAAGAAAAAATATGGTAGTCTACGGCCCTATTGATTTGGTTCTAAATTAGCCACCCAGTTTGTCGGCCTGAAACACAGACTGAACCTTCTTTCCTAGTCCGTTTTTTTATTCATTTGGAAGGCAAACAAGGTTATGCTCTGCGATTCGCATCACACGCGCGTTGCCAACCTTAATACCTTTTTGACACTTTTTGGAAGAAACCCGTCGTTCTTTGGGAAAACTTCAACCAGGAGCTCATTCCATTGTTTAGTTATACGCGCGGGAGGGATTGCCTCTGAAAACATGCAGTAAGCACGCGACCAACTCGGCTCCAAAATGTGAGGCTGAACGCACTTCTCTCGCTTAAGAGCATTAAATATAATGGATTACTCTGAGTGATATTGCAAAATTAATTAACTTATGCGATTGCATACCCAACACGATCACTTCAGAACCATCGTGTTTACTAATAAAAAAAAATGAGATGTGTTGTATTGCAATACAAAAATTCTATAAACACAATCTCATCAAACTTTATCCTGCCTAATATATCAACCGAATCGTATTAAGTCATGCTCCGTCGTTCACCTTGTAATTGATTTTTATATGTTTATATGATAATAATTATTTCTCTAAAGATGGGGGAGCTGGAGGCCCTATGTACAGTACAAGTGGATCAGACAGATCGTGCAAATAAAATCGCCAATATAAGATGATTTTTATACGAACATTGTCATTGTTAATAATAAAAGATTTTAACTCATTTTTTCTTTTTCTGAAACCAATAGGTATAGTTGCGAGAAAATGAGTCGCCTAAAATGAGCTGTATTTTATAGGTTTGTACAAAGGACTCTGTGCCTGTCTTCTTTGACTTAAAATGAATAAGTTGTTTGTTGAAAGTTGAAACTAACAGATACTGTACACAGGCACGTAGAAATTGTACTCACTCTACTTACAGTCTAACGACTGATTCCTACGGATGTTGTTGAGAATATTGTGAACAATTTGAAATTAATACTGCCAGACACATTCTGTCAACGGTTTTTAATGCCCGACACTTTAAATGTCGAAAGCAAAATACCTGAAAATTGGCCCACAACACAAGTTAGCAAATATGTAGTATATGGTCAGTGTACACACTTATACTGTACAATTATCCATATTTAGTCCCCATGAGAAAATAAGTAAGGGTCTGGCGGTCGTTGTATCTTGTAGTATGAACAATTTAAAAAAAATACACGATTCTTTTTTCGCGACTGACTGATAAAAAAAACAAGCTTTTTTGGCCCTTAATGACGGGACGAGAACAATATTGATGACTCTCTATTAAGTACCTAGGTGCTTGAAAATGGAAAAGGTCAATTTTCACTTTTACCATGTCGTCGCGGCAAGACATTTTACTTTCTCAGCATTGTGTATAAACAACGTATGAGGTGATGTATTCGACTTTCATCACGTGCATGGTTAATTTATTACTTTGCCAAACGAATAGAATCAGTAATGCTCGAATTTAAAGTACCTGTTTATTTTTTTCTTTTTATTCTCCCACAGTGGTACGTGAGCAAAAGAAAATTATAGAAGCAGCTAGTAAAAGCCATTCAACAGGCATTTTTTTATGTTTAAAGGATGGAGAATAAGCATATGGCCCGCCTTGCGTACAAAAATATATTTTACCTATTGTATTATCTAAGGTGGAGGTTACTTCCCCAGACGAGCGCTGCAATTCGAACGGAATTACTATACTGTATGAAATCATAAAGCTTGCTATTATACAATACTAGCTGTGCCCCGCGGTGTTATCCGCGGTTTATTGCGTATATTTTCCCCCAGTAAAACGTAGTCTATGTGTTGATCCAGGGTGTCAGCTAACTCCATACCAAATTTTATTAAAATCGCTCCAGCCGTTTAGACGCGAAGAATTAACAAACATACACACTCACAAGCTTTCGCCTTTATAATATAACTAAAAGTCACCCGCGACTTCGTCTGCGTTAACTTAGCTTCTTGAAAATCCCTCTGGGATCTAACATTTTTTCGGGATAAAAGTAGCCTATGTGTTAATGATTATATTACTTCAAAGTTAAGATCACAATTCTTTATGATAAACATGTTTACATTAGGACAGCCAGCACTTTATAGCATTAAGCAATCTTTGGAATAGATAAAAATGTTGTCAACACGAGCCTAATATTAAAAATTTAAATTAGTTAATTTGTGGAATGTGGACAGAATAGGGGCATAACGCCAGAACCATATCTGATAACGTATAGCTACGCTTTTGACGCTATCGTGTACATTTTTTTAGACGAGGTGTCAAAAAAATTACTCCACCCCACCTGATATTGTAAGTGAAATCCAGTCGCGAAGATAGATGATGCCGCCAAAATGTGTCGCTCTAGCCATCCTCCCATTGTAGGCCTGACTCCAATCCTCTACCCCACGAATCCCTAGAACCCTACTCACCAGCAGAAACACAAGGTAGTGTCATTTTACTGTGGTCTTTTAAATAAGCGAACAAGAAAAGCATATAAGGTCTATCATAAATCAATCAAGATGTTGGAAAATATTAAAGTTTACTGCTTGTTGTTAATCAAAAGCAATTGCAACAGTCATATTTAGAAACAGACTGGTGGACAATATGGAAGGAAATTTCCTACTAGTTTTGTATCTCCGAACTAAGTGGAAATCTTTTATAGAACGTTTTCTATTTATGAAAGTAGGCAATCGATGGAGTTATAACTGCAATATCTGGGGTAGGCACATATTTTGGCTAAGATGTAATGTACTGACAAAGGTTTGTTAGGCCTTCTAGAGTTAGGGCGTGTAGAGCTAGAAGCTTGGCTCTACATGAGATCTCAAAGATTTTTGACAGTGTCTCGCCGTGGCAACAATTTACTTGAAAATGATTTTGGTAGGATGTACATAATTATTGGTTATTTTGTTAGGTCACTATGGGATTATATTGCGTATGATAATAGCGCTTAATTTTCTTATGTACCCTTTACAGTTGCCTTAATGGTACAGTGAAGATATGCATGTACAGTTTAAACGTGTCGTCGCTTAAGATAAGTGTTTTAATTCTATTCGATAGCTCGTTAATATTAAATTTGAAATTTCAAACTAATAGCCCCTTTTTAATAAACTAGAAATAAACTACCTCTAGTTACACCGTCTTTTGTTCATATATCTCAAATACCATTTGTCATTCAATAAACAGAGACAACACATGGAGTATCTAATCAAAGCTTAATCTTCGTTTATTAATAAGGGTGATTCTGTTTAAGTCGAGTGGTTACCCCAATGTGATCGTATTTATATCATAAATAAACCCGGGATATACCATCGCGAGTTAATTACTTTTTCCCATCCTTTGCGTTTCCTTTTTGGGTTGCATGCAGAACAAGAGCTAATCTAAGTTAGTTTAACATGTTACTTAGTTTAGGTGGGGTTCGTAAATGGCCTGGCATCCTGATGCCAGATATTAAAAACTGCTTGCACCTAATTAAAAACCAAGTTGGTAATCACCGCATGTAATAATTATATTGGGTCTAAGATACTGATAAGTCTCCGACGATCCATTTAATTGGTTTTATTATCTTTGAGCACGAGAAAGTTAACACCTGGCCTATTCTATGTGATATTGGAATATTATAAGTATTCATTAAGGAATATTGGTTTTGAATATTAAATTTTGTTTATGCAACTAAATCACTAGCTACCTATTCCGCGTTTTCTATAAATGTTTGTTAACATTGTATAAAATTTATGTTAATGTGGTGCCTACGGATAAGTAATAATTTTAAATCTAAAGAAAATTTTACTAAGAAATATTGCACGCGGACCAGGCAGCAGACGGTACTCGAACCTGCACCCTCCGCTATCCGGGCGGTTGCACTGACCATTATGCTACCGTGATCCTAACGGCCGTGTCGAATTTTTTCTTGTATTTCTTAGACTGCAAGGCAGCGCCATCTCTTCACATTGTAGGTAACTCACAATGTCAAACGAACACCTTTACAAGTATTAAACATTCGAAAGAAGAGAGAGCAATTGTAGTTATATTTAAATTTTTTCTTTAGATTTAAACCTCTAGTAGTTAAATGCTTAAAAATTAAAAATATAACGTAACAGTTTTTTAAAAATGAAAAGGGCAGTCATATTTTGTATTTATTTAGAGGCAGACTAAGGAATTCGTATACCTTGCATAAATTCCTAGGTTCCGACCACAGAACACAGAAAGAGGTTCCGACCACGCCTAGTGATCGCTTTTGGCGCACTTTCGCGTCTACTTACAGTGAAAAAAAAGGAAAAATCTGACCTTCTTTGTATAGAACAAAACAACAAATCGCTCTGATTTTGTCAAAGTGTTCACAGTGAAAAACATGGAAAGGAAAAAACTGATCTTTTTAGTCACCGTAGCATGAAAACCACAATTTACATTATATCACGTTTTTTATCGCGCCTAACTGTCAAACTCCATAGTAATTTGACAATTGAGTGTGATAAAAACGAGCTATATATCATATCGTGGTGATCATGCTAGGGGGGGGCAGGATTTGGTATAGGCAAGCATAGCGCTTAATTTTTTGTCACTCATGCGCGTCATGCGGCTCTTCCAACCTCTTTATCTATTCCGTGTTGGTGCCGTACTACTGCGGCCAGTTTTTCTACGGCTTCGAGGCTTCGATATTCATTGACGGAGAAAGTAAGTGGTTGCTGGGTCAGTGGACTCACTTATGTAATGTTTATGTTTCCGACCGCAACGAACTCGCGATGACGATCGACAGCGCGGCGGCACGGTTTTGATGATCAAATCTCTAAATTGTCACCATTGAATATTTAAAGATCATAATGTTTTTAGAATGACTTTTTTATTTATAAGTGATTTCAAGTGAAACTTCTTTTCAAACTGGATGTGAATGGAAAAATCCTATGGAAAAGATAAAACGAAAATGGGCTATATGTGTGTGTGTGGGATGCGTGCGCAGCTCTTCCCGTCGAGCATGAAAGTTAAGAGCGTCACGAGCGTCACGAGCATCACACGCGACAATAGATACATATCTTTATATATATAATTCTTCTGTGAGTGTGTATGTCACTGAACTTCTCTTAAACGACTGGACCGATTTTGATGAAATTTTTTGTGTGTGTTCAAGGGGATCTGAGAATGGTTTAGATTCACAATTTTGTCCGCTGGACAACCCCTATTTTTTTAGGGCGGTACGAAGTTCGCTGGGTCAGCTAGTCTTATATAAAATTCTCGTGTCACAATGTTAGTTACTATACTCCTCCGAAACGGCCTGACCGATTTTTATGAAATTTTATTTGCATATTCCGTGGGTCTGAGAATCGGTTATTATCTATTTTTCGAATCCTTAAGTGATAATGGTTGTCCAACTGTATCGTAGTGTTCTGAAACCTACAATGCGCCTTCGCGCCAAAATTCAAACTATTGGGTATGGTAATGTAGTGTTCTCATATAGGTTAGGAGGAATGTTATCCCAGCTAATATATATATATATATATGAGTGATGCGTGCGCTGCTCCATTCCTCTATGCCTTATGTACCGTCTAATGTTAGGTAATTTAAGAAAAGAAGTTTCACTTCAGATGTGCGGTCCGCGCACACTATTTTGTTTTGCTACTGGTAAAATACAAACATTTTAGATTTCCATAATAGATAAAAGTAAATTAGTACTCTTTTGAAAAGACTACCTATCTTATCCAGGTTAAGGACTTATTTTAGGTGTAAAAAGTAAGCGC